CTGCGACGATCTCCCTTAAGAGAGGATCCACATCTCGCAGTCTCCTACCACTTTGTAATTCGCCTCTAGATGTCGGTAGCTCAGCTCAAAGCAGTAGCCGGGTTGAAGATCTGCAAGGCTCACGGAAAGTCAACGCCTTTTAGTTCCCCGTTATAGACGCAGAGTTACCATTTCAAGATCACGTGGGAGCCTTTCGTTTTTAATGTATACACATGTTTATTTATCTTACTGGATCTCAAGTGGGGAACAAGGAAAGTCGAAGCGACTGCACTCTGGAAGTATGCAAGGTAACGAAAAGTCAACGTCATTTTCATTCTGCGTTATACACGGAGAGACACCATGTCAAGATTAGGTTGAAGCCTTTCGTTATTGGATTTAACGTGAGGAACAAGTCAAGTCGGGCTTATGGGATTTACCCTCGCCCACTAACCCTGGTTCGTCTTCTCCACAAGTCAACGCGGGCATCTAGGCACACCCACTCCCCCCTGGTCCACCTCAGCAAGTTGGACCTGGGCCACTTCGGCAACAAGTAACGAACGGCCGCAAGGTGGATTTCAGGAATGTTGTTGTAATGATGCTGTACCCGGGAAGTATTTTATTTATTTTACAGCCCGATGCGGAGGCCCTTCGATTTATATACTTGAGATCATGGATCCCTTATACCGGGAACACCCGAGCGAAGGTGCTGATGTGAGGCACGTAATCCGCGTAAGGACTTATCCACGGTTGATCGGGCGCCACGTACGCCTCCCTTAGTCTCCGGCTCACGATGTCCAAGCCCACAAGCCGCTCGGACTCCCACAGCAGCACCTCAGGTTCCCTGCTCTGGAACCGCAGAGGCCGCGGGCGGCGGCGGAACACCGGCGGCGCTGAGCCCTCCTCCCCGTCGTCTTCTCCTTCGCCGGCAACGATCTGGATTGAGGCCAAGAGATCCCACTGGTCCGGTGGAGCCAACGCATATACCTGAACGGCGTCATCCGTCACGCAGGTGCAGCAGAGCCGGCCGTTGATCTCCCCCAGCTGCCACTCCGCATCCGGGTCGTCCCCCAGCGGCCATGGAATGGCACAGCAAGAGTCGGTTGCAGGATCGTACGAAACCACCGTTTGCATCGTCGTCCGCCAGTAGGCCGCTCCTCCGGCGGACACGCCGGAGCTCTCGATGAACTTCTCGGTGGCGCACACTTCCGACGACGTCCGCCAGACGCGGGTCTCGGAGGAGAAAATCTGGAACCCGTATACGCAGCTGATGTCGTCGAATATTTGGTAGCTGCGAACTAGCACATAGTTCTCCTCCAGATTATGGAGAGATGGCTCGAAGACGAGCGCCTCGACGGAGAAGCCGGCGTGTTCCTCTAGGAACAGGTGCTCCGGCGGCAGCGGTAGACGAGCCCACTCGGAGGTAGAGGGGTTGCAGACGAAGTACAAGTTGCGAAACGCGGCGCAACAGAGAAGGCCGTTGGAGGACGCGATGACGGCGAAAGGGGGGCTCATGGGGAGGAAAGAGAGGAAGGGATCGGGAATCCCTCCGGCGAGAGGGTCGAACGGGAAGTAGCCTTGGACGCCCGGAAGTAGCGACCGGAATATGCCGGAGGCGGTGCGGTGTGTGCGGGACTGGAAGTGGCGGAAGATCGGGGGAGAAATCAGGTGTTTCCATTCGCTGGACACAGCTCTGAAACGGAGGAGAGTCTTCACAGGGAGGTGGGGCAGGACGAGATCCCTGACGATGTCACGGAGTGGTGTCCTCGACATCTTGATGATCGCGTTTACCTCCTCCTTGAGCCGTGCACGCCGCTTCGCCCTCTCTTCCCTCTCTTCTCGCCGTTGATCTATGGTCATCTCCATCTTACAAGGGCAGTACTCGGACTGCGACTCCCCAGTGTCGACGCTCTCCACTGAGGCGTCGGCGCTGCTGCTGAAGTCTCGTCTGGTACAGCGTTGTGGATCCATCGCCGATGGCGCTCACGACTTCGCACCAAGAGGAGTGATTCTTATTCTGGAACGGCCCTTTCTGGGTTTCTGAGTAGGAAGCTTCTTTAGCACCTGTCAGGGTTGGCGCGACGAAAGTCTACGCGGTAACGTGCTCATCAAGTTCGGGCAAAGTCAAGCCTACGCGGCAGTTTCAGGAAGAGAACTTCGTCATCACCGCTGCGTCAGTCCAAAATTACTCCAAGTGGAGGTCCGGAGGCGAAGACTGCAGCTTAAGCGAGATATTGTACAGGAAATAAATGCGCTAGTGAAAGCGGTGAACTTTCTTCAAGATCCGGAGGAAGAGAGACGACGCTGCCGCTCAGCCGAAGCACTGCTCGCCGGGGAGGGGCCCCGGCAGGTAGCCGCGGTCCAGGAACTGAAGGCCGAATACCACGGCGATGGCTAGCACCGTGAGATAGGAGAGGCCCTCGACGGCTCCCAGCAAGCCCAGCGGCCCGTTCGGTAGGCCCGTTCCCGTCCTTGCCTTGGTGTACGCCGACCACCCAACGATGGCCGCCACCACGAGGTAGCTCACCCCTTCCAGCGCCCCAAGCAGGCCACCGGGCCCCGGCGGCAGGCCACAGCCCGTCGTCTTCAGCGTGTAGAGGGAGTACCCGATTACCGGGTTCGCCACCAGCCCGCCAACCGCCGCCGCGACCTCGCTGGCGCTGCCGCTTTCGGAGCTCTTCGCCTGGCAGATGAGGACCCGCCGGAGCCGCGGGGAAGCTCCGCCACCTGTGGATCGCCGGCGAGGTGGTGCGGCCGCTGCCGGCAGCCACAGTATAGCTTGAACTGCAGCCATGGAGGAGAGGAACGCCGCTGCGGAGCTGAGAGCTCCTCCACCGCCGGCGCCTTATCCGCCGCCGAGAATCTGATCCAGATCGCTGGGGGACCGTGTGATATATCGAGATCCCACGTCATCACGACTTAGTAAGGCCGCCGAGACCATTCTCCTGCATTCAGGTAACCTGTGACGCCGAAACCACATAAGGAATAAATTTCCGAGGGGGGTAGTGGAATTAAAAAATGCCGCATTTCCCTTCTCTCTCTCTCTCTCTCTCTCTCTCTCTCTCTCTCGCTAGACTTTTATCCGGCTATGCACAAGCAACGGTCAATTGAAATTTGGAGGGAAAACCTTTTGGGTACTGGAGAGAGAGAGAGAACCTTTTGGGTACTGGAGAGAATAGTAACACGCATGTACAGGTCTCTGCAGGGACGCCGATCAGCGACGCTTGGGCAACCTCGAGTCCTCCACAGAGCCGCCGCCGAGAGTATTATCCTCGTCCCTACTCCTCTTGCCGGGGGCTTCTCGCCGGATATCTCCATCATCGTCCGCCTCCTCCTGTTCGCTGTTCTCTTCGTCGCCAGCTTCCAGATCGCCCCCTCTAACAGCATCCTCGGCTTGGTCGATTGGCTGAACCAGGTACTCGTCCAGCCCCTGAGATCGATCACCCGATAAAAGATGAGGAATAATCAGAACAAAATCACCACGAGATCGCTGCTTCTAGGAAACAAGGAAGAAGAACGACCATTCAGCTCTCTCTCTCTCTCTCTCTCTCTCTCTCTCTCTCTCTCTCTCACACACACACACACACACAGAGTAAACATAATAAATGGAAACACTTCATGCTTCATTACCAACAGGAATCAGAAACCCATCGATCATACGGTGCGAGCTAGGGAAAATAAAATTCATAGCACCATACTGCTGCAAGATTAAAAAAATATCAAAAAAGGGCATCTCCACGAGGTGCCCACTCAGGGTTGGAACTTTTCAGTAGAGGACTATCCCATATCGCAAACCACTGAACAGATTTCTAAGAAAAATAGTAAAATATAATTCCATTAAGGCAAACTTTCAAAAGGAGTTCTTAAAACCGAAGCAAAGGACCAACAAGTATGATCAAAAACTGCCGAATCAATTTCTCTTTGATCTTCTCTAGAAGTAGGCATGATAAAAAAAAAAAAGTTGAAATTAGCTTCCTCCTCCTTTTGGAGGGATAATACCGAGGACCAACAGAAGTCAGGAATGAGCCCGAGGTTGAGTTTCTCTCGGGTCTTTTAATAAAGCATGTTAGAACAGAAACATGAAACATATTCACAACAGACAGGGTAGCGTCCGCCCCAACAGCAGCAGAAAGTTATTCTATGGAATTCCCAAGATAGATAAGCAATTTAAAACTAACAATGATCTAAAAGGGAATCTTGACACACAAAAGTTCTCGGATTTATTGATGTGGTGATCCTGAAAATAGGTAAAACATCAGGAACTGAACCGTGAGAGCTCGAAAAGAGTTGCTTATCCGCAGTAACAAAAAACCAACTAAAAAGTTGATTTTAGCTTTACAATTTCTTCCTGCAGAGCTCTTATGCAGAAGATTCTGTTCTTGGCAGAGTACAAAAATTAATGATTTCTATTACAAACAACGGATCCTCATAAGAACTGCCAATACAGAGAAAGAGATAAAGTAGCAATAAAAATCAACCATGCCCGGAAATTTACAGACTCATGGGCCATTGAACCTCTGAAAGGAACAACACAATGGGCAAAAGAATGAGATGAAACTTGTACCGGAAGTAAATCTGCTTAATTACATATGAAGTAAGAGAACACGCATGATAAATAGATGATAGGCCGAGTGATATTCTTGCTACTAACGAGGGAAAAAGAATTTCTTTTGGGAATTCTGCGAAAAATAACCAAGCTAATTCGAAATGATAACTGACCTCATCTTCGTCGTACTCGTCCTCGGACTCCCCTTCATCTTCAACAAAGTGGTCATCCCCTCTCCCAGTCTGCCCACGCTCAATCCATTGGCTTTGTTCGTGGTCATTATTATCTCCCACTCCAGGCGAAAACTTACTGGTACTCCCTGGATGTTGATCATAGTCATCTTCTGCATCTACCTCTTCCACGTCCTCATCTTCTTCAATCCCATCTTCGTCTTCACTGTCATCAATCTCATGGATTACCGGTACGCCATCATCTCCGCCTTCCTCCTCATGGATCTCTTCACCTAAGTCTTCCTCGTCATCATAGTCCTCTGTGTACTCTTCATCTTCGGCTTCCGAATCATCGGATTCCTCGTCCTCATTGCGCCCTGAAACCGACGCCGCAACCCGGAATCCATTCGATAGATGGTGTATGTCTCGACCTGATCCGCTGGCATCTGATCTCGCTCCGGTCTCGACCTCTTCCTCATCGGCATCACCCTCTTCGTCTTCATCTACATCAACGATTTCCTCCCGTTCAGTTACGTGGCCAGTACCATTGGTGGGCTTCCGCGTCCGATCTTCCCCGTCGATCTCCCCGCTGCCTGGATCCTCCTCATCTTCCTCGTCTTCGTCGTCTTCCTCCTCGTCGTCAGTCTCCGGTCGCTCGTTGTCGTCTGCGTCCACCTTATCCAGATATTTCAATGACCGAATCATCCCAAACACCTCCGAACGGTAATCCTTGATCCTTGTGACAGGGCACTCGTACAGGTCGAGGGACACCAGACGAAGCTGCGCCAGCGGGGCAAGATCCTGGAGAAACTGAATCCTATTGTTGGAGAGGTCCAAGTCTCGGAGGGAATTCAGCCCAGCGCGCACCAAGAACTCCAGTCCTCCCGCTATCCTATTGTCCGACAGGATCAGACGCTGCAAGTTCCTCAGCCGCGGGAAGTTCTCGAGGGACGAGACCCCCACGTTGGCGATCGAAAGGTGCTCCAGGCTCTGGAACTTCTCCAGCAATCGCGGCGACGGTAGCCACCCGTGGAGGCACTTCACAGCCCCATCTAGGGTAAGCGTCGTCGGCGGCGCTTTGGGGTCCGCCTGCTCTTCTAGGGCCGCCTCTACGGCCCTCTGCCACACCCCGTTCATCCCGAGATTCAGCTCGTCGCTCCACCTGCAGAATAAGACAACAGAGAAGAATCCACAGCCCACTTCCGAAGACGAGCAGCCAAGCCCCTCTCCTCTCTGGAAGGTAAAACCTTCTACGAGAAAACCCTAGCCATGGGATGGCAAGGAGATCAAGCCCGCCCTAATTTAAAATTCTTTATCCGACTCCTCATCTTAGAGATCCCTCCCCCCCTCCCCCCCTCCCCCTTGAAGATCGTCGAACAGAGGTCCCCCTCCCCGTCCATGAGAGGACCCTATCTCGCGGTGTGGTCACCGCTCTGGCCCCAGTCAACCCTGTCGAAGCGGAAATGTGGATCGTCCGATGGCCATACGCGGATCGCTGACGTGGGTAACTCTGCGCTTCCGATTCCTACGGCTTGTGCTTGCCTTTCTCTATTTGGCGGAGGGCCGGGCGCAGATTACAGAAAAACCCCACTTTTTGTATACTAAATACCCATATCGCCATTATCTAATTATATTTAAGGATGATTGTTTTTATACAGATGAAATTATTTATTCATCGACTGACTTGAACGCTTTACTTTATTTCGAGAGAACTTCGTTGCTTGAATAATGGAGGATGGAAAGGGCATATCAGTCATTTGGATACGTTCATTATTATTTCATAGCATGCGCCATGCTGAGCTCTCTCTTGTGTGGGATATCTATACGGAATTAATAATATGGATAAATCGAAATATTTATTTTTACTAAATATGAGATTTATTATTTATTTAGTTATTTGATAAAATATAGGAAGAAAACAATTCCGTTCCATGAGCGGAATTGATCGGAATATCCGCGGTTCTGAAGGAACTTCTGAAACAATGAACTGGGGCCGTCTGATGGGTAGACCCTCCCTCTCTCTCTCTCTCATCTCTCGCTCTCTGCTCGCCCCCTCGGGGGGATATCATCGCTTTGGGTGCTGAAGACACCGGGAGGCAGGAAGATACAGTGTCTTCTTCCCACTTTCCCGGCTCCAGATTCCGCCTCCTTCCCATCCCCGCCCTCGCCCCTGGACTTCTCTGGCGATAGCCGAGATGTCGTCCATGGTGGTCTCCGCACACTTGGGCCTGCCGTCCCGTCCCCCCGCATCCATTCGATGCAGCGGCAGGTATACGAGGGATTAGCTCACGCTTGTGTTAGATATTCGTCAGTAACGCGCGGGTTGTTCTTAATTTCTGTCTCTCTCCACTCATCTTTAAGTTTTTTGCTCTCAGCAGCTCAACGAAGCTATGTTTAAGCGCTTCACCGGGTCCTCGCGGTAAGTTCTTCCCCGTCTGATCATGCGCTTCCTTGCGAAATGTCTTTTCCTCATCCGCATAGGTACTCCTGCCGTTCCTGATACTTGGCTTATGCACAGCTTTTCTCAAATGTCATTATTTCATGCACATCATGCCTTGAGCCCATTTGTCGTTTTAACCGGGCAGCTTGACGTCCACTAGCTACAAGGGCTTAGTTTCGAAGCACAACCATTAGAATCTCGGCTCTCATTGTCAATGTTGACAGTGAAGTGATCTCTTCTTTATCCTCCCAGTTGGCATGAACCCCAGGGTTCTTTTAAGCAGCACCATCGCAAGTTCTTATATTTTGACTTGAGAATAGGTGCCCACCAACTTGGCGGGCCATGCATACCTGATATTTGGGGGTAGTGCCTTCATAATCTCAACGTAGTTTCTTCAAGAAAGTTCTAAGTATGAATAGCTATGACTTGTTGAAAGCTGTACTACCTATGGACCAAGCCGGCAGTTATTTGACCAAGCACCACCCGTTAAAAATGTGCACGAGTCGTATCATTTTTTCATACAAGTAGAACATTCAGTTATGTTCATAGTTATCACTTCACGTCATTTCCTTTTTAGCTTGGTCTATGCAATCAATGTGGAATTAACGATTCGGTCGTTTGTTAGACATCCTGGTCATTGGATTTTCCGCTTAAAAATGATTATTGTCTTTCAAATTATTCAGCTGGTGTCTGTTTGAATGTTGTAGATTTCCTCAGATAGCCGGTTCTATTTTGCATTTACAGTGGGGATTTTTTTTTCTGAAATATGATCAGGTTTGCAGAGCGGATCCTACGGATTATCTCAAAAAGCTGATGACCGGCGTCAACATCACAGTGAATCGAGGTATGTTTGTGCCCCATTCTCTCTCCCTCAGTGGCAAAGTGTTACAACAGGAGAAGTGTTTATCAGTTCCGCAATGATCCGAATTTTGCAGTTAAGTAGCTTGATTCATTGTGCCCTTGACTTATGCAGAGAAAATGTTTAATCCGGTTATTGTTTAGATCATATGTCCCAAGAATGTGAGGATTATTGCATTAATACTTTTTCTGTGATTACTGTTTCTAGAAATTTAGGGCATACACTCAGCTGAGGAGGGTCTTAATTCCGTTATGACATATCTTTGCCATTTTTTCTTCGCCACAAGTTATTTTTGATTAAAGATTTTTTTTACTTAGTTGGTAGTCTAGCACATGCGACGAATATACTTTATTAAGTAAATAATATGAAAATATTAGCACATTTATGTGCATGAGTTGAAGGAGAGGAAATACGTGTAGAAAATAAAAGAAAAGGAAAATAAGATTGAGAGAAATGTAAGCACGACTATGTGGAAATAGCTAGGGAGAAGAATGAAAAGAACATTAGAGCAGGATGGATGATAGACTACGCCATTAGCACACAGAAGCATAAGCAAGGAATTCGAAAGTAGTAGTGGAAATAGAATGTGCACTTACTTTTATTAAAGGTCGGGCTGGTCAGTCTTTCTCCGTTTCTCTCTATTTTCCAATAGCCAGTATGTAATACGTGTATTGTTGATCCATTTTGCTGATAGCTTCGTATTGTAAAATGAATGCATGGCTACACTTATTTACTTTATAATCAATTCATAGTACCTAGAATGAAAAAAAGGAATTGTTTTATCCTTTGTTTTCCTACTCAACAAGAAAAGAAGTGTTTTTTAGGTTCAATCCAATTGCAAAAGCATGATATGCTATTTCCATAACATTCTACGTTAATCAATGTTGAATCTAAAATTTTGTGTGATTTATACCTGATGACTTCAATCATTATTTTGTGGTTCGACAGTGGGGAAGGTTTATCACCACACCATTTTTAATGGTAAATGGATGAACCAGTTTGAGAATACTTTCTTCACTAGATAAAACGGTGTCCCTGTAGTTTATTATTTTATCAACATTATGCCTATAGAAAGAAGTTGGTACATTTTATCTCTTTTGAGTTCCTGCTGATGCAATCTGTGTAGCTTTTGGTCCTTCATGATAGCCTCCTTTATTTTGGGGGTCGTTGTGTGGGCTTTGTGTCTGTCAACCCATGCTCTTCCCAGTTACCTCAACTAATTAAATAGTCATGCTTTTAGAGTTGTACCTCATACCAAGAAGGATGGTATTTTGGGGGAGTTGGAGTAGAGCAAACTGTAGGGGTGGGGATAAAATAATCTATGAGCTAAAGTGGCCAAGGCTTTCTAAACGATTTTTAAAGCCAAAGTAGAACTAAAGAACCTGGGAGAAGGAAGGCTATCCAAAGGTAGATGCTACGTATAAAAACTGATCCTGAGATGTATAATTTCACTATGCGTCTTACAGATGTTAAAAATTGATGCGGATCTGATGATTATTAGATTCTAGAATATGATTGGACCTGTTACAGCCAATCCCCGCTAGCAACTTGTATGGGGCAATAAACCATGATGATGGTAGGATACTCTGAAGGTAAGCCTAGGAAACGGGATGTCATAGTTCTGAAGTTTTGCTAGGATTTTTTTTGTATATAAAGATGGGGAAAAGCAAAAGGACCTATTCTAGCGACATAAGGTCGTATATGGATGCATTCCGTCAGTTTGTGGTTCCAATTTGAAGGTTCAATTGGTCTTTTAAAGCCCTTCATACTGCTGCTGTCAGAGTTGAAGCAAAGAAAAGAAGACGATTAATCAAACTCAGTATCACTCCTGCCCCATTGCCGCTGGTTCTTCCTTTTTCTTCCTTCACCACCAACATCCTGCTGTCACTATGTTGCGCGTTGCATCCTTATTTCATCAATTATGCACATGTTGCCTGTCTGATTTCAAGGGGGGATCCTGAAGAAGAAGAAGAAGAAGAGACATGGGAAAAAAGTGAAAAGAAGCAATCCACCAACACACAGAGACACCCAAAAAAATGAAAAAAAGGAACGAGATACTAATCAGGTCATTGGGAACCTGTTATGAATCAGATGAAATATCATTTCTACGGAATTACATGACCTACAACCATCAGTCCTTTGACAGTGATGAAGAGTGTCGACATCCACTAGTGATACAATATCATTGTATTTGAAGTTGTTTTTGATCTGAAACTCTGGGTTAGCTTTGACTTAGATCGTTTCTGGCACCCCTGCAGCAAAGGTGCCAATTGTTTCACTCTTTACGCCCCACCGTCTTGTTTTCTCCATAATTTTATCAGTCTGCTTCAAACTATTGAAAGTATTGGTGAAACATTTTTACTTTATCTCCTGTATTATTGTTACTATTTTACTTGGTTACTAGGGGATCTTGCTGCACTAATTTTATGTTGTGAGATTGTAAGATATCTTCTGACGTTTCGTATTTTGGAGTCTCAGAACACTATTGGTCTTTGTTAAAGCATATTCTATTTGGAAATCATTGGGCATTCTTGTCCTGGTAGTCATTGTTCTATCCATGGTGAAGAGTAAAATAAGTCCCCCTTTCGATTCAAAATTGCCAACAATTGTTGGGAATCGTGTTTGATTAAAAATTGTCCATGGTGACTAGAAGAGAACACATTCATTGTTTTCTATTAAAATCTTCTCTCGAAAAATTAATCGGCATGAGGTTAGTAGTTCTATGTCTGATAATTTACCATATTTGGTGCTTGTATTTTGCCTTTTCATTTGTAGGTTCAGTGCTGTTATCGAAGCTAAAAAGGGGAACCCTCCTGTAATGCCATCCATTATGACACCTGGAGGGCCTTTGGATCTCTCTTCTGTTTTATTTCGCAACCGTATCATCTTCATAGGGCAACCTATCAATTCCCAAGTGGCGCAACGTGTTATTTCACAGCTTGTGACCTTGGCAACCATTGATGAGAACGCTGATATTCTGGTATTATAATGAACACCCTACTTACCTTACAGTTGTATTCTTCGCTTATATTTTGTCTGGAAACGTGAACAACGCGGTGGTTCCTTTCCACAGATGACGTATGTTCACTGTCTCCTAACATCTGTATCTTTCCTTTGGCAGATGTATCTGAATTGCCCGGGTGGGAGCACGTACTCTGTTCTAGGCATTTATGACTGTATGTCTTGGGTAAGGGTTTTTATTCTTTTCCCGCCTCTTAATGACAAGCACCTACGATTAAGTTTAAAAGTTTTTCTATTTTTTCGAACATTTTCGGTTCCTATTCTGCGAATGATTACATGGCATCTAGAGCATCTATGTTTGGCATCTGTGTCATTGTTATGATATCCGAGAAGCGTATGCTCGTGCTGCTGTTTCTCACGTAAGAAAGTAGAACAGTAGACAGAAATCTTATTGGTCCGGTAACTTCATCAGGATACTGAGAAGGGGAGGGAAGGCATGAGAAACGCAAGCCATTACTTGACAAAATTGAGAAAATGACTTGAAATGTACAATTGTATGATCTGGGGCTATGAATAAATAGATGCATAATCTACAACAGAGCTGACGATTCAGTTCCCCCGATCAGGCCATCTACCCATTTATGACATTTTTCCTTAGATGATTAGGCAGGCTTGCTCTCAAGACGAAGTTCAATGTAGGGGTTTATGTTCTCATGGTTCCTTCTGGGAAGCGGTCTGACGCTGAGATAACTCACAGTTTCTCTTTTGGTTGACTGTTGAATTTTGTCAACGCCGGATTATGTTAATTTCCTGAGGGTCATTGGAGAAAAAAGAAAGTTGTTTGCCCAATAAGTTTCCTGTGCTCAATGGTCTCTAATTTTCGGAGCTAAACAGATGTTCTTTAGCTGTCCAGATAAAGCCTAAGGTGGGCACAGTATGCTTCGGCGTGGCTGCCAGCCAAGGAGCACTTCTTCTTGCTGGAGGGGAGAAGGGGATGCGTTATGCCATGCCCAATGCCCGGATCATGATTCACCAGCCACAGAGCGGATGCGGGGTGCGTTCCTCGGCGACTGGTTTTGCCCCATTTTGGGCCTCTTAGTTGACCTTTCTTGCTATTTACAGGGGCATGTGGAGGACGTCAGACGACAAGTCAATGAGGCCGTTCAATCTCGCTATGTAAGTCTCAATCTTGCAGATTATATGCTTCCTCGTCGGCCCTTAACACCGATTCAGATCTCCACTTATGGCAACAGCTCTTACGAAACCTTACTAAATCCAGATCTACGGCTAAAAGATCATCTAATTTTTAAAAAAACGGGAATAATTCAACAAAGTTGACCAGTTTGAAATACCCACAGAAAATAGACAAGATGTATGCTGCCTTCACTGGTCAAACGCTGGAAAAAGTCCAACAATACACCGAGAGAGATCGATTCTTCTCTTCCTCTGAGGTAACACCCAGCCAAGGATGATATCTTATCTTCAATCTTGTATGATTGTGTGGTGAATTGGAGGAACCGGACCTCATCCATGGATCCTGAACACAGGCGCTGGAGTTCGGGCTCATCGACGGCGTATTGGAGACCGAGTACTGATCTCGCCAGAGAGACCGGGCTGTCTGGGCTCTGTTCTTGTTCTGGTCAGCGTCAGTTCGTCCGATTCTTGGCCTGTAGATTTATACTTGATCGCGATAGGCAACATGTACTCCTGTGAACATAAAGTTTTGACCTTTGAGCTACTGGGTTATTGTTTTGACCTTTGAGCTACTGGGTTATTGTTTTGACCTTTGAGCTACTGGGTTATTGTTTTGACTTTGCGATCATGAACTTTGACATAAAAATATTGAGCGCCGAATATAAAAGTCAGCGGGGTTTTCACCCGTTGCTTCTCCACTTGGGAAGAAATCTCCAAAGAGGTGGTCCAGAGGGGTATGTATAAAAGGAGGAAGAGAGGAACTGGGGTGGGCGGAGAGTGGGAGGAAGATGCGTTGCCCGTTCTGCAAGGGGACGCAGGGGCGGTGCGCCGCCACGGCGTCGGGGAGGTGGGTCACGGAGTGCTGCTCCTGCGGGCGAGTTGTGGAGGAGCGGCAGGTCCAGGAGCACCAGCTCTTCCTCCTCCGCGCTCACGACAACCCCCTCTGTGTCGTCACCCCGGACCTCTTCGTCGGCACGCCCGCGGCGGAGCAGGATGAAGGGGAGAAGGCGGAGGTCTCTGCGCTGCACAGTACAGAAGATGGAGGAGAGGAGGACCCCTTCGAGCCGACGGGGTTCATCTCCGCTTTCTCCACTTGGTCCCTCGAGCCTGCTCCCGTATTCGCGCGGTCCAGCTTCTCCTTCTCCGGGCATCTGGCCGAGCTCGAGCGCACCCTCTTCTCCACATCGTCGGCGTCCTCGTCTTCCGCTTCTTCGGCTGCGGACTCATCGGGGCCACTCGTCTCGGTGGATCACCTGAGGGCATACCTGCAGATTATTGACGTCTCTTCGATTCTGGACGTCGACCACGACATCACCGATCACGCCTTCCAGCTCTTCAGAGACTGCTCGTCCACGACGTGCTTGCGGAATCGCAACATTGAAGCCCTCGCCACAGCGGCCCTCGTCCAGGCTATCCGCGAAGCGCAGGAACCCAGAACCCTCCAGGTACTTCAAACCCTCGCACGAAACGTCTCTTCGATTCTGGACGTTTCGTGCTTGCTCCAAATAAGTTTCACCGATGATGAAATGATGGATGAAGCTGGGTAAAACTCGGACCCTTTTCTTCAATCCAAGAGAGTTATTATCGATCGATCTCACTGGTTTCTTGCATTGAATCCTTCTTTGTGTGGTTCTCAATCCATCCGGAACATCCGACCAAGTGCAAGCTTCGTCGCGGATTCTTCCCATCTAATTAGGCAATAATCGTGTATATATATGTTGAGTCGATCGTTTTCAACTATAAAATTAAGGTAAATGGAGCACAAAAAAGCGGGAATTACTTCTCCTTTAAATGATATCCCATTACTAAGACACTGAATTCTTTTTAATCCCGTGCTAGCACGTTAGTGGGTGATCCAGAGACGCGCTTATGATGCCTGATAAGCCCCCTCGTCCTAATAAACTCCATAATCTTCTTATCGACAGCTCTCAATCTCTTTTCAGTCTCTGAAAATCTCCATCGGTGTGTTGTATACTCTCTGGGATTTGAAATCAGAATTGAGTCCTAGCCACTGAACGAAGCAGCTTTGTTCATCTTCTCTCGGGCATTTTCTCTGCACATGGCTCAGCTAACATGAAATGTTATTAATGGAGTCAATTGGGTTAAAGGTAGCTGTCCCAAGGATCTCGTCACGATTCATGTTGATATTAACCAGAGATCGCTGTCGCAAGCACTAAGATGAAACCATTTTTCTGCCAGGAAATCTCTGCAGCGGCCAACCTCCCCCAGAAGGAGATTGGAAAATATATCAAAGTTCTTGGTGGGTCCCTGCAGCTTAGTCAACCCATCAACAGTAACTCCATTGCAGTCCATATGCCAAGGTTCTGCACGCTCCTCCAGCTTAATAAGTCGGCGCAGGTGTTTAGACCCGGATCTTTTGCCTTAACCATAGTAAGTCAACGTTATCATATTCTGGGTGCTGTAAACCCGCGATTTTCGCAGGAACTTGCTGCCCACATCGGGGAAGTCGTGATCAACAAATGTTTCTGCACCCGTCGGAATCCCATCAGCATCTCTGCGGCGGCCATTTATCTCGCCTGTCAGCTGGAGGATAAACGCAAGACCCAAGCCGAGATCTGCAAGGTCACTGGTCTTACGGAGGTTACCCTTCGGAAGGTCTACAAGGAGCTGCTGGAAAACTGGGACGACCTGCTCCCCCCCAACTACACTCCCGCTGTGCCTCCGGAGAAGGCCTTCCCCATGACCACAATCTCCTCAGGGCGTTTCGCAGCTAACAAAGCAGAGCCAGTTGAGGCAGGCCCTTCGAGCGCTCAGCTAGAGAGAGAGAAGCACCCCACAGCTGCCAGAATCACCAAACAGGAGTTTCAAGAGCAAGAAGCTCCAGCGAGGGGGAAGGACGCGGAGAGTTGCTCTTTTCTGGGTGCCCCTGGAATCACCGTCCGGGGCTTGGATCAGGCGCCCTTCGGCTCTTGCATGAGGCCGGATGGAGTCAAGGGAGATCGAGCCGATGCTGCTAATGACACCAAGTTTGCTCCCATCTCCCCTTTTAAGACCGATGGAACCACAATGGGCTGCAACATGTTCCAGAGAGCCGGCCAAGTCCGGGGTCCCTCGCCTCCTGATGGCCACTCCAACGTGAGGGCATTCCATCTTCAGTCTCCTGCCCATGGGGAATCCCAGCCCCCCTCCAGGCATTATCAGACTGGTTCTAAATTTGCTTCAGGTGCAGAGCACTGCTAGGCATGTGGGCATTGAGCTGCCTGGCATTAATGTTGAGGAAGCCTGCAATGAATCACTAGATGTTTGAAATCTTAGAGGCTGATGTAACTAGCTGCTGTTTTCTGGGTAAATATCTCCGGATTATGATCTCTTCTTCTGCGCTGGGAACCCAAGCCAGTGTTCCTGGCAGGTTATTCTTCGCTTCACTTCTGAATTTCTTTCCCCGGGCTTGAGCTGGGTCCGTTGCTTGTGGCTAAAAAGAAGAGATTTTCTGTAGAATTTGGTGAAAAGCAGAGAAACCAGAGACGTTCTTCATTATGATTGGGTAAACAAATATATCTCTATGTAACAATAGACACGTTCTTTCCTCCCCTCCATGTACATAAACAATAATAGAAACCCTAAAATCTGCATAGCGGTAACCAAGACGTGGAAAAAAAATCCTTTACTTCCTTCTGCTACACCTCCATCTGCCTTCTCTTCTCCAGCCTGTGATGTACATGATTTGTTTTCCCCTTTATGAACCTGTGGGAAAAAAGATCTCAGAATGTTGGGCAAACGAAACAGTAAATAAATTTAGAGACTGCATAGGAGCAAGAAGATGGCGGGCATCAAAGAAGGATCAATCTTAAAAGCCCACATTATAAATCCATTTAAGAAAATGGTGTTCTAGCAAGATTCAAAATGGGAAAACCCTGAAATCATCAAGAAACTATGTTGGCAATATGATAATAGAGACCCCAGGTGGCAAATTCAAGAGCATACCATGGTTCTGTTGTTTCTTTGACAGATCATAGATCGCTTTTATGACAGCCCCATAGTTCATTGACTTCAATGGACCCATATGTCTGCAACGGGATCAGACCGAACAATCAGTTTGATGAAACAACTCTAAACATGACCAGAAAAGTAATATTTTCATAGTTTTATCCAAAAGAAGCAGCAAAACATTGTCGTCTGTAATTCAGAGAATGCTTTCGTTTCTTCAATCATTTACATGAAAGAACTCAACATGTGGCCATGAAAATACTTGAAGTCAAATCTTTATCCAGAACAAAGAGCAAGGCCTGTCTTCCGTAGTTCAGAGAGTAACACTGTTCGTTCAGAAGATGATAAGCGCACTACAGTGATGACTAAGCCCAATACTGGCCGCATTCATACCTAAACGGACTTCCTCAGTGGGTGAAGAGAGGGAAAGAACTCATTATGAAGACCCAATCTCCTACCCACACCACAATTTTCCAGTAGCTCGAATAGAAAAATGGCAGTCCACAGGGGTCCGTCCTCACTTTATCATCAAGTTTTTCCATCTTCTGCTGTCTTTAACTTATTCTCAGTAAATATGTACATTGTAAAACTCCGAAGGAGACTTACATTTATCTACAAACATGATATTAATTTGAAAGAAGGTAAACGTTATTAGTTAAATACTCCAGGTTCCACAAATTAGTAGGAAAAAGTTGAAATTCTGTTTGGATGAATCTATCGATGCTTATGCATATCTCGTACATTTATAAATGAGCTTGGGGACAATTCATGGCACTCTTCACCGACATAAATTGTCCGTTTTTGCTTTTCACCAGAAGTGACAGTCTTTCATGAACACAATGGATCTTGTCAACTCCAAGGGAAAGGAAGAATCAGAGCATATTCTACACATTTTTTTATATTTTCTGGGGAAGGGAGCAGATCCTAACTTGGATAAAAGAAGAAGACACCTACACAATTTCAGTGTATCGCATCCTCCATGCGGGAAATCCTAAGTGACACCTTATTGGTGAAAACACCAGAAGAAGTTCAGGTTCTGGCCCGCTACAACCTACAGAGGCAAGAAACTCAGTCAATAAGTTAAAGAAATTCAGCCTTATGGATAACGTGTGAAGTGAAAGGGATAAAAATGGCAGCAACGGAAGGGAAAAGAAACATGGTGAACACTAACCCACTATTCTTAAAGCCTCAGCTATATCAGATTCTGAAAGGACTGGCTCTCTGGTTTCTCCCATCAGATTATTATCTTCCAAATATTTCGAGCATAGGAAACTTGCTGCTTTCGCAATAGCTTCTTTCCCATCAGAGTACGAAAGAAATTCCAGTGACATCTTATCTTGATTAGGTAGTGGACTCGAATCCTGCATATCATTGCCCCGAACGTAGAAACACCATGCAAATCAGATGAATGTCATATGTAAAAGTGGAAGAAGTAGATGCTTTTATATAAAACCTACATAGAAAGTCAAAGTTAAATCGAGCCACCTCCTCAGACTGGATTCAGATCTCTTCAAGACACCTGAAACATGATATATAACTCGTTATTGGTCAAAATACAAGAGGGAAAGAACAAAAAATAACTTTACTTCAGACATCAGAATTGCTTGCAGTCCAGCTTTTTCTTATTTAGAAGAACAGAATCTAATATGCAACCCCTAAGAGTATTCGTCTATAGGGGAAGTCAATTCTGGGTTCAGAGTTGAGACTTACCTTCCATATCATAAAGGATGACATTCTTTACACCGATACTTGACAACCAGCGCAAGAGATTTCTTATTCTCAAAGTATCTACAGCTTCTCCACTGTCTACAACAATGGCTAGACATTGGAGTTTATGTAACGGGAGAACCCTGTACTTCTTAAGCATACCACTTGAGATGAGAAAATAGTGTAGTAGCTGAAATAAATACGCCCCAAAGTGCACCATGAGGACGGAAAAATGAAGTAGATGCAAGCAAAAGCCCAGCATCAAACTCCATACGATGGATCTTTGGAGCCTCTGCATATATCCAGAGAAAATAACTAACCATTCATACAAAAAGCTCTATACCGGAACAAAACCCTAGCTTTATCGAAAACAAACAACTGTTGACCACCGTCCCCACTCTTTCCCCCATGCTTCGACGTGGGAAGAAAGATTGGGTACTCAAATAAAATATAGATTGAGATTCGAAAAAAATATAAAGTGTTTTTTATGCACTAATTCATCAGTTCTGATGAATCATAGTATAAAAAATAAGGATTTCATGTCAACTATATGAGACGGTTACAACTTTACCCATTACCCAGAGAAGCGCTAAGCTTTTTCACCGAAGAGACACGCAGAGACAATTATAAAAACTTGCCAGCAACCCATGGCTTGGCTGTCGACAAGGGTTTTGCGTCAAGAAACAGATTTGATATGTTAAATACGGGATCAAGATCGAAGTAACGAGGGATGCGTTCTTAATGAAAACTTGAGTTACGTCAACTGCTCAATAACCATCATCCACCAAATCCCAAGCTACTGGATTCGGAGGCAAGCGTGCAGTACGTCAAGCCGCTATTCATTTTCCTTCCATCACCAGTTAAGGAGAAAAAGGAGAAACGAATAGCCAGAAGGTGAACGAATGGGTAAGAGAAAATCCCTACAAAAACCAGAAAGCAAGCCAGAAACCTATTTTTAGCACCAAAAATGAAAACTATCATGAAAGGGGAAGGAGTGGCACGTACAATGAGCAGTCCTTGCATGCCCGATAGAGCCAGGGGCCTGACGAGATGCCAAAAGGTAGAGCCACACTATTGCCACTATTGTCTGCCTCTCTGCAACGACGATGTAGTCGTTCCTCCGATTTCCAATTGATATCCCGATACAGATTAAAAGACAGCCCCGAGAACGAGCGAATTTAGAGAGAAAAAGCTTCTCGCGCAAAGAATACTCCCAGAGCAATGCGCTGGCCACCTTTTCGTGAGCCCAGCGGAGCAGGGAGAGCCACTTGGGCAGTCCCTACCACATCAATTCAGGAAGCAGCACGAGCAGCGGCGAAGAACTGTAGCATGGACGCGTTTGGTCGGACGAAACCCGCGTTCGGACTGCATTCCCTGTGCGCTAGAGACGACCGCCTCCCGCCGTTTGTTTTCACGGTGGAGGAATTCGGTAACGGAGGGAGGATTATCGACCGCCGGCAGGGAGGAGGGAGAAGAGCAGCGCCGCCGGGGGGGGAGTAGATAAATCCCTGGAGGCATAGGCATAGACGGAGAAAGCAGAAGCGAGTAAATAGCTCTACGAACGAATGGATCGGGTCGAATTGGAAAATGGAGGGGGATGGAAATGGAAGAGGCCGCTGGGTATCCGGGCCGACGTGACTTATTTTCAAGCCCAAGCCCGTTCAAATTTTGGCTGCCCAATATATGGGCTGAATCAGCCCATTAAGGCGGTTGAAGATAATCGGGCCATCAGGGACCGAGACCCTATATGAGGATCCGATGTGTAGCGGTTGTCGACGCCACGATCATCACCATTACTATTATATTAGTATTTGTTATGAGAGAAGTGGAGACTTTCTGGGTCCGGCTGTATTCCTTTGATTCTCCTTTCGCTGTCTCCTTCGGGAGGATACCAACGTGAACAGACAGAGAGAGACGTCTTGCCCCACCACCAGCGGCGGCGGCGACAGGGAATCCGAGTGGAGCGATTGTCCAGTCTCGGTGATCTCCTCTGATACTCTGCGGAGGACACCTCGATCCGATGAGATGAAGGACGTGGATCTGTTGCTGTCGTCCGTCGCGGGCGGGGGCGGCGACATCGGCTTCCTAGGAAGGGGGCGGTACAAGTTCTGGGCGCTCGCAGCCATCATCCTCCTCGCCTTCTGGTCGATGTTCACCGGCACTGTCACGCTCAAGTGGTCCGCCGGCAACCTAAACCATATTACCGATGACATCGACGTGCCGATCTATGAAGACCTTGACGTCCTGGTATGTGCCTCGTTTTGTTGTCTGCCTTGCATTCTGCCCGTCCGGCACACGGGAATCTGAAGATCCTGGCGCTACTTCTTGTGTTGGACAGGAGATGGAGGAGAGGGAGAAGGTGGTGAGGCATATGTGGGACGTGTACACGCACAGCCAACGGATCCAGCTTCCGCGCTTCTGGCAGGTGGCGTTCGAGGCAGCTTACGAGGACCTAGCGAGCGGCGAACCTGCAGTGCGGGAAGCCGCCGTTTCCGAGATTGCCAAGATGTCCATCCGGATCGTAGATCTAGAGCCTCCTCCTCGACAACATTCTACGGTAAGTGGGTTCCTCCAGAAGAATATCTGTTGCGTCTTTATTGTCAGAGAAATCCCATGGAATATTCCTGAATCTCCCTCATGACTATGAAACTTCAATCACCCTTCCCCTTTTCCCTAGACTCAAAGTAACGTTGTCATGACTATTGTCAGTCATCGAAGAGGACTACTTTGAATCCTCCCCATCCTACATACATTCTAAGCCGGTGAAAGGTGTTTTCGACCTCAGAACAAATTAAAAAACTGTGCTCGTATATCTATATCAATAATCTTCGTCGAAAAGTTACGGCTGGTTAAAATATGTCAAAATATTTCATTACATAGTTGTCGTGTCCCATGCTACTAGCATCCTATCAGTTTCTGATGTTCTACTTATAATTTGTACTCTGTCACGAGTGTTTGTGCATTTACTGCTTGATTATTTTCGGCCTGTCCTGTCTTTCTGAGTCTTTTATGACCATGCTGACGGTGGTGGATCGTTTATCTAGTTTCTGAGTCTTTATCCTGAGTTCTTGCTAAACTTTGAAAAGTACAGAGCAAACAGCCTTTAGTCCTTTCTGCCGACCTTATGTAATGGAATGTAGCAACCTATTTACTTACAGTTTTACATCTACTTAATAGTCAGAGTTTTGTATCTTCTTATCAATCCTCTGTTCGTATTATTGTAGGGATCGACCATATTCGCATGTATAGAAACCTGTAGCAATATTTTTCTTCATACTTCTACTTTTGTTCAGGTCAGTGGTGAAATGAATAACCAGGATATTGGAGGGACAAAGACAAAGTCATCACCAGATAAGTGAGAACATGAGTACCAAAGGTAAATTCCTAGTCAGATTTCCGAAAAATTACCACAAAAATTACGAGGCTTTGTTTAGTAAGCAGCATATATTACGATACCAGAGAGCTGACGTTGTAGCATTCAAAGAACATTTTTGGTATTCTGGTTCTGAAAGTTTCACGTATCTTGAACCTTCTCAGTTCGCTGAGGCATTATTGCCCATCTCTGTGCTATTCTAAGATGCGTGGTCATCCTATTTGCACATGACAAAGAAATGAGGTCAGAACTATCTGCGTTTATGAGTATATAATAAAATGGAATTTATATATCTATGTACAAGTGATTTTCTGGGTTTTCTATCTCACACCTGGCCTGATGATCTTCAGAGGCAATTATGTAGAGTCAGTAGCCCATTAGTTGGCTGATTTGTATTTTCTGTTTTCTGTAATGACGTTGCATACGAGCAATAGTTTCTTATTAAATGTTTGCACGATCAAAAGATATATCTGATTCATTGCCCTTTGCATATCAGTAAGCACTCTGAGATCATTGTTTTGTTGTCACCTGAAACCAGATACAGTACAGGCTTCTTCTCTTTACAGAGATGATGGACACACGTAACCCACCACACGCGTCTATTTAAGGTGAAATTATCGGTATTTAAGATGCTCCCAGGCCTACTAACTACGAATGGACAGATATGAATGATGTCTTTCATGGTTTAACATATAAGCCTTGGCACTGATTGGCCGGTGGGATAATATGCCCTTAAATTATGTGATCTGTGTTTCTCTTACATTGAGGTAAATCCAATCAACGCCCATTTCGCAGGTTTAGTAGTTAGTTTCTAGAAAGAGTCATTTTCATCACGTATATGAAATCAGAGCAGCAGAACATTCTTTATTATTCTTCCATGCGGTTTCAATGAAAAAAAGGGAAAACTATGGTCATATGGTGTTCTATCTCAGATATATCAAAATCTGAGATAGGCATGTTCTAGTTGCTCTCATCTCATGTCATTCTGCGACCACCTTGCTTCAATATATATGAGCTAAAAAGCCAATTATTAATAATATTTATATAGGGAAACATGCTGCTTTGTGTTGAGTTTTTTTCTAGGTATTTATCTGCCTCGTTGAACATATCTTAGTTTTATATGGTTTATCTGTTCTGAGATGCCTACTTGAGAAGCCCACAGACATATTCCATCATCTAGATTAGTTCTCACTGCATTTGCGTTTGTCGTCACAACTGGCAATTTGGTATTCAGGATTAAATTCACTGGTGATGATGATGATCATCACCGTGATGATGATGATGATGATGATGATGATGATGATGAGAAACATAGCAAAATTATCTTATTCTTTATAGTAGAAAGTGTGCATTAATGCAAAATAATTGAACGGCGATTCTTGGTAAGAGAGGCCTCAGGAGAAGTCACAGCTCACTAAGATTTTCAAAGCCGCATGTATTAGACTAGTGTTATCTTTGTGGCACGGCAAACATTCTATTGGGCCTGGGACGAGATGGTCTCGATCTATTGGAAGAGCAGGTTCGCCTGCGAGTCGGTCATTTTCTCTCTCTAGATCCGAACATGAGATTTCGGAATTATTTAATTCCAAGGGAAAAGTGATTAAACTAGATCCTAACATGCCGTATAGCATGGAAAATATTATGTTTCATGTGCTAAAATCCTATGGAAATATAAAATCTGGTTGGGTTATCACTAATCGATTATGTTGGCTCAACTGAATTTAGAAGAGTACGGGCATGTTCCATGGTGCAGAATAAAAACCGCATTTTTTTATTTTACACGAGTTCACAGTGGCTTGTTTTCTCTGAAATTTCTGAGATATATGCATATATACACACACATACATACATGCATATATATATCTATATGTATCGAGAGAGAGAGAGAGAGAGAGAGAGAGAAAGATATCAATGGGTCTGTCGATCGATCCGCTATGTCTCCCTCTACCCATCTTCTTGACTCAGATGTGGGTCGGAAGGATCAATCAGCTTGTGTTGCTCGGGTGGAGTATCCTTGCCTGCGTCACGATATGATCGTCTTCCAAGGGCTCCGCTTTGGTTCTGCGTTTACCAAGTTGACCGTCTGCAGTGTCCCGAGGCACGTTCGCGTCTTCCTTCCGGGCGAAGAGCAGCTCCACCTCCTCTAGAGTCTTCCATCGGGTCTCCGGGAGGAAGAAGAAGAAGAAGACCCAGCCGGCAATGGCAATCCCGGCGTAGAGGAGGAAGGCCCCCCCGGTGGTGATGGCTTTGGATAGAGACAAGAAGGTCATGGCGATGACGCCGCTCATCGTCCGGTTCATGGCGGCGCCCATGCTGTTCCCCTGCGCCCGCAGCCTCAGCGGGAAGATCTCGGAGCAGTACACCCACGCGATCGGGCCCAGCCCGATGGAGAAGAACGCGACAAATGAGAGGACAGTGGCGATGGAAAGCGCGACAGCCCAGATGAGGTGCTCGCCCGGGTGGTGATCGATCACTTTCAGCCCCAGTCCCAATAAAAGCAGGGAGATGATCATGCCGCCGGCGCTAGTCAGCAGCAATGGCCGCCGGCCCACGCGGTCGAGAAGGAAGGTCGCGACGAGGATGAAGGAGGCCTTGGTCACTCCCACCGCCACCGTCACGCCCAGCGTGTTCGTCTTCGTCTTGATGCCGGCTTTCTCGAACACGCGAGGGCTGTACAGCACCACCGAGTCTATCCCGGAGGCCTGCTGGAAAAACTGCAATCCGAGTGCGGCGAGAACAATCCGACGGATGGTCGGCGTCGGCGTTATCAGCAGCTCCCTCCAGACTCCTTCTCCGTGGCTTCGTTTCGGGACGGGGACGACGTCCTCGGTGCAACTCGCGGGGATCCCCGCGGCCTCCTTGATCTCTGCCAGCCTGAGTTCGACCTCTTCTGGGCTGTCCGAAGTCTTGTGGAGGACCCGCTTAGCGTCCCCGAGCCGGCCCTGCATGACAAGCCACCGGGGGGACTCCGGCATGGCCATCACCCCGGCGGCGAGGAACACCGGCGGAACGGCGCCGGCGCAGAACATCATCCGCCAGTTGAGGTGATTCGGGAGGCCGGCGAAAGCAAAGTTGGAGACGTACCCGAGCATGACTCCAGTATTGATGAATACCTCCGAGAAGGAGGTGAGGAACCCACGGACCTCGGTCGGCGCGACCTCGGCGGTGTACACAGGCGCTATGACGAGGGCGAACCCGACGGCAACCCCGGCGACGAACCTACCGACCATTAGCAACGCGTAATTGGGCGCCAGCCCCATCAGGAGCGCGCCGACGAAGAAGATGACGACAGCGATGAGGATGGTACAGCGCCTCCCGATCCAATCGGATATTCTCCCCGCAGCGAAGGATCCGATGAGAGAGTAGAGGTTGATGATTCCCGCTAGAATCTCCAGCTTGGTGTCGTCTATCTTTAGGTCCTCCTTGATGAAAAGAGCAGCCCCACTCATCACCGCGATATCTGAAGAATATTGAAGCATGTCAGAATAACCCAAACCAGCAATATTCAATGTAGACAAGTTCGCCCTCACCGTAGCCCAGAAGGATCGAGGTCATGGAAGCAAGCACGGCACAAGCGATGGCGTACTTGTTCCTTCCCCTCTTCTTAAGACTCTCCATGGCCGCTGTGGAGCTCTGGGGAGATGATGCAGCGAGCTCCTTAGCCTCCATTGTTCCTGTATTACTCGTCTCTGCCCGAAGACTGAAAGTGAGCCCTGGTGCTGGGTAGGAGGAGAGTAGCGCTTCATTTAAGGCGCTGACAATGGTATCCTAGCTAGGATGTAACCTGTAGAGTAGCTGGAGGCAGATTGAGTCATCAGTCGGGGCTATCGTGGTCCACTACTATGGAGCCACTATTCCTCAGTGACGGAAGCCTGTACAACGTCTATCTCTGTCTGTCTTTCCCTCTATCTCTATCACTCTCATGGACGGTCGGTAGGGAGCATCTGCAAAGCCACAATCTGGGAGTAGCTGAGGACAGAAAGAGCTCGTCGGAGCCACCCGAATGGCCACATCTTCCGGCGAAGTCCTTTTCCCCGAATCGTCGGCAATATTTGGTGCGGCGGACAGAAGAGGAGGGAGAGGCCCATGATCAGCATGAGACGGGAAGACTAGCGAAGATGAAAAACGTAAACCAGGGTCGTCCAGCGTAGACTGTCCACAGAATGACATGGTGGCAATAATAATCGCACAGGTTGCGCTGAAAATTCAACGAAGAATCAATACGATCGTTGTCTTCTTCTAGAGGTGGTCGGCTGGCGTCAGAAGAAAGATGTCCTCGCTCTTCGTCTGCCGTGTGAAAAGGGCGAACCAAGACGACGACCCGAGCATACAGAGGAGCTAGACAACAATGCGGCCATTCAGGGACGTCAAACTAGGCGTCAAACTAGGAGACAAAAGAACGACTCGAACCGGAGCATCCGTCTCTTCTCACACGTTCTGTTTGGTAAGTTATTTGCTTATTGTCTTCAAGCGGTATGCATAATTCAGCTGATCATGGGCGTGCTAATGAAGAAATTAGTTCCGAATTTGACAAGAAATCTACTCCTTGACAAGTTTGGCCTTGATAATATCAGCTCTAAGTTCTCATTATTGGATAATATCTTTATCAAAGCTGCTGGCAATCCAACTCAAAACTGGTTGTCAATTAATGGCGAATTCTCATCTTAATAACCACAACTGATTTTACTAATCACCGCAAATATCAAGATAACCCAGGTAGCTTAAGATCAACTATCAAGTCGAAGACCATGTTAAGATTATAAAACTGTGCAGGTCAAAGCAAATCAATAGTGGCAATATGAGCAAGCAAATCTTTACTTTAGATTACGGAAATATTCTTGACAGCGAGTGATGGAGAGTGAGGGTGACAGTAGACTAATAACAGTTTGGAAAAGAACCCGTTGATCTGAATTCAATTAATGCACCTCGTAACTAGCGGCGGCGAATACGAATGCGTATGATGAACTTAAAAAAAACCATTTTCGGATACTCCTGATAGTCAATTCATGCGTGTTTAACTCCCCCACACTCATGGACCAGCCACATGCGGGAAAAGCCAGACAGCTCAACTCTCTTCTCCCCGTGGTGTTCCACGCCCTATCCCCAATAATTGAACTCCGAGAGGATTGACGATAGCCATTGATTCTCCAGCTGGAGCACCACTGGAAGATCGTCAATCTCAGGTCGTCGTCGTCCCATCAGGCAGTCAACTGCATGCTCCAACCTTGACGGCACAGATTCGATCGGGAGATAGGCACCTATGCTTGCCCAATCTCGTTATGACACACACCCCCCATACCCCACTATCTTCCGTCTCCAAACCATTTCAGATGATTATCGTTGTATAATTAATATTGCATACTAGGAGATGAACAGAAACATACGACTAGCATTTATAGCATGTCTGCGGCCGTGAGGTTAGACACTTTTGGAGAAATGAGAAGGATAACCTCAAAGTCTGATGATCACATGAAATATTAGCATATATCGACGAACGATATTGCGAAGTCTTAGGGGTCATCCTCCTCCTCCCATGCACTACTTCGACTGGCTGAGCCCGTCTCTCTTAGCCTCAGGTCCACTCGTCTACCCTACCATTGATAATTAGCCCTTGCTTTATGGAACTGCCAAACCTCCCCAACCCGTGGTCCTTCCACGGAGGTGAGAGGTGCATTTACGCTGCGCCGTTTCCCGCTGCCAGCTGGATCTGGGCCTGACCTGCCGACTCCTCCTTATGGCCCTCCGTCGCGTTCTTGTCCTTGCTCTTGATGAAGAGAGTTTCGACCTCTTCCAGGGCCTTACCGCGCGTCTCAGGGAGGAAAGTGTAGAAGAAGATCCAGGCCACGGTGGCGATTCCGGCGTAGAGGAAGAAGGCCCCGCCGATGGTTATGGCCTTGTAGAGAGAGATGAAAGTCATGGTGAGTACGCCGCTCGTGATCCGGTTCAAGGCCACGGCCATGCTGACGCCCTGCGCACGCAGCCGAAGTGGGAAGATCTCCGAGCTGTAGACCCATGTAATGGGGCCGAGGCCTATGGAGAAGAAAGAGACGTAGGCCAGGATGCTAGCGATGCAGATGGCGATGGCCCATTCGAGCTTCATGTCCGGGTGGCGATCGACAACCGTCAGCCCGAATCCTAGCATAAGCAGAGACGCGATCATGCCGACAGTGCTGGACAGGAGCAGGGGCCTTCTGCCCACACGATCCAGGAAGAAGGTCGCCACCAGAATGAATGCGGTCTTCGTGAAACCGACTGCGACAGTTGCGCCAAGCAGGCTTGACTTCTTCTTGATACCGGCCTTGCTGAAAACCCGGGGACTGTAAAGAACCACCGAATCGATCCCGGAGGACTGCTGGAAGAAGTGTATCGCGAGACCGGCGATCAGAATCCGGCGAACAGTTGGGGTCGGAGTGATCAACAATTGCTTCCAGACGCCATCGCCGGGGGTTTTCTTAGGGACGGGGACTACGTCCTCGGTGCAGGACTGCGGAATTCCCGCTGCCGCCTTGATATCCGCGAGCCGCGACTCGGCTTCTTCGTTAGACTCGGATACCTTGATGAGAACTCGCCTGGCGTCGCCAAGACGGCCCTGCATGACCAGCCACCGAGGTGACTCGGGCATCGCCAAGACGCCGACGGCGAGGAACACCGACGGTATTGCGCCGACACCGAGCATAAGCCTCCAGTTGATGTTCTCCGGGAGGCCGGAGAAGGCGTAGTTTGAGACGTAGCCAAGCAAGATGCCAGCGTTGATGAAGAACTCTGTGAAGGACGTGAGGAAGCCCCTGCTGGAGGCCGGCGATACCTCGGCGGTGTACACCGGCGCAATCATGAGTGCATAGCCGACCCCGATGCCGGCCACGAACCTCCCAACCATCAGGAAGGCGTAGTTGGTGGCGAAGCCCATCAACAGGGCCCCGACGAAGAAGATCACGGCCGCGAACACGATCGTGAGCCGCCTTCCGATCCAGTCGGAGGTCTTCCCGGCGACTGCCGAGCCGACCAGAGAGTAGAGATTGAGGATGCCGACGAGGACTTCGATCTGGGTATCGCTGATTTTTAGGTCATCTTTGATGAAGATCACGGCTCCGCTCATGACCCCGATGTCTGGAGGGAAGGGGACGTGGGACCTATTAGCGACATGAAAACAGAAACAGGAGCCCTTTCTGGGGAGTTTCATTCTCGACGAGATCAGACTGAAGGGAGCAGGGATTACCGTAGCCTAGAAGAATAGATGTCATGGAAGCCAGCAAGGCGCAGGCGAAGGCATACTTGTTCTTCCTCGGCTTCTGCGGCGCTGCCATGGCCTGGACTGACGCATCTGAGGCCGCCTTCCATTGGGCATTCTCCTCGCCCATCATGTCAGAAAGAGAGAGAGAGAGAGAGAGAGAGAGAGAGAGCGTAGCTCAGAGAGCTCAGCCCTGGAGGCGATGGAAAATATATAGAAGCTCTTGGCTTCGAATTGTTCCGCAGGCACAAAGTATGCGTTCACCGAAACTGAAGAAACTAAAATTGTTAAAATTTTGCATTAAATGAGAAAGAATATTTAGCTATTAAAATAGTATCCCCGTCCAAATTAATAATAAAAATTCTCAGGGCATTTATCATTCTTTGGAGGCTTCTCCCCGGGGACGGTGGAGAGCGACGTTCAGGGCCACGCGGGGGAGCCAAATGTGGTGTCAGATCATAGTCTGGCCTACGAAGAAACCCGTCCGGGCTAGTGGGCCGACCGCGATGCATATTCAGCTCACACGTGGCACGAGGATTGACCCGCCAATCCAAGATGGGGCCCAGTCCAGGCAGTCAGTTGACAACCGAACTACTTCTTGGGTTCTGAGATGAACCAGGACAAGCGGGTCAAAGGAGGTGTGCCGCCTCCTGGGGCCCACCAGCAGACGATAGTGGCAAACAATTCTACGTCACGAAATGGGCCGGTTTGGCTGAGCCCCAAAAAGCTCCTTTATCCCGATGGTAACCCCTTTGGCCCGTTAGTCAACAGTTGGGCCTTGGCCTCACTACTTGGGCCATCAGGGATACGTACCCCACGGATCATCATCAGGAAACCGACATCTCCGATACCTCCCCCCCCCTCCCGGTTTCCTCCTCCGCCACAGGGCAAGACGGATACTGGAGAACTCTGTTTCAGAGGGCTTCTTCCTCCCCTCTACGTCTTTCCCTCTTCTTCTCTGCCGGGCACCGGCGCCGCCACCGTCACTGTGCCCTCTCGCTCTAGCTTCTTCTTCGTCCCTCAGCTCTTCTCCGACAACTGGGCCAGGCCAACTCCGGCAGCCGACACTCGCATGCCCCACTATGCCAGTGCTGGGCCTGCCTTTGCCCGCCGCACCCCCCGCAGAGAAAGAGAGAAGGATGGCCGGAAGGGTCGGGTCAGAGAGAACAGAGGAGGCGGCGGATAGTAACCTGGTGAGACCTGGGCTTCCCTCCTTGTCTCCTAGCGTCTGTCCTCATTCGCCGCTGTCCTCTCTCTCCACACTTGTGTTATCTCCCTCCCTCCCTTCTGTAGCTGGGAGCAGTAGGTGCCTCAGTCTTTTCAGTGGCCGAACTGTGGCTGCCCCTCGGGCCCCACACGCTAGACCGGGCGGAGTAATCCAAACGAGAATCATCTCTGCGATCATTGAGACCTGCCCTTCAGAATTCGCTCCCCGCCGTCCGATCCAAGATGATCATTCTCCCGAACCTCCTCACATTCATACGTGGCACACGTGCGAGGCCCGGGCCGGGCCGGATCTTCGTGGGCTTGGACCCCCGGAAATAAAGCCCGTGAATTTCCGGTCCGGGCCCGAGAATTCAGATGGCCGCTTTCCCTGTTCCTTCGTTCGGGTGCGTCGGGCCGGGCCGGGCCAGCTGATGTGCGCACGGATAGCTTAAAAGCGGGTTTTGGCTCGTCTGGTACGCTACGCTTGGGGAGTGAGGTGACCTTGTTGCAGGCCCTTTAACGTCCAATCGCGGCGCTGTTCCCCGATTCGGGCCAGCTTCCCCGCCGCAGTCGTCCCCATCGCCCGACTGTTCTTGTGGGATCATTGGTTTCATTAATGGGCGAGTGCATAGTTTTCTTTGATCGAAAGGATTTCCCTTTAAGAGCTTCTGCTCACGTTAGTGGAGCCATCTCTCCGGCGTTCGCTTTGTGGGCAGGTAGGTGTTCTAGTATAAAAGAGATGGCGTGGCCGGCCCTCGTCGCCAGGAAGTAATTGGGGCCGTCTCTATTCGCCGCCGCGGTGCTGTCATCACTGTCGTCGTCACCACCTGCAGGAGCTGCCCCCGCGGGGAGCGGCAGAGGAGGGTGGATACAGAGACTGGGAGAAGAAGGGCTGTGCCAACGTCCGTGATGGGCAAGCGGTTCGGGCTGCGTATTTCGTGGGCGATTCCTTCCCTCAATTCCTGCCGCAGCAAGGACGAGGATGCCGCCGCCGCCGCCGCCGCACCGGCGGCGAAGGAGGCTCTTCTTCCGGCTTACCTCTGGGAAGAGGAGGAGAAGTGGCACGTCGTCGCCCGCGTTGAGCCCTCTCCCCGTCAGAAGATTGATTCAGAGGACGGCGGGCGGGAGCTCTTCCCGCCTCTCCCTCTTCGTCGGAGCCGAAGGAGAACGGCGGCGAAGAAGAAGATCAAGTCCAAGTCCAAGACCAAGATGAGGTCCCGCGTCAGCACATCCTCCGCCAACAGCCACTGGTTCACCAGCGAGGACGAGAAGGAGTACGTCGAGGAGTACGATTACGAGGACGGTGAGACAGAGGTGTTGATGTCATCCTCTCGGAGCTTCTCCACCGACGATTCCTCTCCCCCGAGGGAGAGGGCTTCGTCCGTGCTGGAGAGGTTGAAGATGACCCCGCTGTTGAAGCTGGCGGGGGGGAAAGTGAAGGAGAGCTTCGCGGTGGTGAAGAAATCGGAAGATCCCTACGGAGACTTCCGGAGCTCGATGGCGGAGATGGTGGTGGAGAACCAGATGTACGATGAGGGGGACTTGGAGCAACTACTCCACTGCTTCCTCGTGCTCAACTCTCGCCACCACCATCCTGCTATCGTGCGAGCCTTCTCCGACATCTGGGCCGCCATTTTCCCCAACACCGCGATGCCGTCGTGCCCCACTCCGCAGCCTTGAAAGCCCAGCCTCCATGGCAATGGTTAATTTAGGAGTTTCCTTCCATCTTCCTCCTCCCTCGTGTACAGAAAACTGAAGTTCGGAGGGATGTATTCGACTCAGACACCTTCTTGTCTCGGAACTCCTGAAAGCGGAAGATCTTCCCGATTATCCGAGGCGATTCGAGCATCCGCCATGACTGCCTGGGGATGGCATTTCCGACATGCACAGATGGCAGACGGCATGTAAGAGTTTTCTCCGGCAGGAAAAGCCGACGGAGCTGTCTGCATCTGCCCATCTCTCCAACGCACGCAATCCGCGGAGGTCTTCCTTTCAGACCATCTGCTTGCATTCTGGAGAGCCGTGGAGACAGGAAAAAGAGGCCGTCAACTTCGGATGGGCCGCGATATGTATCGCCGACATGGCTCCTCAGCTCTCCGTTTCCTCTGCTTTATCGCTTCCAACGTATATGCATATCTGCTATTTTTACCCATGTATCTCTGTACATATAGTACATAGGTATAAATGTATAGAGTGATTCCTATGAACTGAGATACAGAAAATTTGATAACTTCGATAATAGACTGGATATCTACAATTATTGCGCACTATTAGAGTAACCCACGTTAGATCAATTAGAAAACCCCGTTCTTTATTTACTCGATTATCCTGTGTTCTAGGGGTTAGCTCTCCCTGACTCCGGCCGGGCTCCGGCGCCGGCACATCGCTGTGACATGACGATTCTGTGGGATTTGATCTGAAGGGGACGTGATGGCGAAAGCAGGAACCTTCCCAAGCATCTCCATTTTCCCTTCGCCTTCCGCAGGTTCACGGAATCCTACACTCGTCTGTCTGGCCTACGCTCTGCGAACCCGTCCAATCGCCATGCTCGGCTCCGGCATTTGACCTATGTGCAAAGCAGACCCCTCAATCTCTATCTCTAGATCTCTCAATCTATCAGGCTATGATTCTTTCCATGTCTCTCTTTATCTATCCGTCTGACTATCTCCGTCTAGATCTCTTTGGAGCTCAAGGAGATTCGTCTTATGCATGCATGCGTATGTAGGTATCCAGAAGGAGATTGGTAAATAATGCAAGAGGAAGAGGTGTTTCCTAATGAAACATTAGTGAGAGAAGAAGCGATGAAGAATGCGCGAAGGTTTCTAAGGCCAGAAAAGTGGGGCTGAATTCACAGAGAATGGTTGAGGTTCGGATGGGCCGGAGGAGGTGTTTGCACGGGGCCAGCTGGCGGCAGTGCGATAGTCAATCGAGAGACCAGAGTTTGGAAGGGGAAGTTGCGGCGAGTAGGGGAACCGGGAAGCGGCGGGAAAGTTGAGAAAGTCCCACGGCAACAATGGCGGCGGCAATGATCGGGGACTTCCCGTCTAGCATTCTGGCCTCTCGTTCCTGTTTTCTTTCTGTAACTTCAGTGAAAATTTGGGCGGCTGATCGCGGTGACGAAAGAGAAGGGAGAGGGAGGAGAACAGCTCTACTGGCGGCGGTTCGTACTCCAGTTCCGAGATCCCCCACTAGACCGCTGGTGGCGCCGCGGCGGGCCACTGCGTCGTGCATATCCTGTCAGCCTTCTCCGCTATTTACGGGATGAGATTGAGACATCGAAGACTATGTATAACTAGGTCTTTGACTGAGAAATCAAGTGGCTAGGGAGGGTTTAGCCAAAGTAGGGGGCGTTGACTAAAAAACATTCGGAGCTGAAGCGCACGTGGGGAGGATAGGCAGCGCAGCTCTACGTGCAGCCAGAAGAGGGACGTCTATGTCCATAAGGAGGACGAGTCAGGCTTTTCTCTTAGTAGCAAACAGATCAGGAATATTTATTTTTTCAACATTACTCGCAATTATTCAGATGGCAAACGACACGCCGATTGGGCTGAGATCACCGAAATGTTGCTGTGGCCTATCAACATTACGTACAGTAACAATAATCTACGTTGAAGATAATGAAAGAACTTGTTTTTGCGTCATAGTCAACTGTCTCATTAGATCCTATTCCATCCCCTATGGCTTGTGATCTTGAAGAAATATAAGACATATTTACTATATTTTTATAATTAAAGCGTATTTTATAAAATACTATAAATGAAATAATAAATGGCGTACATAAATATTTTCTTTTCATATATATAAGTAATTATCAAGAAAATTATCTTAGTTAGAATTATATCCTTATCTTCCAATTCCATGTAGCTATTCATTTGCCTCTGTCAAAAGGGTACTAAATAGCCCAAACGGTGAAGTGAGTTGAAGGGGTAAATGACTTCTATCTTCATATGCCGTATATCATCATCATTGTTCAAGACAATCACAAACACAGTGTGGGCTACCAGCCACATCAGCCAAGTTAGGCCCTTCATGGCCCTAATAAACTTTAGACAACTATGGTCATTATACCTCATTTTTTAAGCATTCCAATATTTGGATGACCACTTGCAAGCTTATACTCATCAACAACAAAACTTATCATACACTTAAAACCTCAAGATGGCATTACAAGTTTTTTTTGTTATTTGAAATGTTTACTATTTATAGTAAAAACAAAGAAAATAAATTCAATGCTTCCCAACTTGTTACTCTAGAGATGAGAAAAATTATTCAGCTCCTTCACAATGAACTTCTAGATCTAAATATCTAGTTAGGCCTAGCTCATTTGTGTTATAAGAATTTTATTTTATTGTATTGTACATATTAATGAATATGGTTTTAATAAAGTCAGAGTTGTGCATCACATTTGAAGTTGTTGTGAATGTTCATCATAGGAGATTGATGACCTATTGAGGCCTTCTCATGTTTCCCAAGCAATTATTTTGAGGGATGACAAAAAATCACATTCATAGTTTTTGATCTCTAGACACAACTCATCTTCTGTACGCATGTGCTATCATAATTCAACATCATTAAACATGGAAATGTTGACAACCACACCCTTCTCTAAGATAGGGTGGTGCCTCACCTTTGAGGTTATAGTTGAGGTTTCTAATATGAGGTTTGTGAGCTTTTTGACAATCCATTAACTCCTCAACATTATGAGTTCATGCACTTTTGTTTACATGACATCTATCACTACTACCTATACAAATACATCCATCTGATCTTCATCCTTCACTATTTTTCCATACATGCCACATGCATAGTTAGTCACCCTAAATGACATTATCTACAATCCCTACAATCACTCATCAAGGGATATGAAACATATGTTCAGCTTTCTTATCATGGTAAATTTTTTACTCATTCTCTCTTCTATAAGACCAATTTGGGTTCTACTTAACTAGGACCTTATGTGCACTTAATCACAACACATGCACTTGATAAAGTATACAAAATAATGAGACAAGATACATTATAATGACCATGGTGTTAAAAATAGAGGTGACATTTGGACAATAACAACATATGTTGTCAATTAAGAACAAATTATTTCTAAAAAATACATATAAAATAAGTAAATAAAGTTGACTATTTCACTATTGAGTACATCAATTACCCATGTCGTGATTCTCACCATCTAATAATCACATTGAATTAGCTATGTGAGGAAAAATGTGGTAGTCTTATCAATAGAGATCAAAGTAATACATAATGAAGCTTGTCCAACATATAAAGAGAGCATGAACATGTACGTAATAGCTTTTTTGTGCAACATCTCATATTATAACACAAAATAGTGATTAAAAGTACATATCACAACATGCATGAAGTTGATAGGAACACAATCATAAAACAGTCATGGATATCTCTTTTTCTTTATTAATTTTCTCAAAATACCTTGTTGATGAGAACACAATCATGATATTCTAGCCTCATTCTCAAGCTCATCATTATTAATATTTATTGCAATTAGATTTTTGAGATTTTTTATTTAATATTTGACAACTAAACTATTTATTTTGATGAACATATTTCTTCTTACTATTTGTTGTAAAATTTGATTGTTCTAAGATGATACTATTTAAGGAACTACAATATTCTATTTAATACTAAATGAAGAATAAAGAATGAATTTTGTTGTCATTTTACTTTTGTCATTAGTTTGGGGTAGAGCTTGAATGAGATGCTCATACCTAGAGTGAGAGCCCTTAATCTCCCTTCACCTTCATCTCATTATCTTTCCTCTTGCACAATTCTTTCCATAAGTTCTATTTGTTTGTCTCTCATATCTAGTACATTGATTATTCAATGTATCAATTTTTAGCAACTTATAAGTTAGTGTGAAACCCCTTATATAGAGAAACAAGGTCAAAAGTGTAAAATCCCATTATCAACATTAGACCACATGATCTCATATATAGCCATTCAAAAATCAGCACAAAGGTGGCCCACCACAATTGAGAACATGCATAAAAAGTGTATGTTGAAATAGAATGGTATCAACATATTGTCACACACACACACACAACATTTTGATGTGCACATTACCATATGATGAGACACAACTATGAGACTACATGGGATGAATGACAAAGCAAAAAAAATCGTGACATGGACATATAGTGGACAAGCCACACAATAAATGTGGGTATCACACCTCATAATGAATTGGGGCATTACAATGGCATTATATGAAATGACCAGCACCACCTCATAATTGTCTAAGGTAGTCGTAGAAGCAACCTTTATGAAGGCTAGATGTCAGTAACATAATTTTATTTTACTAGTCCTAACAACTTTGACCTTTTGATTTCAAATTAAAATCATTAAAATTGTATATAGTGTGGAAATGTGCTATCATATTATTGATTCCTCTTATGAGGTGGTGAGAGGTTAGTTCCTACATAGGATGATTTTTTATTTTTTTTTGAGTTTTAAATAATCACATGTTCAAAATTCTCACTCTAACAAGTCATGTGTTTCCAACTAATATTGGGGATTGTTATAGTGGCATGTCTTTTTCTTATTTGGTCATTTAGTCTTACAACATCCCCCCCTTCCTTGATCTATATAATTGTGATTACTAAACAAATAAAACTCACTTTCTTTGGTGATTACTTATTATAATAGGTTATGAGTATTTTCCTACAAAGTGAGTCAAATTCACTTACATAGTGCTAACTTAGTAATTTCTCATACCAAGTGAATTGATTTGATTACTCTAAGGTGATGAATAAATAAAATTTTAGAAATGATATAATCAAAATATGTGATTTTTTAGGACTTAAAATACTATATTATTAATGAAGAATTATTATTATGCTCTTGTAAGATCTATTTCTCATCATATATCCAACTCATATAACTAACAAGATATATTTTCTAAATATAGAAAGAGATAGTGTCTTCAAATCAATCTTCAAAATTATGTTAGACTTTTTCAAGAGATATAAAATATAAATATTCAACATAATTATGTCAAAATCATTAATTTAACCTTCATTATATGTTATTAATAACAAAACTAAAAAGACTATGGGTAAATAAAGTATACTATGTAAAAACTCTATAACTAACAAAGCATACCATGCAAAAACTAGTAGTACTACATTTTATGGTAAATGAAGAAACTTTTTTGTTAGAGTTCTATTTTAATTGTTGATTCTAGGAGAGACCTTGGCTAAGAGACCATCAGTAAATATGAGAGAGATTGATCTGCTTTCATCTTCCCATCCTCTCTTTTCAGCCCCCACCCCTTTCTTGGTCTTCATCTTCGTGCATCCTTTCTCTTTCCTTATCATTCTTTAATACTATTCTTTTTATCTATTCGTGACCCCCTATATAATATTTCTAACTTTTAAGACTTTAATATCCTCTGAACACTTTAATCTAGAGGTAGTTTATTGGCAATCAAGTGGTCTTAAATAATCCATGGTTTGGACATTTTATCTTTATCTATTTTTCTAGCAGATTTTCTTGATTGTTATATTGAGATCAATTGCTCCTTATGTTACTTTTCTTGATAGTCTCACCTTGTCTCATCCTTCATCACTTCATTGTAAGTTTCTCATGCTTACTAGTATCCTCCTCCTTTCATTAATATCACATCACATCTAATAATAAGAAGTTATTAGGCCCATGTGGATGGATAAATAAGATCAAATAGTTAAAAATTATTAACAAGGGAAGTAACCACCTTAAGTCATGATGACAAATTGGAACCACATAGCAAAGATTATTGGGTCAAATTTCAGCTCACTTTTATCCACTACGTTTTCCAGCTCTTTGCTTACTTGGTACATCACAAGCAACATCTCAAATGATGCTTAAGCAATTTGATGGTTAGAGAAATGAGTTAGGGAAAAAAATAAACCATGTATTAGAAAAATTCAGAAATAAAGCTCAACAAGAAAATCATCCTATGACTAAATGAGAAAAATGTCCACTTTGAACTTCAAATTCACCAATTTTTAAATACAAATTGCCTTGTTCCTTACACTTTCTACTTCTACAATGCTTCAAACTTTTGAGTTAATGAATGCACATTTGTTGCAAGTGCCATATGATGAAATATAATCTCATAAAGTTCATGTTGATTGCCTTCCAATTTAATCTGACATTATTTCTTGAACCCCTCATTTGTCTAAAAAAAATCCATTTTGATCAATTCATTCCCTTGCAATAAAAAATGTTATCTATGTTGTGGTTTTTAGAACTTCCAATTTGAATTTTTTGGCTTGAGCATAATACCAATCCCAACTCTGTCCATCTAAAATCTGGTACACAATGCAAATTATACTCTTCATATATAAAAGTTAGGTGTGATATGACTTGATGGGAATATAATAAAAATTTCTAATAATGTCAAAGCATATAAAATGACAACAATATTCTTTTATTTAAATGGTTAGTGTATGTATCACAATTTTGTGTTAATCTTTGGAGTCTAATAAGCAAAATAATACCCACAAAAAATCCATAACAAATACCAAATTTATGCGAAAAACAGTCTCAAACATATCCCAGCATATAATAAGAGGAATTCAAGTAGAAAAACCGGGGATATCTGACAACCGTATGCAGAGGCTAAGAGGAATATCTTGAAATTCTAACCCTCAAACGTTTCAAAAAACACGGAGAATCTACGCAGAAAACCCCATTTTTTATTCTCCATTCCCATCCATATTCTTCTCCCCTTATCTCTCTATTCTCTTATTTTCTCCTCTAGCGGCTGGCGCGTGAGATTTTCAACAACAGCCGGCTTTTTTTCTAATGCATCCTCCTCCTGTCCCTCACCCGGAAACCTAATAGGATCTAAATAGACGACCCTAATGGGCTCCACGCGATGGATCTAAAATGGATCCAGCCCCTCTATGGCTGGGCAAATCCCGGCCCAATTGGGATTACTGCTGCTATTCCAGTCCAACTCAAGCCGGGGTAGACGACAATCCATGAAAGAGAGTAACGTGGTCCTTCCGCTCTTCTTCCATCAGCCAAATGGATGACCAATCAGGCTTAGCTCAGTCCAGCCTCCCCCCCCCCCCCGACCTCGTGAACAACCCTCAATTCTGTCTAGAGAGGGAGATTACGGCTCTGGTGATCGACCTCAAGCACAGGAGGGAGTGTCGTGGTGAATGTTTCGAGGAATTTTAGGCGTTGCCCAGTTTGGAGGATGAAGCATCTGGTCTACCCTGCCCAACTGGGGGGGGTTCTCGGAGGTATTTTACCCTCACCAGAAGCCATTCTTTAACGGGCTGTTGAGAATGAATCCAGCCCAACTTGTTTTTGCTATGAGTTGCAATAGGCTCAGTTTTTTCTAAGCAGGGGGAAACCAACTTCCGGAGGTTAAAGGGTCCTCTGACGGCCTGGCAGTAGCCCCTGCAATTAGGAGGGAGAGAGACAATGAGTGAGTGTGTGTGTGAGTGAGTGAGAGTGAGAGAGCGAGCGAGAGAGAGAAAGACAGAGAGAGTGAGTGAGTGAGTGAGTGAGTGAGAGAGCGAGAGAGAGAGAGAGAGAGAGAGAGTGAGAGAGAGAGAGCGAGAGTGTGTGTGTGTGTGTGTGTGTGTGAGTGAGTGAGTGAGAGAAAGAGAGTGAGTGTGTGCGTGTGAGTCAGAGGGAGAGAGGGAGTGTGTGTGTGTGAGAGAGAGAGAGAGTGAGAGTGAGTGAGGGAGTGAGAGAGAGAGTGTGAGTGAGTGTGTGAGTGTGTGCGAGAGAGAGAGTGCGTAAGAGTGAGAATGAAAGAGAGAGAGAGCGTAAGAGTGAGAGTGAAAGAGAGAGAGAGAGAGAGATTAGAAAGTGAAACATACTTTGAGTATAATCCAAGTAGGCTAGGTTTTTATGGTTGAGATATATGCGTAAGAAGCGGAACAAGAAGCTCATGGGCACCATTCGACAGCCCTTTCCGACCCCTCACCAAGCGCTGACGCCGACGCCCGTCCGCGCCCCGGGAGCAAATGGAATCGCGGTGCCAGGGTCCGTTGTGGGTTTTCTCTCTCCTGTCCGGGAAGTTCTTCGTCCCCTGCTCCTCCCACGAGGACGTGAAGAAGAACGAGAAGAACGTCTTCTGCTTAGACTGCTGTGCTCCCATATGCCTCCACTGCCGCCGCCATCTCCATCGCGCCCACCGCTTGCTTCAGGTCTGCACTTGTTGCAAGCCTCCGTCGTACGGCGAGGAAGTGGGTTCTTCTTCTCTTCTTCCCCTACGTATGGAATAACCGAGTCTGTTCTTCGCGTGAGAATGCCCCCAGGTTCGTAGATACGTCTATCAGGAAGTCGTCCAAGTGGAGGATTGTGAGGAATTGTTCGACTGCAGCTCCATTCAGGTGATGATATTCTGGATAGTTAATCATCTCCGTTAATCTCTTTCAGCCAAGTTTTTCTTCGCGTAGATTTCTTCTTTTATGTGACGATGCTTCTTCCTCGATTCGAATGAATTCAGGAGTTCGAGAAGATAACTCCTCTGATTTCTTCGGTCTTGCGACTATCTGTGCAGTCGTATATAACAAATAAAGCGAAGGTGGTGTTCCTGAACCAGAGGCCCCAGTCCCGGCCTCTCAAGAGCTCCGGGAGCTGGTGCATCTCTTGCCAGAGAAATCTCCAGCGCCCATACCACTTCTGTTCTCTGGGCTGCAAGGTATTTCAGTCTCCTCTCTCCACCACTCCGGGCGGAATGGTTCTTTCCGGAAGCCACTCTTTTGAATCTTTCCTTCAAAATTCAGGTGGAGTACTTGGTGCGGTACGAGGGCCACTCGGGGCTGCCTGGTCCCGCGGTGGAAGGCGAGCAGATGACGCCCAGCGGGGTGCTCGGAGGCGGCGCCTGCCTCCGCGCGTCCTCGGGTTCCAGCGGCGTTTGGGGGGCGTGGCGGGCCCTCTGCAACGCCTCGAACTGCACCGCCACAACCGAGGGCTCCGTCACCAGGAAGAAGAAGCGGACGAGGGGTGCTGCTGCTACAGCCCCTCTCATCGCTGCGGGAAGAAGCGATATACCACGTTCATCCCGAAAACCCACCCCCTCCCCCTCCTCGAGAAGGAAGGGCGCTCCCAGCCGGAGCCCCTTCTTCTGATAATTCGTAGACAGGAACAACGTGTACACACGAGGCGTTCAATTATTCCACTGTAGACTTGTCTCTTAGCAGCATGGCGAAGGTGTCGACCTGTTCTTCCATGGAGATAACAGTGGCAACACCATCTGAAAGGCGAAGAAAACCTGCAAAAGGTGCAGCTTCGACAGGAGATCTTGTTTCGACGGCCTTTTCGAGTTCCGTCGTGAAAACTGAGCTCCAGCGATATCACCGGCGGCGCCCTGGCGGGTCTCGCATTCTCACTTAGATAAGCGCCGCCGTGTAACAACGGCGGCAGGCGGCGCGGTGGCGGGGGCCGTAAATCGGCAACTCGGTGGCCGCCGCCTGGTCCGAGTCTCGCCGTCTCTCGCTTAACTGAAGAAGAATCCGATGCATGTAGGACGATCCCGCGGGGTACGCGGCGAAATTATGTTCGCCTTCCGCGGTGAGTTGGACCGCGGCGCGGTCAATCTGTTACTCTTTTATCTCGGCGGTACACCATACAACCCGGAAAGAGGGTGTTTCCGTATTATACATTCCAATTATAACCACTGGCTTTGGCGCCAAGAGACGATTATGGACTCTTTAACGGCTTTCGTTGCTAAAGTGGGAACTCGGGGTGACGGCAGATGACGTGGATGACTGCCACCACGTGGCGACGATAGATCAGGCCAGGCACGAGGATCAATCTGAGAGCCGTACGATGCGTAGAAAAACCCCGACATGCCTACACGTGTATCGCAGGGGGAGTCAGGGAGCCCCGATCGTCAGTGATGGGACTTTACTCATGCGGGTCCCGCGACGTAGCTGGAACAGGAAGCGCCGGTTTTATAATCGGTTCGGATTATAACCCGCTTCGCTTCGAGTTCGTCAAACTTTCATGACGACCGCTGGGATAAGTCAATCATGCCTGGTTACACTCGTTGACTATTATACTTGGCCAGCCGCGCTTCGTGTCATTGATCCTAAGGTTGACCGGATGAACAAAAGTTTCCAAAGCCTACAGAACTCTATACGCGAAAAATTATGCTTTCGTCCCAATTAAAATCTTTTAATGGCTACAAGTACATAAATGTATTGAACCAAATCCACGAGCCTGGACTGAACGAAAATTACGATGCTGTTTGGATAGTTCTGCAATACTTGCTAAAAATTATGTCGTCTAAATTACCGAAATGACCCCGAAAGTATAATTCTTTATAGAGTTCTATATATGGATACATAAAATATATTTATTAAAAATTGTTATTCATTGATTGTGGGCCTCGTGCGATAAAAAATTAGTTTTAAGGACTTTCTCTGGGCTAGAAAGCAGGATATCCGAGCAAAGTGTTGGCGGAACCATTTCCGGTCGAACCGGTGATACCTGGACCGAGCCGGCCGGCCCGCGGACTTCGCCCTAATAACAACGTAGTTGAGCCAACCCTCACGGGTGAGGTGCGTCTCGCTCCCTCGTGGTATAAATTGGGGCGTACAGAGCTTGCGAGGTAGAACCCTAAATATGTGCTGTTTCTGTAGGATATTCTGCACGATCTGAAGGAAGCTAGGATCGAGGAAGATCGATGGCAGGCCTGGAGGGAAGGCGCGTGGATAGTCGTGACGGTGGAGGGCCTTCCCCGCCACCGCCGCAGCAGCGGAGCTCGGGATTCGACGGCTATGGCAACTCCAAATCCCACGTAGGTCCTTCTCGGTTGTTTCGCTGCTCGCATATGGTTACGCGTTTTCCTCTGGTCTTGTGTGACAATGAATGGCTAGAGTGAATGGTATCATCCTTATATTAACATGGTCGGAAGGTCCGCTGCACTGTGTTCGCAGATGTTCTTTGCCTTATCATCATCCTTTAATTTCTGATGTTTCTTCTTGACGAAGTTTTGATATCAAGCTACTGTCGAGAATTTCAGTTGCTGTTTATCTCGGTGACCAAGAATGCACCATTTATCTCTTGAGTTCTTGGGATACTGTGCACCATTTCTTGGGAAACGCTAGATCTATATTGAGAGTGTGGCAGCTCGAATGTGCCGTTTTCTTTATCATTGTTCGCTATCTATTTTCAGTAAAAGTTTCTTTTTAAATGTGTGATTACAGCTCGAAGAGAGAGAGAAAGATAAGAACCGATCAAGGGATCGGAACAGGGATCGCGACAGGGACCGAGACATGAATCGAGACAGGAACAGAGACAGGAACAACGACAGAGAAAGGGATAGACACCAAAGAGATTTCAGGGATAAGAGTGACAGAAGGGATCATGGTAGAAACAAGTTGGACGATAAGGATAATCAACGAAGTCGAGATTCTGACAGGTACTCTGGTTTTATACCCTGCAAGATATCTTCAATGGTGGAATCCAGTGATATATCGAACTTTGTTGCTTGATACGATTTTTTTATAGACACTGAAATCTAGCTGATACAACATTAGACTATAAAATTATTCCTTTTGAACTGAATCGTGGACGTGTCTGCTTTTATCCAGTCTTGATATTATCCGCGAGCATGCTTTATTAAGGCCTTTTATAATGAATTCTTGGCCATTTTTGAATTTACTTCCGTACATGATATACCGGACACTCTTGTCAAATTTGCTTACTTTTGTTTTTTTTCTTATTATTATTTATTTTAATGATATGAATGAAACTTGACTAATATTGATGAATCTTTAGGGTCCCCCCCTTATGTTCGTTTTATTGTTTTGCACATGTGCAATATACATTTTGTATGGTGATACTTATTGGTTGTTGTTGTTGTTGTTCATTTAACATTGTTGTGCTTGATTTTAAGTTCCCTTTGTAATTGATTCGTTGCCTTCATTGTTCCCATCAGAGTTTAACTAAATCGTAGATTTATCTATTGATCATTGTCTCTCGTTGATGGCGAGAAGATAATAATTCTGATGTCGCATTTCCGGAGAAAGCTGAAACCATGTCATCATGGTTTTTTTTCCGTCCTTTCTTTATTCAATATGTTCGTGTGATCTCAAGTGTAGTTCCTAATTCGATAGACTTATCTCTCTGCGTTCCTTCTGGATATATGATTTCTTCCTGGTTATATTTTTTCCGTTAATCTCACCGGCATAAACTTTTATGAAGAGAGACAGTTCTGGGTGTGACGTGGAAATCTAGATTTTACAGCCTTCTTCTAGCTGTCATAACTTTTGGTTTAGTTCGGCTTGTTTGATCCCGCTTTAAATGGTAGGAGTCTGCTTTATTTGTGTTCCATTCAAGATACATAAATATTTTCTCAAACATGTTGAAGCTATGCCTTGCTAAAATCATACCATACAGCATCATCTTCGAAAAATATTTTTGATGCGGTATTTGTCTTGGTAGAAATATAAATTCCTGGTATGTGCTTCTAGTTATCTTATGACATCATAGCGTGTTTGATCGACGCCCTTCTATACAAATAAGCAAATTTGAAGTGGGTTAATGAATTTGTTTGAACCCTGCATATATGGACGTTGATTCACAGAGAGGTGTGAAAGTGTCCATGTTTTCCTGATGTCTATTGATTTTACCATCTTCTATTGCGCTCACCATCTAGAAAGTACAAAGTTTTGTAGCTGGGTATCTGGGTATCGTGATTATGTAGAATGGCGTGGCCTGTAAACACTATTGCGTCAGAATTTTTTTTCGATCAATATTTCCCATCGTGCTATGTTTCCTTAATCAGAGCTTTCTTTTCCTCCAGGCGTAGGGATAATGATAGGGAACGAGAAGGAAGGCAGAGGCATAAGTCTCGTTCTCCTTCAAGAAGTAGATCTAAGCGTTCTCGTTCAAGGTCAAAGAGGTTAGTTTCTATTCTTGTATAATTCTTCATGGGATTTATATGTATATTTTAAAAATACCTTATTAAATCGGGGGGGATATTGTCGAGATCTTCATTTTTTCAGTTTTTTCCGCTGAAAAGATCTTCACTTATCTCGTTTCAGAGCTTGCTTTAATTTTCCTTTATTTTTGGAGCTTTTATGTGGGTTATGGTGCCCGTGTTTCTAAATCTGACTGGCAATATTTACTTTCTAATGCAGCAAGAGAATTAGTGGGTTTGATATGGCGCCTCCTGCAACTGCATTATTAACTCCCACTACAGGTACTTGCTCCTTTTGTGCGCCCTTTTTTTGTCAAAAAGTTCACACTTTCTTGTACCCGACTGAATATTCATTTTAAAGGTTGTTTTGGTAAGCAGCCCCTTACTGAGAATCGTGTTTCCCTAGGTTTAAATTGTATATTAGAACGAGCTGAATTTTTTTTATATATTTTTATTGAGCAATTAATACTGGAACTGAGAGCCATTTTGCTTGTTTTTTTGTTTTTGGTGGTTGTTTGTGTTTTTGTGTCTTTTTGTTGTCTTGAGAAGGCAATTTGGGGCCCCTTGTCCCACTGTGCTGTCAATGGGCCTGAGCCGTCTTCTGTAGCTTATATGTAGAAGGAGGAATCAATGCACGGTTTGATGGATCTTGTTCGACTTCAACCGGCAACTATTGCCATTTTGGTAGTCTTACAAATATTTCCTCAAGTACTTGAAAATAATATTTTCCTTTTTCTCTGCAAAATTATTGCTCAGGAAATCGTCCATTGTATACCTGCAAGGAAAAAAAGTTATGAATGATAATAGTACTTTTTTGTGCTTATCTGGATTGTTAGTTTTTATGATTAATTTCGTTTTTTGCAGCTTTTACAGGACAATTACCTGGGGCCCCGGCTCCTATTCCTGGAATGTTTCCAAATCTTATGTTGCAAGGGCAGGTATAGGTCTTTAAAACTTCTTATTGAAATGATTTTGTTTCTACTTTTTTATTTTAACATGTATACATTCAAATGTCAGTTCCCATCTATCCCTGTAATGCCAGTACAAGCAATGACCCAACAGGTTTGTCAATGCCACGGTTTTTATTATCTAAGGCCTTATGGCCCATAGCTTAACTATATTGTTGTTGATGTCAGGCGACTCGACATGCGCGGCGTGTATATGTTGGTGGCCTTTCCCCTATCGCTAATGAACAGGTTCTCGCGACTACAGACTTGTCTTTACCGTGTCAACATCTGAATCATTGTTCATGATCACTGCCTCTATTTATGTCTTATAATATGACATATTTGTCTGCTCTTACACTCCCATAGCCTGAATCTCGAAAGATTTTTTGATATGGAATGTGGGATTTCTTTCCCGACCAATTAAGATGAGCGATGCCGGCATCTGCATGTTTGAATTACGAGCATGTACGAGCATATTTGACTGACTGGATTTCTGGCGATTTTCCCACCTTTGGATTTATTGATGTCTTTAATTTAAAAAACTATCATGAAAATGAATATTGAATGATATACTGTCTTTGCCTTTATTTCATTCACGGATATGCACTAAATGCTATTTTTTTTTTCCTATTTGAGGTTGTGTTAAATTTCTTGCCTCTTTTTTCTTCTGCAGTCTGTTGCAACATTTTTCAGCCAGGTTATGGCTGCTATAGGAGGGAATACGGCTGGACCTGGTTTGCACTGAATCTTTTATTTAGCAGATGCTCCTTTGTATCTGAATTGTGGCTTACAATCTTTTCTTTTAAGGTGATGCGGTTGTGAATGTATATATTAACCATGAAAAGAAGTTTGCATTTGTGGAGATGAGGTCGGTTGAAGAAGCCAGTAATGCTATGGCATTGGATGGTATCATTTTTGAGGTTCGTGATTTGACCCATTATGGAATAAATTTACCATTTGTTGGTGTAATGACTGATTTTATTTTATTCTTTGGCAACTTACCGATATTTTATGATGCTCAGGGGGCTCCAGTTAAGGTCAGGAGGCCTAGCGATTATAACCCTTCTCTAGCTGCAACGCTCGGTCCGAGCCAACCGAACCAAAATTTGAATCTTGCAGCAGTTGGGCTATCTCCCGGGTCTTCTGGTGGCCTTGAGGGACCTGATCGCATTTTTGTGGGTGGCCTTCCATATTACTTTACTGAAGTACAGATCAGGGAACTTCTCGAGTCATTTGGGCCACTTCGGGGATTTGATCTCGTAAAAGACAGGGAAACCGGAAACTCTAAAGGTTATGCCTTTTGCGTTTACCAAGACATTGCTGTTACAGACATTGCCTGTGCTGCACTGAATGGTATTAAGATGGGAGATAAGACTCTCACGGTTAGGCGTGCAAATCAAGGGTCTGTCCAGCCCAGACCAGAGCAAGAAAACGTCTTGTTGCAGGCACAGCAACAGGTTGCCATACAGGTGAATGAAAAACTTTCCTGTTTCGATTTCCTTATCCCTTGTACCAGCATAAAGCTGGCCGTTTACGCTGAATTTTACCTTTATAAAATACACCTGTGCCTCGGATGCCGAAATGTTTCGTATTTTTGCGTGTTGTTCTGGTGGAAAGCATGTCTCCATCCATCCCTGTTTCTCTTAGGTAATGTCTTCATTCATTGGCGATGAGAAATGTCTGCGTGAGGGAAAAAATGTCTTCATTCCTGGGTTGTGATAGGTTTACAGTTTCTTTTCTGTGATTCTTTGACCAAATAACTATCCATCCCCTGAGAGAGTTGAATCTGTCACTCTGGCACACTTATTCTGTCATATTATTATTCTGCAAACTTGATCAGTTGTACCTTTCTAATGCTAATCTTCATTTGCTTGTTGGTTTTTTTTTTTTATGTTCGTGTACAATATCATAGTAGGATCAATTTCAGGATCGTAAGATATTGTAAATGTGTTATGATCAATTCATCCTCTGCCAATCGCACTAGTAGTGCATGTTTGGAAAGAATATGCCGTAAACTTTATCTTCATGATTATTTTTGACTAGTTTTTACTCCTCGGGTTGGTGGCATGTGCGGTGCTCCGGCAGTGAACTTTTGCCTTCGGTCTACGTCCAATACATTGTCGATTATGACATTATAGTGCCTGCCTGCAACTCTTGGATCCTCTAATGCAATTTTATTGTCCATTTACTTTATTTCAAATGTGACGTCAGTGGAGCTAGTTCCTGGGCATAATATTTTGCATTTGGTTGTGGCATTCTTCTTTCGAGAAAGTGAACGCATCCTCTACCGGTGTTGTGCTCGGCCTTGTTGTATTTGCATGACATCGACGTGCAAAGAAAATAGTCATGCCTTGAAATAAATTCCCGGTTCCTTGCTTGTGGTGTATATAGATTTTGGGCGCCTCTAATATGAACTTTGTTTTTTTTTTTTCCTTCTTGGCAGAAGCATCTCATGCTCCAACCTGGCATGCTGCCAACCAAGGTGGTGTGCTTAACGCAGGTGGTAACTGTGGATGAATTGAAAGATGACGAAGAATATGAAGATATATTGGAGGACATGAGGACCGAAGGCGGAAAATATGGTAATTAAGCGATGAACCTCTCTCGTTAAATACCTATCCCTTCGTGGAATGCCAACCTTAGGTGGGGCCTTACACCCCCTTGTGGGGGTGGACGAGGGAGACACAAGAAATTTATTCTTCTGACCCCGGGGTTTAGACGTTTTTTTTTTCTTTCTCTTTTCCTTTTCTTCGCAGGTAGTCTGGTGAATGTGACTATCCCTCGACCGGGTCCGAACGGTGATCTGACGCCAGGAATCGGAAAGGTCAGTCTTTAAACCATGCATATCCATCCGCTTTCACGGCAGAGCTGTGCAGTGGGGGGGGGCACTGCGTCCGAAAACTTGATGGGATGATGAATCAATTAGCTCGGATGCCGAGTTGATGGGTTTGGTGCTTGATTTCTTCTTCAATCTTGGTTATCTATCATCCCCAGGTGTTCCTGGAGTACGTTGACACCGATGGCTCCTCTAAAGCGAAGATGTCTCTGAACGGGAGGAAATTCGGAGGAAACCACGTCATTGCGGTCTATTATCCCGAGGATAGGTTTGCGGAGGGAGTTTATGACGACTAATCCCCACCCCTCCCTCGCCTGGTTCCTGTAGCTTCCTTCTTCTTCTATACTGTATCTGCTTCCTTTTCTTCTTCTTTTAAAAAAAAAAAAATGCCACCAGTTTTTACTTCTTTTACGTATTTTGATTGCGGTATGAAGGAGCAGCTACCTCTGTTTCTCCTCGTGTGCTCTCTCGTTCCTGTTTGTTGGTGATAATCTGAAGAATTTGACCGTCAGAGAAGATGCCTAGTGCTCTGAATCGGATTCAGAACCTGCGGCCGCCGCTGTTGGTTTCCGGCGCCGGCCGAGGGAGGCTGTTTTTTTACTTGAGAAATGCTCGGTCAATATCTGCCCATTATTGTTCCTCGTCATTCCACTCCCTCTCTCTCTCGCCGCGTGAGGAGTCCGGATATCCCTAAAACTTTTTTAAATATTTATTTATCTGTGTGAAAGACTGACAGAAAAGTCAACCCATCATCTAGTCCCGAATCGGGCTCTGTAGGGTAATCAATCTATCGGCGTCCTCAGGACTACGGAGAGATAGAAGGTATCTCACATTATTAATCAGCAAGTTCTCGACTTTCTGAGAAATGTCGAGTGATGTGTGTGGGAAGCGGGTATTATTTCGCCGGTTAAATCCGCGTCGCACATCGCCGAGTCGGAGCCGCCGCCGCCCCCGCGGACGGAGGGTCAACTCTTCCCCCAGATTCTGACCCCACCCCCCTCGTTACCCGGATTTAGAACCCCTCGGACCCCGAATGATTTAATTCGGGCGAGGATCGCTCCGGGTTCTCCATTTTCGACAGCGGCGTTTCGGCTGAATCCCTTCTCCCTTCTCCTATCGATCGCTTCGCTTCGCTCCGGTTTTGAGGTATTTCTCTCGGAGAAGGAAGATGAACTGGGTTAGCCGGAAGATCCACCTCTACAACGTGACCATGGGCCTGTATATGCTCGATTGGTGGGAGCGGTACCTCTTCAGTATCCTCTGCAAGTATTTTCAATTATCGATCCCCTTGGGGATTTTGTAGCTCTCCTGCCATCAACACCGCCTCGTGTTCCCATGTTTGTCTCGCTTTCATGTCGTGTTCTGCCCGATCAAAGTTTAGCTCGGTTCCATCGATGATCCGACTCTTCATCTCGGGCGCCTCGGTTTCTCGTTTTTTTCTTGTTTTTCCATCTTCACGTCGGGCTCCTTAGCTTGGACTTCCGTAGATATATTGATGGCCGTATTGCTCTGGTTCATCTGCTACAACACATGGCACTCTGCGGCGGAGTTCATCAACGGGTAATGCTCGACATATCTGCTGCTCTTTTCTTTCTGTGAATTCATGACGGTGGATGATGAATGCCTGCGAGTGGGGTTCATCACCATTCCTGGTTCAGACGAGGGCGGGAAACTTTCCCATCGAAACGCCTCTGTGAGATGTGTCCAATAGGAATCGTTGGGCTCGTGGGGCACTTTTTGGGACAAATTACTGGGTAATTTAAACGGTTTGATGGCCATCTATTACTTATCTTCCATTAAAAGCCTGCTTTTATGAGATAATCATGCGACTATTAATGATCTGTGCTGTAAAAATCCTGCTTTTTTAGAGATACTCGGTGAGGACTGCTCCACCTTCACCCGGCACCTAGGGCAATCTGATGTGAAGGGATATGAAGTGACCCTAGACAAGAGCCCCTTCAGAACTGTCAGTATCGGGGAATTGGTGAGGATCAAGGTGAGAACAGTGAATTATATTTGTGGTGCTGAGGGACAAGACATAATGTAAGGTCGTTTGCCAAGCTTTCGTTTTGGTAGTGAGTTGGCTGAGAGAGAGAGAGAGAGAGAGAGAGAGAGAGAGAGAGAAATTTCCTTCGTCTCGTAGAGGACTTGGGTTGTTTTAGTCATTGTGGATTTTGTGAATCTCTGGAGAGGATGCATATATCGATTGGCTAAGTTCTTCGTCTCAAGAGATTTGATAAAAAGGATGTGATCATTGGTGCCGTAATTAGGAGACTAAGATCCTATTTATTGGTCCAGAATCAAGCCCATGGACTTATGTCTTTGACCATGGATTTCAATATATTACTTCCACCTCTCCGACAGTTAAACGTGGAGATCTTCTTCTTTGTGCGGTTTTTTCCCCGGTAAGGAGAATTAGTCAAGGATAGAACAAGAAAGGGAAGCATACGTATGCTTACTCTTCTTACCCATGGTGGTATTTTAAGAAATCGAGAGGTGTGAGAAAATATTTGGACAACTCCAAGACAAGTTAGAAAACTTGTCGGAGTGAACACATCATTGAAGCAGATGATAAATCAAGGTGCAGAAAGCCGTGGAAGAAATAATCTAGTGAGTGAACAACCAGGAACGACGGGGAACAAATTTGTGTAGACCTCCGGAATGATAAAATCTCCTCAAGGATTTGACTAAAAAGGCAAGTGAGGGAGTGCCTCTGTGTGTGTGTGTGTGTGTGTGTGTGTGTGTGTGTGTGTGTGTGTGTGTGTGAGAGAGAGAGAGAGAGAGAGAGAGAGAGAGAGAGAGAGAGAGGAGCTTTGTTCTACTTGGTTTGTCTTCCCGCTACATGCCACCCTTTCCATGTGCTGGACGAGGGCGTGGGATTTTGAGGGATTCCTGCAGAGAAACAATTTTTTGTGCATGTGAGGTGGTCATTAATATGCATACAGCTCCTTCGTGGAGTGAATTATGTCTTCTTAGAGTTTGGATCTTCTTTTCAGCATAAAAATCGGCGGCTAGAAGTTGCGTTCTTTAACAGCAGAATGGATACAGAGGGATACGCTTGTTGGCTTCTCATATGGGGTCTTAGTCGGTGGGCTGATCTCTCCTTGGGTTATCTACACGAGAGTTTGTTTCTCTGAAGCTGTCAGCTGCTAACTTTGTCAGATGGGTTCAGGGTCAAGATTCAAGCATTGTTGGTGTTCACTTAGGCATGTGGACATCATCTTTGGCTTGATCTGAAATTGGATTCATAGAAAAAGTGGCTCTCAATCCATCGCCATCTGGGCTCAGGCCAGCCTGTCATTCATCTTGCGACTGGTCCTTTGGATTGCTCCCTAATGCTAGATGTTGAAACGGGTTTGCCCATGTATTTTGCTTAGTTTTTATGCCACTTATGAAGGGCCTAAGTCCAAGCTCTAGTATATCAAGGGTTAGCTTTTTGAGGGCCCAATTTTGGTGAAAATTTGAATTTGGATTGTATTCGTTGCCCGTCATTAGGGATCATTGCATGGAACCTATGAATATTATCTAGTTTTATGGTCTCAGTAGCATGAGTATCGAATTCAAAGGCAGTCACTAGGGCTTTTGCATCATTGGCGTAGTTTTAGGAGATGATGAATAGTCTATAGTTTGACAGAGCTCGTCATTATGTTTGGTGCAGTAAGTGGACACTGTGGATTAAATATTTGAAAGTACTAAGCAGGGAAATTCCAAGGAGGTTGAATAATGGGATTTTTACTCGGCCTTGTAATTAAAGGGGGTCAATGAGTGTGGGAACTGATATTATCAGTGAAAAACTGGTAATAAGATGTTGATTAATACTCTAGAAAAATGCATTGTCTTCGTAACAATCAAACGGAAAAAAATCATGTTTCTGGGGGTATGCAATTAAATGCTCATCCAGGAGATATTGGGAATAAACTTCATCCCTCTCTGACAAAAGAAAAAAAAAAGAAATTTTATGAATTTTGGGCTGCAGATGTGCAGCTTTCCTACCATAACATTAGAGCAGTGCTGAAATGATTTTCTCCTGTTTGTCGGTGGTAAGCCTCTTTATTCGTCCCGTTGACTTTCCCCTCATCTCAGTGATTTTCTGGTGATTTTCTTTACCATGTTGCGAATGCGTTGTGCCTCATCTTCGACTGACAAGAGCTGCAGTCTACTTGATTTGGCTGTTCTGCTTGGTGGGTCCCCCTTAATTCCCTCTTCGTCCCTAATTTCCTTGACCCCTTGTGATTCCATGATTAGTCAGCATCTGAGCAATCATTTTCTCTTTCAAAGAAAGGTAGCATCTGCTTCATCATTTACTATTTATTACCGTGTGTCATTCAGGCATCTCCCATCGCAGCTCGAGTCCTCGCGAGGATCCCTCCGCTTTGATATTCACGAAAAAGACGTGCATTCACTCCTATTTCGTCATATCGTTGACATCTCTAAATATCATAATTTATTATGTTTTGAAATAAGTTGTTGATACCAGATAAATTGTGGAATCCTTCCTTTGTTCTTCGGTGCTCCTCGTGCCTAGCTACATTATTCTGTTTTTTCTGGAAATCTTCTAACCCAATAAAAATTTCCTATTCTTTATCCAGCATTAATTTCTACTATTGATCATCAGACACCGGATTGCATGCAATTATCGTCTTCATTTTATTCGCCGCCCTTTCTTTTCCCCAACCTGATTCTTTTGTCTCCTCAGCGAGAACATAGATTAATCGTACAAATTATCTTGTTGTTCTGACGTAAGTTGTGGTTTGATTATTCTCATCTGTCTTCCTCCTCAGCCGTCTGGATTCCAAGTTCTAGGTGGGTGAGAAGCTCGGGGCCGGGGGGAGCAACGCATCCTGACGGGGAGGGGAGCGGGGGGGCCTGCCTTTGAATGGAAGCTCGGATCATTCTTTTGAAAGTTGTTTCTTCTCTCTACCAGGGGATAGTTCCTCGAGGATGATCTCTTGATGTTTATCTTAATGTCTCGTCCGACCGGATAATGCATGGATTCACTATGATGTTCTGACCCATTATTCTAAGACCCTCTTTCATGGCGGAGCGTCATCGATTGGCATCCTTGTGGGTTCTCCGAGGCGCGTGCGATCGCACGGCTCAACCAGCTCGCAAGTTCATGCTTTTGCGATGAAGGCCAACTCTCTCTCTCTCTCTCTCTAACCAGGTTGCTTCGGGGGTAAAAGAGAGGAGATGAAGAAGAAAACTCGTCGCCATAAATGGCACCGCTCCGGAAATAATTGTTGGTGGGAAGTTCAACGAGGTCGTTCGTCTGTACACTGCGATCCCATCTTCCCCGCCGGTGCGGCGGGCCGATGATTGGGGGGGGGGGAGCTCCGGTGAACGCTGGCTGACGTCTTGTCACATAATGGACGAAGGCGACTGGCACCGGCACGTGGACGGTGATGGCCAGCTCGGTCCTCATCATTGGCGATCTGCGACGAGAAGAATCGGTGGCTTCGCCGCCACCGCCGGCGCCGGAGGGGGAGCCCATCACTCTTCTCCATATCGTCCATATCCCAGGTTTTTGCCGGAGAGAAAACGGTGGCTTTGACGAACTAACTCAGTGGGGACTCACCGGCCGTCGAGATGGACCAGTCGCCCGAGATTCCTCTTCCGCCTTGAGAAGCGATCCTGGAGAGCCGGCGGGCTGCCGGCGACTGATGAAAACGCCGGCGCACTGTTCAGAAGATGACCCACCGGCAGTCGATCTCTCGTGTCCGACCCCACTGGGCTTCCTTCGCGATGTGGTCTAGGATTACAAAGGTTGCACGTCTCTCTCTCTCTAATAAACAAGCCAGTACTGTATTTGATTAGGAGTTCCAGTGGCCAGGATGTCAGGAAGCCGGCTGCGTCCTAGACGGTCTAAATCCGGCCCATAGATATATGAGAGAGAGAGAGAGAGAGAGAGAGAGGAGTGTGTGAAAATCGGCAGTAGCACAGCGGAGGAGCTAGGCAGCGCCGTCACCGGTCAACGGCGGCGGCGCGGTAGCGGTGGAATGCCGAAACCGATAAACGGGCAAAAGATTCGGGGCTTTCCGGGTTTTTTTGTGGAAAATGTATTTATATCCCCCACGCGCCCCAAGAAAAAGAAAATCCATCGAATTTTTTAATCCCGTAAACCAAACACGATTAGACAACTTCCCGGCGGGCCAGTTGAGCCTCTTCTCCCCGAGTTGACATACTTTGAATTCCTATCCTTTTTATTAATGCCCAAAAATAAATAAATAAATAAATATGGAATTGAATGGCAAAAAACCATATTAAATGTGGCCATTAAACCATGCACCGGTATTTTAAATCCGCATAGTCGCGATTATATTGCCATTTAAATGGGCGGTGGGAGCTATAAATTAAAGAAAATATTAAGTGACTTTGTATATTCGAGGCATTTAAGATAATTATATTTATATGGCGGAAAAGTCAAGGTATGTAAGAAAAAAAAATGAAGGGATATCGACAAAAATGGGTGCTTTGAGGACTGGTGGAGCTGATCTTGGTCGGGGGCAGGTTTACATCGGAACCCACCTGAGATTGAGATTTACAGCTGCCCAGTGTCTAGTGTCGTATTGTAGATATACCCTCTAAGATGCCGACGTTGGAGGCTTTCGTAGGGCGGAGTTTATCAATATAAATAGTGATTCCCATAGCTACTATATAAGTGCCGGAAATAAGGCATTAAAATAAAATAGGAAATGGGATGCTGTGGGTAAAAATAAAAGGATATTGAAGATACAAAAGCTAACCGACAAAACGGGTCGGGGCGGCGCGCAAGCTGACGAAGAGATCCAAGGTTTTTGACACGTGGACGGCGGAGATCATTCTCACCAGCAGACAAACCACACGGCAAACCCGGGTTAAGTTATGCCGTCCCTGAGCTACTATTTTCTCTCTCTATCTCTATCTGTCCCCCTCTCTCTCTCTCTCTCTCTCTCTCTCTCTCTGTGGATTTCTTTTCCCACCGCGGACTAATGCGACCGCCATAGCCGACCTCGTCCTTTCTTGTCCTACTACGGAACCCTGGCGCCCCGAATTTTTCGGTTCCTCGTCGGAAACCTGCGCAGGAGGCGGTTTGGTGGCGCCAGGGTGGCGCCGCGGCAGTCACCGGCGAGGTGAGGAAGGACCGGGATCTGTCGATCGGAAGATGCTCGGAGCCTCGGAGGAGCTCCACGACGGGGTTCTGTTCTATCTGAAGTTGAGTTGCTGTCCTCGCGGGCCATCTACCGGGCTGGTAGCCGGCGACGGAGCCGCCGGTCTCTGGTTCTCCGACGAAATGGACTGGTAGTTGGAGCGGCTTGGATTTCGACGACTGGTTTGCTTGCTGTGTGAATTTATTTTTTTGGTGTCCTGTCGAACGAGACCAGGCCCTGAATTTTGTTGGGAGCTGGGGATCAGACATTGGATCGAACGAACGAATCGGAGAGGCTCCTCGTCGTGTAGGATGCCGACGGAGATTGAAAATACCTCCGCCATGACGGCATCTAATTCGGCCTCCGGAGAGGCGAGTATTTCGTCGACTGGACAGCAGCCGGCCCCGCCGCCTCCGGCCGCTAAGAGGAAGCGCAATCTCCCGGGAATGCCTGGTAACGAGTTCGCCGATAGATCGCGGATGAATCCTGTCGCTCAGGATTTGCCTCTTTCCATTCGAGTTCATCTAATGCTTCTGTGTCTCGATGCTATGTCAGATCCGGATGCGGAGGTGATAGTCTTGTCGCCGAAGGCGCTGATGGCGACGAACCGCTTCGTGTGCGAGATCTGCAAAAAGGGTTTTCAGAGGGACCAAAACCTGCAGCTCCACCGACGTGGTCACAACCTTCCGTGGAAGCTGCGGCAGCGCTCCGGCAAGGAGGTGAGGAAACGGGTCTACGTGTGCCCTGAGCCGACCTGCGTCCACCACGACCCTGCGAGAGCTCTCGGCGATCTCACCGGTATAAAGAAACACTACTCCCGCAAGCACGGAGAGAAGAACTACAAGTGCGAGAAATGCTCGAAGAAGTACGCCGTTCAGTCGGACTGGAAAGCCCACACGAAGATTTGCGGCACCCGGGAGTACCGCTGCGATTGCGGCACTCTTTTCTCCAGGTATTGTTCGTGTTTCCTCCTTTTTCGATGTATTCCGCCTCAGAACTGCGGATTTCGCCTCCTCGTGACCTAATCTCTCTCTCTCTCTCTCTATCTCTCGATCGGGCGCAGGAGGGATAGCTTCATCACGCACAGGGCGTTCTGTGATGCGCTGGCGGAGGAGAGCGCAAAAGCGCAGGTAGCCGGCGGGGAGGCGGCGCCGGCGGCGAGACCTGGGCCGGGGGAGGCGGCGCCGGCGGTGAGACCTGGGCCGGGGGAGGAAGAGGAAAGGCTGAAGACGATGACCTCGTCGTCGTCTTCCCCGTCTTCCGCGGTGATCAATACGGCTCTGCCTGTTCCGCGGTTGCCTCCGTCAGCCGAGCAGCCGCAGCAAGGTCAGTTCTCAGGCTGGGGTTCTGTCTCCTTCCCTCTCTTTTCTTTCGTTATGTTTGTCGGATCGATCGTCGTCTCGATAACGCAATAGAATTTAGGAGCGGAAGAATCTATATTGAGACGATTGCCGCTCCTAGAATACGATGCGGGTTCTGTCTGTTCGTGTTTGAATATACCCGGGGTTGTAATGGGATTCCTCGGGGAGAGTTGTTCTTCGGCCATCCATGGCTGGATCTTTCTCAGCTGGAAGAAGATTTTTATTTTTTACGAGGCCGGGATGGGATCGTTCTAAAGGGGTTTCCCTTTCCGATTATTTTTTTTTCTCGGTCGATTGGGTTTCCGTCTCTCTAATCGAGATTTAAGTAGCATCAAAACGCGCTTTAATCCCGGGAATCCTGTGAATATTCGAGATGGTCATCATTGCCCATCCCCCCCCTTCTCTTTAGAAAAAGGTTACATAAATCTCTAATCTTTTTCCCGATCTCCCGCCCCTTCTTGGTGCTGATAGTGATCTTTCGTCACAGAGCCGGAGACGACGGCAAAGCGCGCACCGATCATGCGACAGATTCTGCCTCCTCGGTTGCCGGTGGTGGCCGCAGGGAATGGCAGCAACAGCGGCAACGGCACCGGCGGCACGAGCGCCAGTCTCTTCGCCAGCCTTTTGGCCTCGGCGGCGGCCAGAACAACGCAGAGCACCTCATTCTCGGATTTGATGGGCGCCGCTATGTCCAGGAACGACAACGGGGTGGCACCGCAGCTCTCCTCCGCTGGCCCGTCGTCCTCCGCAGAGCCCATTTCCCTCCGCCTCTCGCACAGCGGCGGATCATCGCTCTTCTCGGGCCCCCTTGATCGGCGGCCTCTGGCCCCGCCGCCTCCTACTCCCCACATGTCTGCCACCGCATTGTTGCAGAAGGCGGCGCAAATGGGGGCCACGGCCAGCAACTCGTCGCTGCTCAGAAGCTTTGGGCTCGTGCCCAGTTCAAGCTCCGCAAGCCAACAACACCCGCACGACAATCCGCGGGAGAGCTACCAGTCATGGCGAGGGCAACAGCACCACCTCCCGGAGGAGCCGGCGGGATTGTCGCCGGCGCTGGGCCTCGGGCTCCCCTACGGCGGCGGAGGCGGCGGGATGCCGAGTTTCATGGTGGGCCCGCCGCCGTTCTTCGTGGCGAAGCCGACGACGCTGGACTTTTTAGGGCTGGGTAGGGGACCCGGCGGCGGCGCCGCCGGCGGCCTTTCGGCTCTGATCACCTCCATCGGTGGCAGCTTGGAGAGGGCCACCGACCGGTCGGAGGCCTGGGACGGCGCCGACCGCCCCCCCGGCGGCTCCGCCCTGTTGTAGAGATCGACAAGACTCGCTCATCCTGAAAATTTTACTTTTTTCAAAGTTTTTACTTCGTCAAGGAAAAGCAAGAGGGCGACGACTCGCCCTCTTTTTTCAAAGGAATCTCCGCACTTTTTTCCCAGCTCCCTGTTCACATGTGTCGCCTGTCATGTCGCCTGTGAAATGGAGGGACAAGGGGACGGTTCGAGGCGGCAGCGAGAACGACGAAGCTCACTCACTGTTCCTCCGATAACCAACCCCGAAATCCTTCCTTCCTCTTTGCTTGCGACAGCCCATGTCGTCGTATCCGGGCGATGCTGGAAGCCGGCGGGGCAAGTAAAGCTTCTGAGGTAATCGCCCCTCCCCCCAGCCGTCCGCATGGTTACTCTGTCTCGACGCGTGTTGGGCTGAAGGAGGACAAGCAGGGCGGCTGTTCATGTCAGCTCGGAGAAGGAAGCCCGCACCATATCTCCTGTGGCTCGCGTCGTCCATATCTCCGACGAAGTTAAAGCTCGGCCGGAGTCGGTCGCCGGTTCCCACGACGGGCGGGGGTGTGATAAAGGCGACGACGAATGATGGCGTCTGGGGAAATCGGTACCAGACATCAGTATTGAATGCAGGGGAGGAGACGGGCGAGGAGAGCGAGAATCGAGGCCTCGCTTTCATCCTCTGCTGCTGCTACGACGGCAGTCTGCTCTCTCGCCATTAAAGAAACCCAGGAATTCGGTCAGAGGTCCTCCCCGCACGATAGATTCGGCGCTCGCAGAGCCGGCAGGGGAAGCTTGCCTTCTTCACCCCGGCTTTTCGCCCTACGGACTATAGGACAGGTGGGAAACGGGCGGAAACGGGACGCCGTTGGTACTCTACTCGTCGTTTTCCCTCGCGCGGAATATCTCCCTCCCCCCCCGTTCCCAAGGACGCCATTAAAAGATCCCCCCTTCTCCTGTCAGCAGCCCGTCGAAGTATAGCAGCTCAGCTCCCGCGTAAACCTTCATAGATTTGAATCCACCGAAAATAAGCGGAAAAACTCCCAAAGATCTTGCAGATTTTAATAAAATCGCGTCGAGACGAATTTATGCGACTGCAAAACGCGCGACTTCTCGATCATTTGCGACTCCTCGTCGGAAAACGAGTCCTTTTCTCGAAATGTTTTCATGGTGCGGCCCGGATAAGGGCTGATTTCCCGATATAGAGGGTGCTACGCGGCAGACTTCGCTGCAGCTGTTGTGCTCGAGAGGGCACGCCCACTAGAAGAAAGCGTCGCTGTTATACCCTAGAGAGGTAGAAGAAGACCCTGCCACTGCAGACGAAGATTGCCCATGGAGTACCGACAGGGTTCGCAGTCTAAATTGGAGCTTTGTGAGGCGGAAGACGATGACGCGCTACGTGTCGGAGCTTAGCCCCAGCCAGCTCCACCGACGGCCCACCTGCACGAGGTTTCCAGTCGAAAGCTGACGGCCAAATTCATAAAGTGCCGCCTCGAAGGACTTATCAGTCTCATCTCCATCACGCCCACCATGGCCCTCCTCGGCTCCTTTCTAATGCTTCTTCTTCTTCCTCCCTTTTTCTTCTTGCTTTTCAAATCTCTCTATACGCTTGTATGGGTACCGGAGAAGATCCGCCGCCACTACCGAAGGCAGGGGATCGGAGGACCTCCCCGCCGCCACCTGATCTTCGGCAACTCTGCCGAAATCCGCGGCATCATCGCCCGCGCACTATCGCGGCCGATTCTCGATCCTTTCGACCACGACATCACGCGGCGGGTTCTCCCACACTACCATGAATGGTCCGCCGTCTACGGCAAGACCTTCCTTTTCTGGTTCGGGTCCTCGCCGCGGCTCGTCGTCGCCGACCCGGCGATCGTCCGCGAGGTCGTGATGGACGCCGACGGCGGGTTGGAAAAGGTGGACTTCGACCCACTGTCGAGGCCGCTGTTCGCGGATGGCCTGATAGGGCTGAAGGGGAAGAAGTGGGCGCTCCACCGTCGGATCATCAACCCCACCTTTAACATGGAGAGGGTGAAGGTCGGTTCTCCAATCATCTCCTCCGCCGTAGTGATTGGTGATCAGGTTTTCTCAATTTTTCTGCAACCCTAATTCGAGATCTCCGTGGAGAAAAAAAATAGAATTGGGTTCCTGAAATCGCCGCCTGCGCCTCGAAGATGCTCGATGATTGGGAGAGCAGGGGAGCGAGCGGCGGCGATTTTGAAGTAGAGGTGGGGGAAGAGCTCCAGCGATACACCGCGGATGTCATCTCTCACGTGGCTTTCGGGAGCAGCTACGAAGAGGGGAGGCGGATCTTCGAGCTTCAAGAGGAGCAGGCGCTCCTCGTCTCTCTGGCCCTGCGGAGCGTCTACATCCCAGGCTTCAGGTGCAGATTCATCTTCCCAGAAATTCCCTCCTCCCTGCTCAACCTTACCCTCCTCTCTCTTCTCTTCTCGTCAGCTTCCTTCCCACACGGAGAAACCGGAGGCGGCAGGAGATCGACAAGGAGATAAGGGATTCCTTGCGAAGGCTGATCCGCAGCAAGGACGGCGCAGGTGATTTAATCTCCAAGAACCTCCTGGGCCTGATGACGTCTTCGAACAAGGAAGGGGCGGAGGAGGATCAAATGGGCATCGAGGAAATCATAGACGAATGCAAGACGTTCTACTTCGCCGGGAAGGAGACCACGGCCAACCTCTTGACATGGGCGCTGCTGCTGCTCGCCCTGCACGAGGAATGGCAGACCAAGACCCGGGAGGAAGTCAAGAACCTCTGCGGCGAGCATAACCCCCCCAGCGCGGAGGACATCCCCAGGCTCAAAACAGTGAGCTTCTTCTTCTTCTTCTTCTTCTTCTTCCTCGTAGGGTTGGTCTTTTCCACTTGCAGCGCCTGAACCTCTGCAACATCGTCTGTGTGAACAAACAGATGGGCCTGGTTCTGAACGAAACCCTCCGTCTCTACTCCCCCGCCGTCAGCAAGAGGAAGCTAGCCACCAAGAAAATCAAGCTTGGGGCGATCGACGTCGCCGCCGGCACCGAGGTCTTCATCCCCATCATCTCTCTTCACCGGGATGAGAAGGTGTGGGGGGAGGACGCCTGCCAATTCAATCCGCTGCGGTTCTCCGACGGGCGGCGACCCACCGGCGGGTACTTCCCATTTGGGTTTGGGCCGACGATCTGCGTCGGCCAAAACCTGGCCCTCGTGGAGGCGAAGGTGGCGCTGGCCATGATTCTGCAGAGGTTCTCCTCCTTCTCCGTGGCCCCTTCTTATGTCCACGCCCCCAGTCAGCACATCACTCTGCAACCCCAGTACGGTGTCCAGATAATCTTCCACATATCCTAGATTCCAGGATCTTAGTGGGCTGTTGGGCCTTCAGAAAGACCATTATGAATCTGAAAATGGAGAGGGACGGAGGGAGGGACGGCACATCAGGTCCGACGCTCATTCGTAGATAATCGTTTCAATATTTAACTTCAGAGGGCGTGGATCTTTCTTTCAGCACAAAATGAGGTGAAATGTTTTCAAAAATACGATTTTAGATGGATTTTGAAATAGATTATCACATATTAAACAACATTTAAAATACAATTTATAACAACACAGATAGATCTCATCCTCCACTCATCATTTGAGTAACATTAAAGTTATTTAAATTAGTCATATACTCTAAGTTCTTTGAGATATACATTATTGTTAATTTTATATAAAACTCCAAATGATCCGTAGTTGTTTCATTTAATTTGTTGTAGGTATTTGTTGGGAACCATTATTTTTATCTTAGTAGATCACGACAAGATAATTAGTTTAAAGATGTTCTTTCTTTTATTGTTTATTGTTGCCTTGTACCGTTCACAATTAGTTGTCAGACTATATTGGACACTTTTATGAATAAACTTGTTGGCATTTATCATATGATTTATAATAATGCGTGTTGTCACTAACCTTGACAACTGAAATATATTTAAAATATTTTTTAAATAAGTGAAAAATAGTTAACTGATTAACCATCTGATTTTCACTCTATTTGGGATAAAACATAATTTCATTACTTTGATTTCTCTCTTGAAATATTAAAAAAAAACCATTTAGCTATTAGTCTAGGGGTGGATAATACTATTGAGTTTCAAGAATGTGGTAAATCTATTCAAAATTATCTATTACCCAGAATGATATAGACATTTTGATTCTCTATCATGATTAATCGATTCATGAACTTAATACAAACTTAAAGTGTATGGCCCTTTAGAGTATAATTATCTTAAATAATTTTGATGAATCCATATATTTTTTTTTATATAAATAAAAATCATCCTAAAGATTTAAACACTTAATTGATAAACTCAGCCTATAGACCTCTCAAGTTTGGGAAAATATATGTATATACTATTGTATAATTATTTTAGATAATCAAATCTAGCGATTTAAAGACCAAACATTCTGATTTCCTACTAAAATCATACGTCACTCGATTTGATTTTTTAGATTTATATTTGAAAACAAAGGTGAACTACTCTAAGACATGCATACTATTAGCAGAAATTTAACCATTCATTGATTTAAGAATGTGATGGTGGACATACAAAATAAATTTGCATTGAATAAAATAGTATCATCATTTGATTAAAACATGAACAGTAGCATAAAATTTAATTGTTTAAAAAAATATTTTTTCATTATTAAAGATTATAGGACAACATTTTTGAGTTATAAAATAGAACTCAGATTTCAATTATGGAGCTATCATGCTTGACTTCAATACTTTTTCAGTATTTAAAACCACTAAAATATGAACATAACTTAATTTTTTCTTGATCATGTCAAAACTATTAACAAAATTTTCAATCTATCTGAAATATCTTTTTTCATGCATTCAATAATTGGGGAAGAGTTGGGATAAGAATAGATCTTTGTCTATTTTTTAATATTTCTATCAAAATGCTATTTATATGTTTCAATAGATGTATCAACACACATCTTGCAGCAATACTTCTTGACTCTATTTCAACAAGAATGCAAAACTTTTTATATTAGTTCATTCCTTACCTCACTACATATAGTCTCAAAGGAAACTATCATCTAGTGTTCACATATTCTCCTTAAAACGCACATTGATATCTATTGAATTAATCACACAAACTACACAAGTTAGTCTCCTATGATACCCAATCATTCCTATATCAAATATGACTATTCACACTTCATATCTTCACTTAATACACTATTTCTCACCACCTAGTTACTTTAGGACTTGATATAGAACAAAAGATCATAGTAGTAGAGTTGATAATTTATCAAAATAAGTTGATGAATGAGATGTAACATTCTTATTTGGCATTGATGCATGCAATGTGATAAACATAATAAGTATTTAATCTATGTCTTTGTCGAATTTTTATAGGTGATAAAGTTGAAGATACAACTTAATATTACTATTTTGCTAAAAAAATTGAATTCCAACTATTAAATTTTAAAGATAAATTCATTCCTTTTTCTAATAATGACTATGCATGTTTTGTTGTCATAACCACATCATCCAGCTTAAAAGATGACTAAAAAAATTACATTTCCTTCAATGTTTCATTTGATACCACTTTTGAATCTCGAAATAATATGACTCAGATTTAGTTAGTTCAACTCTAAAAAATAAACAATAAAAAAAACTCTTCAACATCATAAAAAAATAGACCAACTTTGTTATTTTCAATTTTGATAGTGTTGATATAAAATATATTTATAATCAGGTGATAGAAATTGAGATTTCAAAAGTTTTTTCATTTTTTTCTACATATGTATAAGTTCCTTACTTAACCTAACGTGAGTATATTGCAATTGAACCCACCAAGTGAAACCTCTACTTTTCAATTAATAAACTATCTTTCAGTACTCTCCTCATTATGACCTAGTTCTAAAGTGATTGGGTAATTAGTTTCGAACTACTTTCCAACTTTTGTGTTCTTGGCTACGTAGAACTTCCATGTAGGTTTAAAATAGAATTTTTTTATATAATCTTGTGAGTCGAATAGTCAATAAATGTGAAAACTTTTAGCACATAAAGAGTAATAAGATGTTAATAGATATTATAGAAGAATATATTGTCTCTGTAACAATCAAATGAAAAAAACATATTATTCGGGGTGTGTGGAATTCAATGCTCATTGAAGAAAAAATAATAATAAATTTCATCCCTCACTTGATTCTGACAAAGCAAAAAGAAAAAAAGTTTTTGAACTTGTGGCTACAGATCTGCATCTTTCCTATCATGAAATTAGAACAACTTCTGAAATTATTTTCTTTTGTTTGTTGGTGGTAAGCCTCTTTATTCATCCCGTTGACTTTTCCTCATTTCAATAACTTTTAGTGATCATCCTTAGAGAATATGTTGTATCTACTACCAAATAGTATCTTCTAGTTTTTTTATTTACATGATATTATCTTCGACTGAAAAGAGCTCTAATCTACTTGATTTGCTGTTCTGCTTGGTGGGTCTCTTATAATTCCCGTTTCCCCTCTAATTTCCTTGACCCTTATGATTTCATATGACTTGGCAGCAACGTCGCAGTTATTTTCTCTCTCATAGGAAGGTAGCAATATTACAGTCATCCTCTGCTGCTGCGGCAGTCGGCAGTCTGCTCTCCGCACTATTAAAGAACTCCAGGAACTCGGTCAGGGGTCCTCCCCGCACGCGACGCCGGGACGATAGACTCGGCGCACGCAGAGCCGCAGGCGGGAAGTGGACGACGGTATCGGTCTTTGACCTACTGTCAGGGGTCAGCGATAGAACTCACCTCGATTCTTGCCTCGGACCGGCCTTGGTCGGCCTCGCCGGTACCAAACAGCCTTTCTTCCCAAAGATGACGTGGAAACGATGATGGTCAACACAGAGACTCTCGTACACCCCTCAGAGTCGGAACACCCCGCTCAACTCCGGCGTAGCCTCCCCCAGCGACTGATTTCGCCAGAGGCGCAGGGGGAAACCCCGCCCACAGACGTAGCAACCAGTGTAGCTTCTTCTGACTATGCTGCAGCGGATTCCACCGATACTTGGCGCAAAAACTCCCCAAGCATTTTCAGATTTTTAATAAAATTTCGTCTAGACGAATGAAGGCGGCTGCAAAACCCGCGACTTCTCGATCATTTCTGGTCGGAGAAGGAGTCTTTCTCGAAATGTGTTGACGATGCAGCTGATAAGGGCTAGTTTTCTGATATGGAGGGTGCTACGGTGCAGATTTAGTTACTTCTGTTGAGCTCGAGTGGGCCCCACCGGGGGAAGACGTCCCTGTCATACCCAAGAGAGGTAGAAGAAGACCCTGCCACAGCCGAGGGAAATATCCCATGGAGCATCGACAGGGTTCGCAATCTCAATTGGAGCTTTGTGAGGCGGAAGACGATGACGCGCTACGAGTCGGAGCTTGGCCCCAGCCAGCTCCACAGATGAAACACTTGCAAGAGCTTTCCAATTGAAAGCTGACGGCCGAATTTATAAAGGGCCGCCTCGAAGGACCTATCAGTCTCATCTCCATCACGCCCACCATGGCCCTCCTCGGCTCCTTCCTAATGCTTCTTTTTCTTCCTCCCTTTCTCTTCTTCCTTTTCAAATCTCTCTATACGCTTGTATGGGTACCGGAGAAGATCCGCCGCCACTACCGGAGGCAGGGGATCGGAGGGCCTCCCCGCCGCCACCTGATCTTCGGCAACTCTGCAGAAATCCGCGGCATGCTCGTCCGAGCACAGTCGCGGCCAATTCTCGATCCTTTCGACCACGACATCACGCGGCGGGTTCTCCCACACTACCATGAATGGTCCGCCGTCTACGGCAAGACCTTCCTTTTCTGGTTCGGGTCCTCGCCGCGGCTCTCCGTCGCCGACCCGGCGATCATCCGGGAGGTCGTGATGGATGCCGGCGGCGGGTTGGAGAAGGGGGAGTTCAACCCCCTGGCGAAGCAGCTGTTCGGGGATGGTCTAGTGGGGCTGAAGGGGAAGAAGTGGGCGCTCCACCGTCGGATCATCAACCCCACCTTCAACATGGAGAGGGTGAAGGTCGGTTCTCCAATCATCTCCTCCGCCGTAGTGATTGGTGATCAGGTTTTCTCAATTTTTCTGCAACCCTAATTCGAGATCTCCGTGGAGAAAAAAAATAGAATTGGGTTCCTGAAATCGCCGCCTGCGCCTCGAAGATGCTCGATGATTGGGAGAGCAGGGGAGCGAGCGGCGGCGATTTTGAAGTAGAGGTGGGGGAAGAGCTCCAGCGATACACCGCGGATGTCATCTCTCACGTGGCTTTCGGGAGCAGCTACGAAGAGGGGAGGCGGATCTTCGAGCTTCAAGAGGAGCAGGCGCTCCTCGTCTCTCTGGCCCTGCGGAGCGTCTACATCCCAGGCTTCAGGTGCAGATTCATCTTCCCAGAAATTCCCTCCTCCCTGCTCAACCTTACCCTCCTCTCTCTTCTCTTCTCGTCAGCTTCCTTCCCACACGGAGAAACCGGAGGCGGCAGGAGATCGACAAGGAGATAAGGGATTCCTTGCGAAGGCTGATCCGCAGCAAGGACGGCGCAGGTGATTTAATCTCCAAGAACCTCCTGGGCCTGATGATGTCTTCGAACAAGGAAGGGGCGGAGGAGGATCAAATGGGCATCGAGGAAATCATAGACGAATGCAAGACGTTCTACTTCGCCGGGAAGGAGACCACGGCCAACCTCTTGACATGGGCGCTGCTGCTGCTCGCCCTGCACGAGGAATGGCAGACCAAGACCCGGGAGGAAGTCAAGAACCTCTGCGGCGAGCATAACCCCCCCAGCGCGGAGGACATCCCCAGGCTCAAAACAGTGAGCTTCTTCTTCTTCTTCTTCTTCTTCTTCCTCGTAGGGTTGGTCTTTTCCACTTGCAGCGCCTGAACCTCTGCAACATCGTCTGTGTGAACAAACAGATGGGCCTGGTTCTGAACGAAACCCTCCGTCTTTACTCCCCCGCCGCCATCATGAGGAAGCTCGCCACCAAGAACATCAAGCTTGGGGCGATCGACGTCGCCGCCGGCACCGAGGTCGTCATCCCCGTCATCGCTGCTCACCAGGATAAGGAGGTGTGGGGGGAGGACGCCTGCCAATTCAATCCGCTGCGGTTCTCCGACGGGCGGCGACCCACCGGCGGGTACTTCCCATTTGGGTTTGGGCCGACGATCTGCGTCGGCCAAAACCTGGCCCTCGTGGAGGCGAAGGTGGCGCTGGCCATGATTCTGCAGAGGTTCTCCTCCTTCTCCGTGGCCCCTTCTTATGTCCACGCCCCCACGCTCGTCATCACCCTCCAACCCCAGTACGGGATCCAGATTATCTTTCACAAGGCCTAGACCCCGCTTATGAGTCCGAGTATGAAGACAGACAAGAACGACACGTCAGCTCTGACGCTGGTTCTTAGATATTTGTTTCGATACTATTAATTGGTTGGCCGTTGACGATTTTTATTTAAATGTTTTATTTTCCAAATCATTCGACGATTGTGGTCGGCTCTCGTTGGTGCACGTTAGCCTTTGGATGCGAGGGTGGGCCCGGCCCCAAATTGTTGGGGGCGGGGTATTATAGTCAATTATAATTTTTTTAGGGTTTTTCGGGTCCGATAATTGTTCACGGAACGGAGGGCGATGAGAGATTGGGCGTCGATGGAGAGGATGGTGAGATCCCTTCCACCCTTTCCCTTGCTGCGTCAGGTAGGTGGGTAAGCACGTGACCGTCCGCCCTCTTTGGATCATCGTCCCGTTGGTGGAGGGAGGGGGAGGCGGAGCTGGGGCCATGCCGTTCGGCGAGGTTCCGGGTTGGGGGCCTCGTCGTCTCGAGTGAGGTATGGTCTGGAGCTTCAGATTCTGATTCGTTTGATTGTTCACGGACGGACCACAAAAGACATGGATCTCTCTCTGTTCGTGGAGACCTCTGGCCGTTTCGTTCGTGAATATCTGCGGATATTGCTTTCTTCCATTTTGTGCTCGCTCGACGGGAAAATTGGCGTGCCTTATGGTTTTCTTGTGCTGGTGCCTTTCACGTGCCCTTTTATTCTTTGCTCGGTCTCGTGTGCAGTGTGTTAGGGTTTCATATGTACGCCTTGCGTTATTTTGCATCTGATGCTCGGGCCCGATTCATTTAGACGCTAGGAATCTAATTTTCCTCGGCCGAGCTTATTGCCCGAATTTTCTGATTATATCTGCCATGCGTACGCGACAAATGTTCCAGGATTCTACTTCTCGACATGCGTCCAATACTTTTCGGTTGATGAGTTTTTCTCCTGGTGTAAAAAATATGTTGCGCGTGTATAATTTGTTCTGTTTTCGTGAAATATTTCTTTCTGTGATTCGAAGCTGAAATATATTCTATGCGTAAGGTATCCGGACCCTAAACGCTGAAGAAACGGGGTCAGCACCGCGCTGGGATTGATGTGTTCAGAGTGATGAAATTTCACGCCTGGTTGCCGACTGGATTAAGGAGCTGTTTCTGTCTGTTGTGATAAGATGCCATCTACATATCTTTTGCGTCAAAAGGGGCTGAGAAACTTTTCTAAACTTGCCCAAGGCTCTGAGAAATTATCTTTGGCGGGCATTTCTTTGTTTTCTTCAGAGCAGACCTCATCTTCTTTCGTAAAAATCATTAGTTCAGATCCCGTGTTGGGTTCTCCATTAAACATTGCGAGAGACCGGTGTGTTGTTGACCAGCGAAAGGCAATTTCTGTAGTTGGAATTATAACTCGTTCTTTGTCGGGTCCCCTAGTGCCTGGTTCTTCTTGTCAGCCCTGTTATTACATCAGTGATCTGTTGTCTTCTGAGCCGCGCCGAAGATCCTTGCAAAGTCCACTACAGAGGAGCTTAATGACGGCTTGCAGTTCTCTGTTAGGTAGAGTCGAGCTATCTGCTCAAAATAGAATGAGCTTAAACAGAAAAAGTGGGCAGGCGATGAATTTCGTTGTTAGGATAGATGCCTCTGATTACAAGAAACGCATTGACTGCCTAATAAGAGTTTGTGGGAGCCTAAAAAATCAAGAACCTCGGGGAAATAATATGATCTACAAGTGCTTCTGGTCAGGTGCTGATGGGAAGGGTTGGTCACGTAATCCCTTCTCAGAGACTGGGACGAAGGATTTTCACTCATCGACTGGAACATCATATTCAGCCGGTGCTGCTACTGACGTGTCATTTCATGGGACTACGCGAGAAGAACAGTTTGACAGTTCCACGGGATCATCTGACCAGTACGTTTTTTCGGCTTTTGTAGTTTCTTGTTTATTTATTCCATTAAATTCTTTTAGAAGCTTATGAAATCTGTGTAAGTATATATATTATATATGTTATTATATTTATCTACACTTATCTGGTTGCGTGGGTTTTTCTGTATTCATTTGCGTAACCATTATTACGAAAGTTAATCACTTACTTTAATTGCCATTTCATTTTCTTAGAACATCTGTTATGTCATAATTTTTATAATTGCTTTTGATTTAAAACTTTTAGTATAGTTTTTTGTTGTTTTCTTGTCAGTATTTCTTTCTACAACCAGCTTCTCAGTATTCCAATCATAACTCTGTTTATGTCAAGTAGCAACCCAACTAATTCATCTTCACCCGTTCTTTAGATTTTGTATTCGACTGCTTGAAGTAGTATTCGACTCTTCCATAAGTACGAAGTACAGACAGAAGAACACACTAATGATGTACGGTTACCGGGGACTTTTTGCACTCTTCATGAGTAGTATTGAGTAGGAACTTGAGTGGCCTTATGCATTTTATATGAGTTCTCATAATTGTGGGCTTCATTAAACCTTGCTGATTGAAATGAATGAAGGAGGTTGGTAGAAGAAGCATCGTCATGCTCTTCCCCAGCAACAAAGGTTATTAACATTTCGTGCAAGTGAAGGTTAATCAACATCCATTCAATTGCGGTTAAACAAATGGCTATGTTATGTTGAAATGGGTTATGTTCAAAACAGTCGGTCGCTTAGGATGTGTCGTGGGTTATGTGAATGTAAATGACTGCGAATTGACTCAAAGTCTATTGTAGCGGCTAAAAAGAGGAGGGCCATTTCTATGATAATCTAAAGTGTCTTAACGTCATCCATGCCCCCGGCCCCCAATGTTACCTTGAAGCTGTCCTCTCTTTCACTATAATTCTCTCTACCTTTGAGAGGGACTCTGTTGGTTCCTCTCTCTCTATCTCTCCCTCAATTATGTTCTCACCATCAGGCAACAGTATTTCATCCTTTCTCACTTCTACCAAAATCTATTGCACTTGCTTGTCTTAACCTCAATGGGACTGGGAGTACTGGAAATACCAATGCTTTCTTTCCTGTGGGAGACAATGGACAGGATGTCAAAAGACTATCCTCTTCCCTGAAAGAAGAGGATAGTCAAAAGACTGTGGGGCATTAGGTCTAGGCGTTCTTTCTCATTTGCTTGTTTTTTGGCATTAAATGAGGAATATTTTCATTGATGATATCTGCTCTCCACTATTGGAAACTCAGCTGCCTCTTTTAGACCCTTACAAGACAGTCAAAAACCTCAGTGATGGCTGGAAGATAACTGCAATGATAATCCAAATCATACGGATAACACAAGCAGGCGAACGACGAGAGAAAAGTTGTCAGATAACTGATAAATGTGTTCTATTTGAATTTATCATATTTCTCTGAAAAAAAACAAGCCTGACTTATTTGTGTGGTTGAGTTGGTTTTGTCTGGTTCACGTCATGTACAGTTGGCTGTACTAGGTCAGATCTTATTTTTAAGATCATAAGCTGCATTTTCCCGTGTGATCCTGCCAGTTGTAGATGTAAATATCTTCAAAGGTGAATCAAAGGGATCCATAGAACATGGTTTTTTATTTAGTTATAATAATGACGAAAAAATACTCCTTTCTGACTCATTCGAAATTTGTTACTCTGCTCTATCATTTCGCATCCTGCCAGTCAACTCATGGAGATATTGCTTTTAAAACAAGAAAAAGATGTCACTTATATTGTTCTCTAATTACCAAGTTTGTTTTCGTCCACAGGAAGATGGTTGGGGATAGAACATTAAAACTACTATCAGGTTCTTGCTACTTGCCACACCCAGCTAAGGAGGAAACTGGAGGAGAAGATGCTCATTTTATTTGTATTGATGAGCAGGCCATTGGTGTAGCAGATGGGGTTGGTGGTTGGGCTGACCTTGGTGTTGATGCAGGAAAATATGCCAGGGAACTCATGTCTCATTCTGTGTCTGCAATTCAAGAAGAGCCGAAAGGCTCCGTTGATCCAGGTAGGGTTCTGGAGAAAGCTTACTCCAGCACAAAGTCCAGGGGATCTTCAACAGCTTGTATTATTGCGCTCACCAACCAGGTTTGTCAGACATTTCGTGTCTAGAAACCACTTTATTTTCTGGACACGTTAGTTGATTTCACTCATATTTGACGTTTTGCACATGATGGGTATGTGCTACACATGCATTCTGCAAAAAATTATTTATTTCCTGAACAATCTACACATGTGCTACACATGTTCTAGTACTTACGATAGGTGCATTTGATTAGTCCTAGATAAACCATGACATATTTCTTCGTCATAATAGCCGCAGCAAACCATGGTTTGCAAACTTTGTGGATTGCAGCATGACTAATATTTTCATATATTCCGGTCATAAAAGTGATGGCCAACTATTCTTCTTGCTTCGCTCTGCTGTGGCGGCCAACTGTTCGTATTCCTTAGTTTTAGACGTACAATTTTTGAGTTTTGTGTATATCATCTACCAATTGTTGACTGGTTTATTACTTTTGACTCGGATTTTTTCTTTTCGATTCAGGGTGTTCATGCTGTCAATCTAGGAGACAGTGGCTTCATAGTGGTGAGGGAAGGATGCACGATATTTCGATCGCCTGTGCAGCAGCATGATTTTAACTTCACATACCAACTTGAAAGTGGGAATGGTAGTGATCTCCCGAGCGCCGCCCAGGTCAGACTCATCCTTCTCGTTCTCTACTGATTAGGGGAATCAATAGGCCCGATAGACCCCTTTGGAAAGCCAAGATTTCCATGCAAGCATCCTGGGTTTACACACGTGACTCCCCCAACCCCTCTCTCTCTCTCTCTCTCTCTCTCTCTCTCTCTCTCTCTCTCTCTCTCTCTGGAGTGCTAATAGAGGGCCAGCAGGGCGCGCCCCTATGTGGGACTCAATTCATAGTAGTCCCGACTCATAGTTTCTCTGATATCGCGCTCTTACCATACGCAGAAGCTCTTCTTTTTTTCTTCTTCGGGTAATGAAATTCTGTTCGTCGTTGAACATCGGCAGGTGTTTACCTTCCCCGTGGCTCCGGGCGACGTGATTATTGCGGGGACGGATGGACTGTTCGACAACCTGTACAACAACGAGATCACGGCGGTGGTTGTCCACGCGGTGAGGGCGGGGCTTGGGCCGCAAGTGACCGCGCAGAAGATCGCCGCGCTGGCGCGGCAGCGGGCGCAGGACAAGAACAGGCAGACACCCTTCGCCACGGCGGCCCAGGATGCCGGCTATCGCTACCACGGCGGCAAGCTCGACGACATCACCGTCGTCGTCTCTTACATCACTGCGTCCGACAAGTGATCTCCCCCCCCCAAAGAAAAGAAAACAAAAACAAAAAATGCAGGTTCCCTCTTCTTCTCTCTTCTTCTTTTTGATTTTATTTTGGTTAGATAGTCCAAAGGTCTTGAGAGTCTCATGTAAAGATAAGAGAAGAGTGCGCTGCCGGCGAGACTGCCGGCGAAAACTTCACTGTACTGGCTTAATAGAAATGTGACGATGCCCCCCACTGTTTCGCGTCATGACGATGATGAAGCTATATGATTGTCCTTGACGAGGAGGAAGCTCGGTGCAACGACAAAGCATGCTTTTGTTCCAAAGAGAACACAACAGAAGACCGGTTGGAGTGTAAACCAAAGGCGTTGCTGCCGTGTCAGGCAACCTTCCTCAACGCGAAGGTCTCCCCATCTTCCTCCTGTTGACGCCTTCTCTGCTCTTCCTCCCATCTTTCAGTTTCTTCCTCTTCTCTTTTCCTCCTTGGCTCTTCCTCCATCTGCTCTTCTTCTCGCCTTGGTCCTTCTTCTTCCTCCTCCCTTCTCCTCGATTCCTGCTCCTCCCTCTTCCTGGTCTCTGCTTCCTCTTCCTCCTCCCTCTTCCTGGCCTCAGCCTCCTCTTCCTCTTCCCTTCTCCTCGCTTCCTCTTCCTCCTCCCTCTTCCTGGCCTCTGCTTCCTCTTCCTCTTCCTCTTCCCGTCTCCTCTCTTCCTCTTCCTCCTCCCTCTTCCTGACCTCAGCTTCCTCTTCCTCCCTCCTCCTCGCCTCTTCTTCCTCTTTTCGTCTCGCTTCCTCTTCCTCTCTCCTTCTTTGCTTCTCTATGTCCTCCGCCATTCTCTCCCATTCCTGCTCGGCACAGGACGTACAGTCGAGCATGATTGCTTCTCCTTGAGGCGCCAGCAACTTATCAACAGTCGTGTTGGAAACTCCCAGGGACAGGGCTAGAATATCTCTGTCCAGGGTTTGAAGAACAGACCTCTTCCCTGCCAGGAACTGTGGGCGATTCTTCCTTACCTTGGTACTGAATCCGACGAACGAGAGGGAGCCATTGTTGAACGACATCTGGGCCATGGCGTGGTACCTCGACACCAAGAACACATCCCCCTCTCTCACCCTGAATCTCCAACTTAGGCATTCACGAGTTCTTTCCCCTGAAGAAGCAACCCTAGGAAGAACGACTTGCACCATCCCTTCTCCATGCGTCACTATGGCAATCTCCGTCGCCCGGGGATTCCAATGGGGTCCCATCATAGAACCCTAAAAAATTAGAAGGAAAAAACCGGAAGAAAACATATCCTTTAATATATAACAAGCCAATCGGACATGTCAAGTATCATACGTAAAAATAGCTATTTGCATTAGTTATCAGAAAAAAAATTCATGAGATTACCTTGGTCAAGTTTACCATGAACACCCCAACGTCCGATCCCTTCAATGCGTGGAACTCCTTGTCGGTCACGGCAATGCTCTGGCCATTACAGTTCTGGACATCCGGTTCGACGTCTAGAATGTTGAACGCTTTCCCCTTTGTCTTCTCCTTCTTCTTCTTGCCGTTGTCGCTCCCCAAGGGGCGGCCAACTCCCATGAGCGCCTCGAAGATCCCTTCCTTCCACCCGGCGCCGTCTGTCTCGTTCCCTGCGGTGAATGGCACGATGGACAGCGGCCTCTCCGCACTTTTGAGCCCTGATATCACTTCCTCAGACACCTTTTCAAGAGTGGAAGAGAAGAGCGATGAGACCACATCCTCCATGACCGAGTTCCAGCTCAAGAAGAGGAGGCTTCGGGATTTTAATACTCACCCTGAAACCCATCCTCAGGACTCCTTCATCAAAGCCTCGGACCAGGTCGGCCAAGTTCGAGTACGCCCCCACGAGCGCCTCCTGCGTCGACGTCGATCGTCAGCTAAGGATTCCCTTACAAGAAACAAAGCACGCCAAATCTAGAAGGGAAGACGGGAGGGGGTTTGAATAACTTACAGGTGATGCCTCAGACGTTGAGGTGGTGAAAATGGCATGGATTCTGAGCTTCTGCCTCAGTGGGTCTGGATGGCTTCGCACGTAGAAGACGGAGCCGGAGCCGATTCTGTAGATGTCGCCTCTTTTGACCTCCAAATCGATTGTCTCGCCGTCGCTAACCCAGCTGACGGTCCCCCTACCTGGAAGACATATGCACAGAGAAAGGAAAGTTCGTTTATCCGCTTATATGAATACTCGTCCAATGTTTCCTTCTGGTCTGCTAGATTACGCATGGAACATGCACACCAGGATCGTCACGTCGGAGGAGCTCACCTGAATGCACATAGAAAACCATGTCCACGTGGAGATGAAGAGGAATGAGAAGAGACTGGGGCTCCAAGGTGAAGAACTGGAGGTGGTACGACCCCCCGTATCTATCATCGACGTCGACGGCGGAGATGGTTCCGTAATCAGACGAGGCGATGGTCTTCCTGTTCTCCCTCTTGACCAGTGGGACGGCGCAGATATCCTCGTCAACCCGGGCGGCGACGGTCGGGAACGAAGACGGCCACAGTAACAGGACTACGACCAGCGAAAGAGAGGAAATATGGGAGCTCCATGCTGACGTCGCCATCTCTCTTCCACGGCGTTGAGGTGGCCGGAGATGCGGCGGAGGACGCTGTTATATAACCAGAGGTGATTGTGGTTCTACCCTCCACGTAGAGCTCCCCCAAGCTTCTGTCCTGCATGGCGTCCACGTTTCGCAGACTTTGCCCGGCGTCCCCAGGTGTTCTCCCGGTCTCTTCTACTTCCTGTCGGATAGCTGGCCCATAAAATGAGGAGAGCCCAAGACTCGGCCTTGATGAGAATTTGGTTTGGGCCCATCAAAGGTGCAATTTTTCCGCATCCATCAAGTCAAAATTGGCCCTCCGAGTCGACGGGAAGAAGCCAAATGGACCCCTCCACATTTTGTAGGTGGTTGTGGATTGGGCCAGGGCGACCACGCCGCCCTGGATGCCGGTTGGGGGGGCGGCGGAGTGGAGTGGGCGGTTGGCTGAGGAAGAAAGGAAAGAGGCGTTTGAAAGATGGAAATCCTCGAAGAGGGAGAAGGGACGCCTCCGTCCGTCCGCGGCCTGAGCGTAGAAATCACGCTCGAGAGGAAGGAGGAAAGCAAAAGCGACTCGTGGAGGGAGACCGCCCGAGACGCCGTGGCGGCGCGTGCAAATCCAGATTGTCACGCATAAATGTCAATAAAATTGGCATATCTAGTATCTATGTGGGTCTCTAAAACACAGCGCGAGCGCGCGCGCGCGAGAGAGAGAGAATATGTTCTCCGTCCGTGGACCCTCCGCTCATCTCCACCGTCAGTCTATCTCCTATATTCTCTGGAAATAGGACGTGGAAGAGTGAAAGCACCCGAGACAAAGATCTCTCTCTCTCTCTGTGGTTCGATCTTTCACATCCAAGTGAGAAAGAGAGAGAGAGAGAGAGAGAGCCCAGTGAGGTACCGCCCACATGTATCTGCGCATGCGAAAGCAACACTCGTCGGAGAGCCGCTCGCATGAGCTCCCTTCGGCACGCAGCATGCCGCGAGGACCGTCCATCTCCGACGAAGCGGACAACCCAGAAGCCCAGGTCGAAGAGCAACCCACACGGGGGAGTTTCCGCAAGAACCACACGATAACTCCCTCCATGTCTCTTGTTGTAAAGCTCTCTCACTTATTGAAAGGAGATTCAGTGAATACGGGATAGTGAATCCATGAACGGGTCGCACATCTCCATCAAAAAGAGTAGGTATTAGAGATAATCAGAGGTTAATCCCCGGTGAATTAGCGTTGCCGCGCTAGATTAATATCTCTGGAGGAACGCCAATGGCTGGTTAGGGGAATCATTTAAGATATCACGACAACAATGGCCCTCGCGCTATAACATTATCTGGAATAACTCGTGGCAAGCTATGGAAGGCCCAGGAGCTTCCTCTTCCTTTCCTAGGCGATGATGTCAGACGTACACTGAGTGGAAACTTTCAGCCACTAATCTCAAGCCTCAGGTCTCTGTCACTTTCTCTCACTCTCTCTCTCTCTCTGAGATGCAGAAGAGAAAGGAAAGGAAGCTTGTAACATACAAAAGAACAAGGTTTGAGATTCTAACACCCACCACCCTCCTCCCCCCTAAAGGCGGCTATTATCGCCCACTCCGTAAAGCGACCATTGACACTGGTGGTGACGATCTCGCCGACACAAAGGTGCGGCCATCCAGGAAATGACCTCGTGGGCTCATCCAACTAAGATCGGGGGGGGGGGGGCGAGGGGAAGCTTTCCTGGGATATGCTGATGTTAGGTTCCATCGCCTCTACAGTAGCCATCCATTCGTCATCCCTACCAGGAAATATTTGCATTAGGAATTGCAAGCCCTGCTTAATTATTCTCATCTTTCCAAGGCCAACCACTTCGAGACATTACAGGAAAATGGATTTCGAGTCGGAACCTATGGAGCTCGATAACGATGGGATTGGATGTGAATAACCTAAAACAACCGCGTACTAAAAGAGAAAAGAGTTCAGAACTTTCTGTCCAGGCCGTATTGAAGTTTAGAGCGTCTTAAATAGTGACCCAGCCAAACAACTCATCACAGCAAGCACGTTGACCCCCACCCGCAGCGACCCTAGGCTAACCTGATTGGTTGATACCTTTACGGTTACATGGGTTCATGCAGAAAATAAGTCGTCGAAATATCTTGATTAACTGTGCAAATCAAAATTGGGATCTCCTAAAATAGGTGAAGTGAAGAACTAGTATGGAATGAGCAGTGCCGTGATCCTTTGGGGCCTCGATAGCCTTTTGGGAAAGCCAGAGCTTCCATCCATGGAGTATCATGAGCATTAGTCTGGTTCCTATTGGCAACCGCTCCACCCGTCCTGTGTCTTCTCCTTTGCCACCAAGTGGGCGTCCAAGAAGAGGGACCCGGGCGGGAAGCCTTAGCCCCGAGACCGATGGGGTGGACCTACGTAGACCAGATTATGAAATTTTTGCGCTTTGCCGATAAAGGTGTCTGCTTTTCTTCGCGAGGCAGCTCAGACCACCGTGTTCTTCTGCCAACCACACACGAGGGCCACCCAGCCCCGTACCAGGCATGCTGTAACCCTGGCGGTGGGCGAGGATAGTACGATAGTTATCCATACAGGGCTTAGGGTTGTTTCATTCGTGAAACTTGGTAAATAAATTGAGAATTCGTTTTAATTAGGCAAATCTAGTATTTGATATTTTTATTGTTGACGATTATGCGATTGGTTTGGATACCTAGAGAGACGTGGACTTTTGGCTTATAATTAGACCTGTAATGAAGCCATCTCGAGGAAGAGAAGTCAAGCATGCAGAGCCGCCTTTTGACCGCCGGGTAGGCGGCGGCGTGTTCGCTGGACTCTCCGAACCAGACGACGAAGTACAGAGCTGACGTTACCAGTTCCCTACCTCCGAGAGTTCCTGGTTAATTCCACCGCCTTCTAGGGGGGGGTGGATGTGGGGCGGTGCCGGGTAGGAAAAGGGTAGAAGGCGTCACAGTGAAGCCTCCGACGAAGAGCTCCGCTGGTAAGCAGATAAAGCTTCACTTTGACTCCTGTCGTTGCCCATCACCCACCGCCGGGCCACCATCATCTCCATGGCCTCCACTCTCGCCGCCGCCGCCGCCCATCTATATCCCATGCACAACACCATATATCCCGTCCTCCCGCAGACGGGCGACGGAAATCCACTCCCCTTCGTCCTTCTCTCGAGACCCAACGACAGGAAGACGGGTTGCGGCAGCGCCAAGGACGAGTATAGAGATAGAGAGAACGAATCCCGCCTTTCGTTTTGAAGCGTCCAGTCGTTTCCTTCTCTTCTTCTCTGATTCCCTCGTTCGCTCCATGAAATCTTCCCGAGTTGGGTCCCCACAGTTTGCTCCCATCTCCAAGCTCCAGCAGTTCCCGCTGCGTGGGAGCCGTCAGGAATCAGACATTTTCGAGGATTCTGGCTTCGTCCTTCCTTTCTACGAGCCGACTTCCGTCCTGGACCCTCACCTTAGCTCCAGCCCCGCCGCCTCCGACAACCTCCTCCACGACATCCCTTCCCTGCCTCCCTCGTGCTGGGACGACACTCCTCTCCCCTCCTACTCTGAGGACTGGGATCTCGTCACCTGGTTCCTAGGCGGCAGCGGTGGCGAGAAGGATGAGCCTACCCCTCCTCCCTCGTTCAAGCCTCTCCACCAGTTCTTGGACAATCAGACCTCCTCGTCCCCTCTTCCTCATCTCCCCTTGTACGAAGCCTTCTCGCCGGTCGCCGCGGAGCTCAACAAAATGCCCTGCTTCGACCCCGCAGCTCCAGTCCCGCTCGTTCCCCCGCCGTCCAACAGCGCCGCCTTTAACGGTTACCTGGTACAGCTGATCCGCGCCGCCCAAGCCGTGGAGTCCAACGACGCGTCTCACGCGAGGGCGATACTGGCGCGGCTCACTCAACCCCTTTCGGCCGCCGCCGGTGGCGGGCGCCCCGTCCAACGGGTCGCCTGCTACTTCCGGGAGGCCCTCCAGTCGCTCCTCAGCCATGAACACCATACCATCGGCGAGACCTTGGTATCCCCTGTGGAGATGGTCCACAAGATCACCGCCTACAAGGCTTTCTCCGACCTCTCCCCCGTCCTACACTTCGCGAGCTTCACCGCCAATCAAACAGTCCTCGAAGCCATGGATCGCTCCCGTTCCATCCATCTCATCGACTTCGACGTCGGCCTCGGCGGCCAGTGGTCCTCCTTCATGCACGAGGTCGCGGAGCGCTGCCGTGCGGCGGCGGCGCCGCCGCCCTCCATCCGGATCACAGCCGTCTTCCGGGAGGAGTCTCTGGAGACGAGGCTGTCGGCGGAGAATCTCAGGGATTTCGCTCGGGGTCTGGGCTTGGAATTCTCCACCGAGTTCCTCCGAGTGGGTTCAATGGGGTACTCCGCACTGGGGGCCTTGCGGCTCGCCGCCGGCGACGCCATCGCCGTCAGCTTAACCCCCGCCTCCTTCCGCCTCTTCGGGAACACGCCCGAGACCGCAGCGCAGCTTCTCCGTTTCATCTCCCGTCTGTCCCCTCGGGTGGCTGTGTTCGTAGACACCGAGTTCTCATGCCGCTCTTCCTCTTCCGCCTTCCCCGGGCTGCCGCCTGCCCCTCAGCAGTCCTTCCGCAGGTGCTTTGCGGCCGGTCTGGAGAACTCGTCGGCGTTTCTAGACTACCTCGACTCGGCAGCGGCGGCCGTCGGGCTTGGAGACGACCAGGTGTGCCGGATCGAACGATTTCTGGTCAAACCTCGGGTTCTGGCTTCCCTTGCGCTATCACTGAACTTCGGTGGTACTCCACCGTGGAGGGAGATGTTCGAAGCTGCGGGGATGAAGCCGATCCCCTTCAGCGTCTTCACCGAATCCCAGGCGGAGCTGCTGACCAGGCGCTCCCCGGTGGCTGGCTTCCAGGTCGAGAGGCGTGACTGGTCGATGGTGCTGGGCTGGCGCGGGAAGGATCTGGCATCCACGTCGGCGTGGCGGTGCTGAATCCCGGAGCCGTAAGTGCACGCCCCGGCACAGTACTCCGCGATTGGGCTTCATCTGTCTGGTGTCCTAGTTTGCGACTTTATTTCACCCCAAGACCATTATATTCCTCCCATAATATTGGAACTTATTTCCCTCTGATATTTTGAACGGTCAAACTAAGTCTACTCCCTCTGATATTTCGAACGGTCAAACTAAGTCTACGCTTTGATGACCCATCATTAATATCCCCCCCAGCCATCGTGATCATCAATTGAATCGAAGGTTGAGTAAGTTTACCATATCCCTTTCACTATAATTTATAATTCCCACTCTCGTTACTAAAATTTAAATATAATGCGCAAATTCTCGAAAAACCCCTCTATAAAATACACCGTCTCATCTGAGCCATTCATAAAGAAAGCACGGAGTCAACCTTCTCATCTCAAGGTCTACAAAAATGACTGGCCAAGTGGTTCCGAGTGGGTGAGACTTTTGAAAGTCCGGTGCTTGATCTCAATCCCCCGGCGAAGACTTTTGTGGTCCCTCGATGGGTTGGGCCCAAGTCGCCCTCAACGTCGAGCTTCTCTTCCATTTCGTCTCCCTACGTCGACCGAGGACGTCTTATCTCCGCCTTACGACTACCAAAGTTCTCCGTGACTGCGAGAGACTATAAGATCATTGACTTGACCCAGTGGGTCATTAATGCGGACCATCATCCCGATGAGCTTCGAAGAATGAGGAGACCATATTAGAATAACACGACGTCAGTGCAACCCTGAATTCTCTGAAGAACTCCGTCATCCCCCCCGAGAAATTCGACGTATTCGTTTGCACACCCTTCCAAACTCGTGGGTTTAATGCCCATAGATGTTGCGGTCTTCCCACCCTAGCTGAAATAGTTGGGTAAGACGGAAATGAACGTCCACGAACAGGAACAACGCGCCTCCGCACTGATGTTTTCCGTCCAAGTCGGATAGTGACACGACCACCTTGATCGGCACGCATCGAAATGCAAATAATCGCGAAGCGTTCGTCCCATCAGTCTCTGTGGATGCTGCAGAGGGAATCGCAGAAAAAGTGAGAAGACCCATAGCAGAAGAGAGAATCTGCAATGTGTAAGCTGTTAAATCCCCGGGGAGATATGAAAGACATATCATACAAGAGCTTGGATCGCTCTTAAACCCGTCCCGCATCCCCGGAGAGAAGGGGGTATCGGTTTTACGGTGGATAAGAGAAATCTGAGATGATAGCTTTACAACGACCAGGTAAATCTCATTTCTTTCTGGAGCGAGTATTAGGGACTCCACTTCGAATTCGTATGATAGTAGTTCATAACTACCTCCCTCCGCCGCAAATCTCATCGACTCCACTAGTCTCATCAGGTTTAAGTAACAAAGCGTAGGATAGGCTGATGGGCTACACCGAAAGACGAGCTAATCCTGGGCATCCCTCTCACCAGCATCCCATGTTTCTCCCTTTGATCGGTTGGTAAACGAGGGGATAACATGTGGGCGACAGAGAGAGAGAGAGAGAGAGAGAGAGAGAGAGAGAGATGAGAGAAGCAACAATACCTGACGACGTTTTTCTCTCTCATTGCTCTAGAGAGCCGCCCGAAACAAGGGTTCTTGTGCGAAGGAGTCCCCGCTCAAAACGGGAGCCTTTTGACCGAGTCAAGAACAAACATAGGTGAACTAGGATTGCGACTTCACCTGAAGGAATGCAGACTGCTTCGTTTTGTCGCTGTGTCCGGGCTCCTGTGTCGTCCACCGGCGCCCCCCCTGCACTCTCACGCTTTGTCTCCGTCGCCGGCAACTTCCCCAGCCGATCCGGCCGCCGGCAGACTGCTGCCGGGGCGAGCGCTTACTCCCGGCAGCTCCCTCTGGAGGAACGCAGTCGCCCAGGGACCCATTGCGATGCCGTGCTCCCCCAGCGGTCAAGAAGCTTGGCGTGATTGCGCAGGAGATGATCTTCTCGAGAAGGAGAAAAGCCTCCTGCGCCCCTGCATGGTCGTCTCTGGGACTTATCCACAGCTCTCTGCTCTTCCTCCTCTGTTAGATTTCCAGCTTTTCTAGATGACGACGATTCCGCGGCACGGGTGCTCGTCGAACGTGAAACCGATCCGGGTGTTTACATATGCCGCGGAGGGTCCTAAATCGCCGACGAGTTGATTCAGGGAGAGTTAATGTGGGGCCCTGTGGGGATTCCTTCCTCCGATCCGGCCATTCTGCGTCGCATGCTAGGCTCAGTCGCTGCCTCGTATTCTCCCATTCGACGAGTCATCTCAGGTGCAGGACAAGTAGGAGGCCGCCTATCACTGCTTGGGCTTCCCTGCTCCATCTCTGTTTAGTCGAGGGGTCATCGGAGAGAGAGAGAGAGAGAGAGAGAGAGAGAGAGAGAGAGAGTTACCTTTGATCTCCTAGGTTGAGTAGCCCACGTAGATCCCAACGCCCTCTCTCTCTCTCTCTTCCTTATTTGGCATGCCAATCGGTAGCCACACGTATGCATAGAGCTGCTGTGTTCATAAGAAAACAACAGTATTACCCTTTGATGTGTACACATTTTCGGGGCATTACCGTCCAATGCATGATCGTATTACCGTCATAAGACCCAGTAAAAGAATCCGATAACCGGTCGGGTAGGAACGTGACCGATAAGACCATCAATATTTGGCCCTTCAATCGCTGGTTTGCTAACCGTCTCGCCTGGCGGCGGCCATATAAGAAGAAGACAGCGAGACCAACTGTCTGGCCCACTCTGGAGACAATGTGCGATGAACAACACGTGCGAGTTGGCGGGCCCCACACTTCGTACGGCGGCTTTGCATGTGCACCCGTGATGATGTGGATGATCGATGGATCCACTGATTTTTACGACGACTTTAAAATAGGGGTTCCGTGGATCCGCTGGGGACCACCAGCCGGGGGCTCCGCCGCCTCGTTGTCCGGGCAGAGGAAGACGACAAACTGAGGAGAAACAGGGGAGACCAGAGAGAGAGAGAGAGAGAGAAGAAGAAGACCAGACCTGGGTTTCACCCTCTCGCTGCTCTGGGGAGCTACCTATTTTTAGCAATTTTTTCCGATTCGGGACCGCAGCGGCTTGCTTGGATCGGGGAAAACGTATTTGACTCGGGAAATATCTCGGATGAGGTCGCAAAATCCGATCTTTCGCTGTAAAGAGCGCAGGAAAAGAAGGTTGAGAATGGAGGGCATCTTGAGGAGAAGGGGGGGCGGGGGGGGCTCGGCGAGATCTGTCCTCTGCAACATGTTTGCTGTCAACAGGGCTGGAGTTCCAGCCATTAAAATATGAATAATAAGAGATTCGAAGATTACTCTCGTAAAATTATCAGAGAAGGAGAGCTTTTCAAAAGAAAGCTCCCCTACCTCTCTCCCCCTTTTCACAGTAGGGGTTGAGGGAGAGAGGGACGGCGAGAGGGGGGTGGGTGCTGGGTTGGCGAGAGGGTGCTGCGTGTAGTTTTTCTTTCGGTCCATCAAGGTCTCCAGTCATCTCCCTCCCCGCATTGTCCTTCGGGGCCCCGGACTCCGCTTCCGCGCCTTCCTAGCTCCTCTCTCTCTCTCTCTCTCTTTCTCCCCCTGGGCCTGGGCTGCTGTTCTTCGCGGCGGCCGGTCGTTCTTCAGGTGGTGGGTGCTGGCCTCGAGTTTGTGATAATTTGTTCAGTGTCCCTGGCCGGGGGCTTCGGGATGCTGATTTCCGGCGATCTCCTCCGGGGCTAAGGTTTCTCCCTCTCCGAGGTCAGTGGCCTTCATTTATTTGCTCGATCTCTGTTTCCTCCTCCCCCAATCTCCGTTCCCCTTCTCGTCTGGATCTGCCTGCAACCCGAGTCTTCTCCCCTGTTATCTCCGTCTTCATACCCTGGTTCCATATGTCAGCCAGATGTGGTTTCTGCTGAAATCTTAAGTTCCGATTTTTTCCTTCTGTCCCATTTTCGTGGCCGATGCGCGGGTTTGTCTTCAGCATTTTTCGTCCTTGTTCTGCTGTTCTTCTCGGCAATGTGCTCGCCTCCCATTGGCGGTGTCTCTTCTTAGGGGTAGATTTCACGAGGCCCCCTTCTTCGCTCAACCTGGGCGAAGTCGTCGACGGCGGAATTTTCTTTGCTCCCTGGAATCAACCCGCTGAATCGCTCGCATTCGTTCTTCGGCGCGTCTTTCTCCCCCTTATTCCTTTTCCTCTTTGTCATTCTCCTTGCAGGTAGGGCGTAAGGAAGATGAAGCTCGGTTCGAAGAAGGGTTGGAACTGCGCCGCACCCCTCCGCCTGAGGGGGAAATCCGCCGCCCGCTTCTGTATGTTCCCGAAGGTGCGCTCAGTGGGGCAGACTTCCGGCAACGCTCCGGTTTATCTCAACGTCTACGACTTGACGCCCGTGAATGGCTATGTCTACTGGGCGGGATTCGGCATCTTCCATTCAGGCGTGGAAGGTAATCCAGTTCGTCTTCTTGGCCCCGTTGAACCCTAAATTTGTGAAGACTGGCACCCAGAGAGATCAAAAGAGAAGATATTCAGAGACGACTCTGCATACTTTCAGGAGATTACGGAGCTTCATCACTAGCACCAGCCAAAAAAACGAAACTTGTTGAGATAACCCATTGTAGATATCATGGGTAATCTTTTTAGATCGTGGGTTCTTGCTGATGAAATCCCAGTTCTCTGCTATGAAAATTTTATTGAAAGCTCTGCAATAAATGGTGGAGATCCCCCTCCTTCAGGTGGGGTAAAGTCTTCTATTCCTCCCATTATGCAGCCCTGTTTCTTCTACATTAATGTATAGGCTAGTTTTTCTGAATTATTTTCATTTATTTTTCATTCAAGATAATCTCAGAAAGGCAAATGCTGATGAAATTCCAGTTAACGTGGAGAATACAAGTGTAGAAGAAAACGAAATATAAAACCACCCCAGCCCTCGGGGATCTCGCCTAGAGCACCCCAGAGAGACGAGGAAAACTCCCAGCCCATTCAAACGTCGGCTGTCTCCATTTCCCCCCGGCCCCTGCGACGAAATTTAGGAGATTTGTCTGAATATCGCGGAACAGAGAGCTTGGAATTCGATTAGTTCTCTAGATTCTTCATAATCTCTGCTTGTTTTAGTTATTCAATCATACAGTGTGCGTAAGTTGCTCGCCCCCTCTTTTCTGACCTCCATGGTTCTTCTCAGTTCATGGCGTGGAGTATGCTTTTGGAGCGCACGACTACTCGACAAGCGGGGTCTTTGAGGTCGAGCCGCGGCAGTGCCCGGGGTTCAAGTTCAGGAAGTCGATATTCATGGGTACGACTTGTCTGGATCCGGTCCAGGTCAGAGAGTTCATGGAGCTCCACTCGGTGAACTACAATGGCGACTCCTACCATCTGATCGTCAAGAACTGCAACCATTTCTGTAACGACGTTTGCTACAAGCTGACCGGGAACAGGATTCCGAAGTGGGTGAATCGGCTCGCGAGGATCGGTACGGCCCTTCTGGCTTTGGTTCGTCGTGACCGCGTATGTTGCTGCTGTTCAATCGATTTATGTCCTTGACGATCGGAGCTCCCTGAATTAGTAGAAACTTGTCTGAGTTTTTTATTCTTGGGGACGAAGCTCTCTCTGTTCACTCTGCTGTTGATTTGAGCAGGTTCGCTGTGCAACTGTCTGCTGCCCGAGGCGCTGAGGGTTTCAGCGGTGCATCAGGAACCCGGGTTTGGGGATTTCGAAGGCGAGAAAAGGAGGCTGAGGAGCGCTTTCAGTTGCCTGTCGTCCATCTCCATGCGCCAGCGGCAGCTCTCTGCGTCTTCTCTCTTCCTGCACTCGCCTCTGAAAGGGTGTCTTCCGCCATGGGAGTTGAGGAGGTCCAGCGACAACCTTGCGTTGAAGGAGCGGTGAGGGCCGCCGCCGGCTTCTCTCCTGGAAGAAGGCCGCCGAAAGGTGCGCTGATGTTCCTCTGGCATGATCATCTGTGGAGCTTCTGTCAATGTGATTGGTGGAGGTCGGCACGGTTCCGTTGTCCACCCCCGTTTTCGAAGAAGAAGCTTCTCTCTCCTGTACGTGCTCGCTTCGCGTCTCCTCTGTACCCTCTGCTTTCCTTTCTGGAATTTGTAAGACATTAAGCGTCGCTGTTAGCGGAGGAAGAAGCAGACAGGCGGCGTTCGTTTCTGGTGTCGGGAGGGGGGAGACGAGAACCATTTGAGCCCTAGTCGAGCTCAAATGGAAAACCTTGTGCTTCCACGGCGACGGCTGAGGGCCTTCTGTGGGCCTTCCAGAGAGCTCTTGCGGCGGAGCGTTAACTCGGCTGTGCAAAGAATGCAGTCTTCTCACCATCTAGACGTCTTCAAGTGTCAACGGCCTGCCAAGCTCGTCAGCTCGTTAACTAGCCCGGAGCTTCCCTCCGTATCCTCTTGAGAGGAGAAAGAGAGAGAGAGAGAGAGAGGTGCCACTGGCAGCAGCCAGACGCATCTCTCTCTCTCTTTCTCTCCCTCCGTGGATGCCAGGAGAACATCGCCAGAAGCCGAAACACAAAGGAATCACGGGGGATGACAGCTGGTCACACCAACATTAGTTTATTGCGAAACCACTGCTACTACACACCAAATCTACAACACTCACACTGCAGGTCTTGAGGCCAATAGCATATAACAGACGAGGGCAAATACAGAAGGAAGGCTAAGATAGAGAGAGAGAGAGAGAGAGAGAGAGAGAGGGGGAGGCGGCGGCCTTCACTAGGGGGTGGTTACCGAGGGTTAGTGGGAGAATATATATGTCGACCTGACCAATGGGATAAATTTACAGCAAAATAATCACATCACATCCCGTAGAAGTTGGGCCAGTCCATGATATTCACACAGTTGTCGTAGTAGTACTCGTGCATGAACATGAGCTCTGCGCCTCGTTCCACCCCGAGCTCCCCGAGGAGAGGCTGCTGGGCTTCCACTGAGATGGAGGAGCTCGGGCTGCTGCTGCCTCTCTCCCCGCACGACACGTCGTCGGAGCTGCCCGAGGCCGAGAACTTCTTCATCTCCCTCCTCGCTTCCGAGAGCTGCTCCTTCAGCTTCAGCACCTGCGCGAATATGGATTACGCTGAGGCAAAAGGGAATATTTTAACTTTCGGAGGCAGGACCGATTTTACTCCCGTCTGTGACATTTAAAGAAAATGCAGCAGCAGTAGCATCAGAGTGCTGGTTCTCAGAAAGGTCCAGCCATGCAGCGGGGAAGAAGGAAGCCCACCGTGCCGAGAAAGGAAATTTTCAGACAGGAAGAAGCGGGATGGTGACTAGGGGGACAAGGAAAATAGAAGAAGGGCGCCCACCTCGGCCTCGAGATGGCATTTCTCGAGGACGACGGCCTCGTGCATGGACCTGAGCCGCACGTACTCCTCCTCGAGCTGCTTGCTCTTCCACCTCGCCCGCCTGTTCTGGAACCAGACGGCCACCTGCTTGGGGTCGAGCCCCAGTTCCGTCGCAAGGTACACCTTCCTCCCCGACTCCAGCTTCCTCTCTCTCCCGAAGTTCATCTCCAGGAACTTCACCTGCTCGTCGCTCAGTCGTCTCTTCTTCGTCTCCCCCGCCGCCTCCCCTCTCCCCTTCCGCCGCCGCCTGCGGGTTCTGCTCCTCTCCCCTGCGCATAGCAAAATCGCACGCACACACCTGGTCTTTGAGGAATTCGTGGGAAACAATCGCAGACGACGAAGCTAAAACCAGATGATGCATAATCGGAAAACGCCCTGGGAGAACCAAATTTCTTCACCACCGAGGAGAAGGAATGGGAGGAAAGCCGACCTTCAGGAAGTTGAGCGGAGAGCAGCATCTTATCCTTCAGGTGGATCGCCTCACTCATGTTCCTCTTTCTCCCTCTCCCCGTCGAAGTGTGCGTCTCCCTCCCTCTACTATCTGCCACCACCGCCCCTATTTTCCAATGGCTTCTCAGGTTCTTCACCAGGCTCTCGTCGATATTGCAGGGAGGAGATATTCTCGGCCTTCCCTCCGCCGCGGCTAGCCGCTGGTTAGACGCTGTAGGCTTCCTGTTGCTGCCTCGCCTCTCTTGGTTTAGAGGGAGAAGATTTGGCTGGACAAGAATTTCTTCAAGTCCGTTGTGGTCGGAGCTGCGTCTCCACACTCATTTATATGGTCGCGGTCCGAGAATACCTCCAGCATGGGACCAAATGACGGAAATGCCACCATCTCTGTCTATCTGTCTACATCTCTCTCTCTCTCTATCTTTTGTGACCGTTTATGGCGAACCCGCTTTCCTCCCATCTGGGTTGACCCTTACGTCGGTGGCTCCTACGTTGTTCTTTGCTCTACCCAGAAGGGCTCATCGAGAGGGCCTCCGCCGGACAGCGGGGGTCCGATCACCGAAGCTTCGTACAAAGGCGGGCTCTTTCTCCGCCGCCCGATCGACTTAACTAACCCCTGCCGGAGGAGGGGCATGCGCCGAGGAGGGCGAACGTTTTGGGAACAGTCGCATCTTCATCTCCGCGGAGGGTTGGGACAAAGGAGGAAGAGAGAGAGATATAGACTAAGACTGAGAGAGGTAGGGCGAACAGGGTCTTGTCTGTCTCTGTTTTGTTCTCTTCGCCGGCCTCGCGGCTCTGCTCGCACCTCAAACTCGCCGCCCTCACTCTCCCGCGATCATCCTCGGTCTGGGAGAGTGGGTAGGACACGGCTCTGCCAATCTTTATTCCCACGGAGAGACCCGGATCCCACCGTCCAACCCGTCGCCGCCGACCGTACGGGGGAAAGCGCTATTTTCTCGCGCCGGCGGCTCCTCCGGCGAGGGGTAGGTGAAGTAGAGCGGGGAGCCGGACTCTCCGGCGGTACCTGGGAGCCGGGATGGGTGGGGAGGATTCCTCTGTCCACTCACGCAGACAGGAACTGTGCGGCAACATGATGTTGGCCGTCATGTCGAAGCTCCTCCGACGCCTGTTTCGTTCGGAGGTCAAGCGAGGAAGGTCGTCTTTTTCCTCGACGAGAACGGCACGATAAGATAAATCTAGAGAGGGGTTAGCAGGGTTGGGTTCGTTCTTGCTCTGCGCTATAAACAACGATATCTCGATAAAGCCGCATCGCCGGCGGTCGATTGGAGGTGGGTTACTCGACGCAGGGTCTATTCGCATCTTCAAATCCACTGTGCACTGCCAGAGCAAGCTCTCTTTATTCCAGCACCCCCTCCCCAACGTTGTCACCACGACGCCCATCAGCGTAAAGTTCTCGCGCAGATAAAGTTGTAGAAGATAAACATTTTCGGAAGATCCCATCAATCCCCACCCACACAAGGCGACGCTCGTCGGTCGTCGCCGTTCGAAGATTTCTCGGATAAATCTTCTGGGTTACTAGCGGAGGCCCTGTGTTACCGGCGCCGGAGATCACGGGAACGGTGGGTCCTCACCCGCCGGAGATGGATAGGGTTTGCAGGCATCGAGCGGGGGCCGGCACATGGGGGGCAGCGGCCGCCGCCTGCCGCTACCGCCAACCCCAGGAGCCCCTAGTGGGGAGGGGCACACGTGTCGGCCGGTCGCCGCCGCTGATGGCCGGAGGACCAATCTCCGACGGTCCTTCCGTCTCCTCCCCTTGGCTGGCCTCGTCGGTCTGGTCTGTCACCATCGCCCAAAAGGCGACCGCCTCCTTTCCTTCCATGGCTTCCATTTGTTCGTACTCCTCCTCCTCCGTTCGTTTGGGGTAAAAACGTTTTAATAATACGAGCCAGGGGACCTTCTTCTTCGTACGCCACACCTTGTACAACCCGATGCTTATCCTCTGCGCCTGTCGCCCTCACAGTTCCACTTCTGGAAGCTTTCTTTCTTCAACATCCTCCCCCTCTCCTCTTGCCGCTCCCCTCACTCCGGTTTCCGGCATTGTGGATCAGCTCACGCCGGACAGGCCAGCTCACAGTCCCCTCTCTTCCTTTCCTTTCCTGCCGGAATTGGTTCGCCGCCGGTGGCCAGATAAGGTGGGGAAGGACTGGAGCGATGGGTACGTGCATGGCCGGCCGACGTACGCCGGAGGGGAGGCCGACACGTGTTCCCAGTCTTCCTCTTCCTCCGTCCGCATTGCGTCACCGCCTGTCTCTTGAGAGGATAAGACGACAGTTATGGATGGCACCGTGCAATCAATTAGGGTTCTTCTCCCACAGGGGTCCGTCCACGGCGGGGTGGTGGTTCTAGTGCCCTCCGTATATGGTAAGAGATAAGGATCATCCCTCCCAGTGAGCGAGAGAGAGGGAGGACATGCAATGCTACCGCTTAGATTAAATGGGGGAAGCGAGAATAGTGGTGGGGAGGAGCTGGAAAGAGGAGGGAGGTGAAAGGGTGGGGGGAGGCGCGCGTGCTCTCCGGGAGGGATTCCCTCACATGCGCCGAGGTGAAAGCCCGTCCCGAGATCGCCGCCGCCGTCTTCAACGAGCTCGAGCTCACAAATTTTAAAAGGCCAGGGCGACGACCTGGCTATCTCAGAGCCAGCTTCCCTCTCTCTCTCTCTCTTCGCCCCTGTTTCCTGGTCCTTCCTCTCTCCACCGGTGGGCCTCCCAGCGTTTGACGCCGGAGCTACAGGACGAACCCCATTGACGACACTCATTCTAGGCTTATCAGAGCAATGGAGAGAAGAGATAGAGAGAGAGCGGGAGAGGGAGATGGAGCGAGCTCTTGTCTCTTCTCCACATGGCCAGTCTGACAGCGGCTGCGAGCTGCTGGAAAGCAGTTGGATAGAAGTGACCGCCCAGCTCCCCGTCGGAGAACGAATGGTGGGCCGAAACGTGTCAGATAAAATAAAGCGTAGAGGGGGCGCAGTTTAGTTGGCTTCTTTACTGCGCTTGATCCCGTTTGTCGGATTCACGCAGACCCTCGCTTCTCGTGGGCGCCGCCCCGGGAGGAAGACGAAACCCCTCTCGCCGGCCGCCGCTAGTCTGGCCTGCGCCGCCACCGTCCCTCCCACACTCCCTCGCCCACATTCCAAACACTGTTCCGGCAGATCCTCTGCCGCCGGCGCTCCCTTCCGCCGGCGGGTTCTCTATTCCCTCGTCCTCTTCCTCCGTTGCCGGAGTCGGCTGGCTCGAAATGGACGCTGGCAGAGGAGGATGTGACCGGGAGGGATGACGTACTGCGAACGCACGTCAGTTGCGGCACCCATTTGTGCACCGGCCCGAAGCTCGAGGCAGGTTAGCTCGTCGGTGGGTCTTCCTGAGAGCTCGAGCTCGTCACTCTCTCCTCCGCCGTCTTCTTCACGGGCCCCTTGTCCTCTTTCTCCTTCCTCCCTTGTTTATCCCGGCCACCGCCGCGTGCGCCACTCGTGATCCACGGTGTTGACTGTGAGCGGGATCCGTCGAGCTCGAAGCTCCGAGGTGGAGGGGCGAACACGCGACGGCATGGCCCAGCACGCGGCGGGGGCCTTCACGTCAAAGGCTGCGGTTTTGGGATAGGATAGGGTTGTACGGGGAGAAGAGTGGGGGCTTTTCAAACCCTGTCAGGTCCTGAGATGTGCCCTCCACCGCGGGCCTCACCGACAGTTGGCCCACGTTGACGCAGAGCAGACCGGCCCATAGCTACAGCGACCGTGAAGAAACACCTTTTCTTTCTTCAGCTCCAGAAGGGTCGAAAACTGAAGTGGGTGATCGTCTTTGAAGGGGGCTGGCTTGTGGTGGCATTGCGGGAAGTCTTCCTTTCAATGGTATGGGCTATGAGGTTGGCCGGAGGGCGTGCATTTGAGGAATCAATGCTGTGTTTCGAAGGTAATGAAGTCTCAGGCGCAGAGAACCGAGGTGCGGAAATAGGGCAGCTGGGCCTTGCAGGCCTCTGTGGGATTCAGCTGCGGAGGAGGAGACGAGGTTGAAGTGTCGAAAACCGGTTCCCTGTGAGCCCAGGCCGCTTTAAGACTCAATTCGGCCGATAGATCATGCTCGTCTTATTCCTCTTCTACCCGTCCTTCTGTAAAGGCCGCGAAATTCCGGCGAAAGCGGCGGTGAAACGGCGTCAAGCCTGTGGAGGTGGTTTCGGATTGCTGGGAGTTGATGCTTGATGCTTGCTTCAAGGTGGCCTCCGTCCTCTTCTCTGTTACATGTCCCCTGCAATGCTGCAACCCTTCATGTTATTCCATTTGTCTAGTCAGACACAAATATGCAATATTTTTTTTGAAGGAAAAGCCAAGGGTCGTACATTAACGCTGTAAATTAAATAGAAGCGGTCGATAACCCGAACTTTTGGCGCGAATTTCTTGATTCTAGACAAAGAACGGGCCTAATGTGGAAACCTGTGCATAAACAGTGAAGGAGCTGAATCCCATGGAGAGGGGGGGGCAACCCAAAAGTAGCAGGAAGCAGCGATGCAAATGGCTGAAAACTAATCAATGCCCGACAAGGATACTAGAGATTTATAAGCATTGTTATTTTGACATATGGGCCAAAAACACCACATGCTCAAGATTAACAAAGTACTCATACAACAGTATACGTACATGACCACAGTGGCGGACAAAGGATCTACATAAAATGACATTGACACCCTCAGAAAACCTGGAAACCCTTAAAGGAAATTTATGAAATAGCCGGATAATGCATCCTCGGTAGCGCCAATCCACCAGGGATAAGAGAATCGCCTCCAAAACGATTGGTTCCTCATCTTCTTCAAGTGTAATATCATGACAAGGGATAGCATTTGTCCAACAGACACTGTGCCAAGGTTACCTTCTGATGGAAGGAAATGGGGTTTGATGGAGGAGAGAGAGAGAGGAGAGGGGAAACGGAACATTTAAGTCCAGCCTCTTTTAAATATAATGGCAACCAGATCGTCATTCACAGTCCCCGAAATGGAAATGTACCTCCAATACATACGGACAGCATCAGTCATCCGATGCATTCAGAGAGCAGCAGATAGTTGCGGCAAGAAGCCTTTGAATAGTAGTAGAGATGGTCGGTAATTATGTCGTATATATAAATATATATTCACAGATATAGAAAGGCAGTTTAATGGTTTGTTCCTGAGCATCGATTTGTTAGAATTCAGTAGGAAACTAGCTACTGTTTCATAGACTTTTCCTTGGGTATGAATTACTGATTGAGAACCATAAGATGGATTCTTGGTATTGAAAACCTGCATTGATGCGACTGGAAATCGTTTGGTTCAGATCCTCCATACGTTTCGTTCCACGATGAAGAATGTGGCTGAGCTCAGCTGGCCAAGAATTCTTGAAAGAGAGACTTTCAGGTATGTTCTGCCCTTTATTACTTTTTTTAAAGTGATCATAAAAAATATAGGTTTCGTTTCTCCAATGGGAAAGTCTTATTTTTGTTGAGGTATGACGCCATCAATTAACTTCTTTACAGGAACATGTTTGATAACTTTCATCTAGAATCAATTCCTAGATTTTTAGAGAAGAAAATCATTTCACTCGTCTCATGGCAGGATTCTGCTTTCCAGATGCAGAGCTAGAGAGACCTCTAGGGAATGCATAGATTCTTAATGTGAGTTACCTTTAGGATGTTGTGTCGTTCGTCATTATTTTTTCTGGTTTGTCAAAGACAAAAAATGAATTGATGCATAGTCTGTTTTTTTTTCTTTGGCTTTATCATCTATCTTGGGAATAATCATGGCTTATAAATCATGACATTACATTCTTAATCATTTTTATTATCTCTCTGTAAGTTTCCTAGCAAATACAGTTTCTGGGTACAAATTCTATCTTTTTTCTAAAGGTAGCAGTGAAAGTGAAGTTATGAAGAAAATTTGCAGAAATCTTGATCATCAGAGGTGTTTTTTTGTATGCGATAGGAACAAAGATCGGTAATTTTAATTTTCTCTTATACGAACTAGCTTTTATAATTAAGAAAAAGGAATGCATGTGTCTGTCTATGGAGAATCAAAATACCGTAAAGAGATCTCGTTTCGTGTGTTTATTTCAAACATTGCTATTTGAGAAGGATTGCAATTCAAATTTAGTAAAACCTATGCTTCTGACGTTTAAATTAATATAAAAACTAAGTGCATAAATCCCAATTTCAAGTTTATAATGAACGCATATAAAGCCCACTTTTTTCTGATTTTACTTCCATGGCATCCAAATTATCCAGAAAATCCTGTGCTCTGAGTATGAGAGTAAATCCCAACCTTTTCGCATTATGTGAGCATGCACAATGATTTCTAGACCTTAGACTCTTCTTCCTCCTCGAGCTTGCACCCTTCTTATATGAAAGATCATAACCTTACCCATCTCTTGGCCTGATTCGAAGTATCATGTTTCGATTTTTTTCATCGTTGCTTAGGCGTCAGGACCACTTAGTCGGAGCTCAGATGCAGCGAATAGACTCACTGGATTAACGTTCATACGATCATCTTCCTAACTGGATTTTTTTGTTCTAGATCATCGGAGGGTTTGGATCATTCAGCGACAACTAATGAAGACTTGTGAATCATAAGCCGATTGCTACTGTTCTCCATCACATTCGCCAATTGCCTGTCAGAAGTCCAAAAGCAGAAGCAATAAGCAGGGATCTTATGAGAAGTGGCTTCCCTTGCATTGTTCCAATGGTTGTCTATTCATCTATGCAGACAGCAGGGACGGTCAATGACCGTTGACCATCTTTCCAGCTGCTTCAGGTACAAGGGATTCGATCTTTTAAACCGTATATTTCCTTCGATAGCCAGTCATCGGTGGTCAGCACACTCTAGTCGCCGGTTGCAAAGTACATGACGAACCGTATATTTCCTCCTGAAGGGTGGTCGCTGGTTTCTTCGAGTGTGATTATTCATTTATTATGTTGACCCATTGCAGTTCTCTTCTCCAATCATACAAAAGATAACTTCTTGTGGCTTTCCCACATACCCATTTAGCTTAATCTCAGTGACCAGGGCTTCTTCTGAATGCTTAGTTCGGAATTTTTGTAGCCCAACGATGATGAGCTGGACCCTCGTCAGTGTGAAGCGACCATGAGTCAACCGTTCCAAGGGATCCTTCTGAATCTGCGATCATCCGTTTCTCAGTTCAAGTCTCAGTGATAGAATGGGTCGAATCGTCGATTTCTGAACTGATCTGGCGTGAATTGGCCTTAAATTCGCCATCCCTCATCCCATCAACTCTTCATCGATCTGAATTTCCCATGTTTTGTGAATGATTCACGCGTTTCTCCAACCCGTCTGCACGAACCGAGTGCTAGATGGGTTGACCACAGATTGATCGCTGTTTATGAGTTTTTTTGGTTGAGATAATGGGTGCTTTTCTTATATGAAATTTCGAAACGATCGCAGTGATTAGAGAAGTCCGCCGTAGAAATCATCGACCCAGGAACGAAAACTTATATATTTTGGGATCAGAGCCGAAATATGATACCACTTAAATTACGTCACTTCTGCCGGTCGTTGTTCCAATTTGACCCGCCTCCGTCTCCTCTCATCAATCAATGCGCTGCGCTCAGCAACCGTGTTTTCCAGTCATCAGCCGTCCACTCTCCGCTGTTTTTGATTGGGCCGCTTCATAGCGTGTGTGTGTGTGAGAGAGAGAGAGATTCGGCATGAGGAAGGCACGGGGAGAACCCCTGATCAATCGCTGCAGGCTTTCTGCCGAAATCAAAAGCAACAGCTTCTTCTGTCTGTGTATCTGTGTATATGTGGGCCGATGGGAGAGAGGAGCAGAGGAGTGGTCGACAGTGAAGAACAGAGGGTGGAAACCCCAAGACGCTGTCCGAGCTACGCTCGCTGCAGATGGGCATCGAGGGGGGAGTTAAAGAAAAAAATGGGCAGACAGAAGAGAAGAGATCGAGAGAGAAGAAAGGGATAGAAATACGCAACAATCAGCTCTCCGTTCTAATTTACAGACGCGGTCGTGAGATCAAAATCTGAAGATTTCACCGAGAGCCGCGAAGGAAGACGATAATGGTGGGTCGGAGCACAATGACAGAGGAGACGCTCGACCTTCAAGCGGAATTCAACTGGACCTGATGCTTCGCGCCGCCAAGAGTGAGCTCTAGGTCGTCCACTCCGACCTCGTGGATCCGCTCCCCTTCCCACGGCTTCACCCTCCGGCACTCGAACTCGAACTCCGGCCCTCCTCGGCCCCTCTCCGGCAAGCTCATGCCGTTCGCTGTGACCGGCGCCGCCGCCGCTTGCGGGCGGGAGATGGGGTTGACCAGGTTGAAGGTAGGAGAAGGGGGGGCGGCCATCTGGAAGCTCACCCACCTCCCGGAATCAACGGTGGAGGCGTCGGATTCGTCGCACTCCGGTATGGCGGCGGGTTTGCGGGTGGGACTCGCCGGCGCAGAGACGGCGAACAGAGGGTGGGGGAAGGTGGCGGCACAGTCCCACTCGGATTTCCTCAGCTTGAGTGGCCTGGAGGCCGTCGGAGAGGACAGCGGCGGCGTAACAGGGGCGCTGTTTGAGATTCGGAGGGGTGGAAGGGCGATGTTACGCAGGAAGGGGAGGAGATGGGAGGGGTCTATGTTGGGGTTTGCAGAGTTTTCCTGCCTGGAGGGGCTTGGGAAGGAGGAGGACGATGGGCTGGCGTGGTAAGAAGGGGCGGGGCTTGGGAAGGAGGAGGAGAGGGGGCTGGGCTGGTAGGGTGAGGAGCAGGGGCTGAAGTTCGCCGGCGTGCCGCCGGGGGCCATTTCCGGATTGGGCTGCGCTGGTTTGCATCCCTGGCAACAACAAGGTAGAAGAAGACGGCTGTTAAACCAGATCAAAAGAACGCCTCCAGATCTGCACCTGGAGAGACGGGTGGGGCCAGGATCTTCCAAGATCTTCCCTTGCGGATTAATAACCACTGCCTATTGAATGTTTCAAAAACAGAATGAAAAAAATTCAGGAGCAGATAACGAAAGCCCGCGAAGCCGATCGTCCTGAAGGGTAGCAGGAGATCGATGTCCGGATCGAACAGACGGCACCGGAAACGGTCAGATTAGAGGAACATCAACGAGGGCAAGGATCTGAGAGAGAAGCGAGATCGCAGGCTACGAGAGGTCCACGTGATGCGGATCAGATCAGGAAAAAGATTGGGAAAATCCCCGCGAGATCCAGATGGGATAAGAGCTGAGACTCAGGCGAGATGAACGCAGGGAGATAAATAATACCTTGCGGTAGGTAGTGCCGTCCTCCTCAACGATCCAGCCTGCCTCAGCGCAGAGGGCCTTGAGGACTTCGTTGTTGTCGCAGTGCTTGGGGAGCTTGTAGTTGCCGTACGCCCGCAGCCCGGAGAATATCTTCGCCGCTATGGCCCTCCGCCGTCTCTCCCTCCTCTTGTTGTTCTCCCTCTCCTTCCATGTCGGCAACCTCCCCACCCTCGACGTCATCCTTCGGTTCCCTTTCCCACACCCAGAGCTTCTTCTTTGCCTCCGCCCCTGAATTCAACCCCCTTCCTCCCCTCCAATCTTTCAGAGAAGATGGGGACTCTGCTCGTGGTGGAGAAGACGGCGGGGAGGAGGAGACGCAGTTTCTGCAGATCTTCTCCAACTCTTCCCTCTCTGCCCCCCTTCCTCCGCAGCTCCGGCACCAACCCACCCACCCGGCCTTCTCCTCTCCCCAGACCTCGCCGGAGACTCCGGCGACAGCGAGATTGAGCGCCGCAGGGTCCTCACGAGGCTGCGTTCCTTTATTGCGATATGCGGATAGATTCTCGTGTGACTGACCTCTCTCTCTCTCTCTCTCTCTCTCTCTCTCTACAATCTCTCTCTCTCTCGCTCCTTTTGAGGACGGAAAAGGGGCCCATTTTTTAATCCTGTAGCTCCGTGAGACATGAAATGCCGAGAAGCCCCATTTTCCGATTCGCGGCGCGTATATTTCCATTAAACTCCCAATGATCATATAAAACCCACAAATGCCCCCAACTCGCGTTATTGATAAAAAAAAACCGCGGGAATACGATCCCCGTTAGACCGGCCACGTGGGCCCGCTCCCAGGTGCGCCATCTACCCCCCCCTCGCCTCGCTGGCCTGCCACACGCGCACGGCGGCACACGAGCCTCCTCCAAATCTCACAGAGAGAGGGGAGAGAGAGAGAGAGAGAGAGAGAGAGAGAGAGGGGGGGAGCTACGTCGGAGAGGCTCACTGGCTCGAAGATCTGCGAATCGGGAAAGAACATGGCGGCCATCAATTTCGGACCATTAAGTGGAGTGCGTCGAGCCCGGACGGCGCGGGCGGGGGCTCGTAGCCTTTCGGCGGCGGCGGGCCGTTGAAACAGTCGTTAGCAAGGCTGGCCACATAAATCCAAGCCCAATCGCAGAGACTAATATTAAAACCAAGAAATAATAAAAATAGTAATAGTGATTTACGGCCATTCTTCTGGATGCACGGCCTGCAAACATATCGCTACGTAGCTGACGATTTCTAATCCATCAGCTGTTATCGGTCCGTTGGTGGCCGCACGAGCGTCGACTCCGGACTCTCCAACGTTCGTTGACCGGCGTTTCTAACCGGCGCCAGCCTATCGAACGAAATTATTTGCAGATGTCATTCATTTTAGAGATAGAGAGAGAGAGAGGGGACTAAGTAATCGGGCGACATGAGAGGACAGGAACGGCGCCAACGTGCAGAGACGTAGAACACGTGGTGCTCTCGACAACCCGCTGACAAGGGCCTCGGCCCACGTGCAGCCCCAGCTAACGCCGACGGCGACTGCGGCGATGAGCCGTGTGGGTGTCCCATCGACATCCGGGTATTTATTTACCTGTAATATCTTTTTTTTCAAGAAAACAATTTCCATGCCCCCTCTGATACGACAGCGGCTTGCAGGATCCCCGCTCCACGGTCCACGTGGGCCAATCGAACTCCCCCACCCCCGGAAGAGGGAAAATATCGACGGCTTAGAGAGAGAGAGATAGGAGATAGGGATAGACAGAGAGTGATGGAGAGCGGGGAGAGCAGCCCACGTGCGACAGGCAGTGGGCAGATTGGGACCACCGCGCGTGCGATCAAAGTCAAGGGAGTTGGGACCGACCCCACGGGCGCTGCTTCCGCGGTTTGTCCGGCTCGAGCCGCCCTCGTTAATTAAACCTCCCCGATTAGGAACCCCCCCGGACCGAGGATGCCCCCTCAATTAGAACTCCCAAAGTCAACAAAGGTCAACTCGCTGAGAGAAGTTGCAGGCTTATTGGGCCGAGCCGACCGGGACGGTGACTCGGCCCAGAAGGCCCCCCACGGGGGCAACCAACGCCATCCGGCTAGGGCCGCATTTCTGACATCGATGTCGGGACCGCCGATTATTCCTCGCCCTTCGCCCGCCGACCATTAATTGGTCGACTGGTTGACAAGCATAGTTAATGCGTCCATCCCCCTGCTTAGCGCTGTAAAAATCCACGTTCAGATGACGTTGACCACTATTTCTTCGTCTTCCGCGCATTGATCTCGCGGTTGATTTCATGGGCCCGATCTTAATTTCTCATCACATGGCTATTATTCGATCATCAAAATGGAATCCCACCCCCTCTCTCTCTCTCTCTCGATATGGGCCGAGTGTGTGCGGCGAGGCAGGCTCGGCCCATTTATCTCTGGGTCTCGAGAAACAAAATGGTAGAGGAAAGATTTAATTTTTACCATCGGCTTCGTCGTGAGAGATCCAAGAGGGTCGCCGGAGCTCCGCCAGCATCGCCGCTACTGAACGACCGCCGTCACGGCGGCATGAGCAACCTACCCAGGGGAGACGTTATCTTTTGAGTTCTGCTTCATCCCTCTCTCTCTGTCGCGACGTTCGTTTTTCCGCGGTCAGCGGAGAAATCAACGCCGCAAGTGTCCATTCGCCACTTATGGCGACGGGCAGAGGCGGCCGGAGAAAGTCTCCCCTTGGTTATGGGGTCTTCTTCTCTGCGTGCACCCGTGTTGGTGCTCCCGTCCTGCTTCCCCGGCCTGCAGCGTGCCGGATATGACGACCAGATGCGCGGGCAGGTGCGCCAGATCTCGTAGGAGTCTGGCTCTGTCCCTCTTCCTATGAGGCCCTCGGCACAGTCTCGCTCCAGTGGAAAGATGAAGTAAGGGTCACTGGCCGGATACTTTCCAATCCGTAGTTATTTGAATTGGGTTTGAAGATCGTGCTATACACGGATCACCTTTTACCCTTCCACAGACGGCGATTTTACCGTTGTTTTCATCTTCCCAACGCCCCTTCCTCGGATTTTCAGCCCAGAATCAGCGTGTTCTAATTGCCGTAGAGTTAGAGCATGATATTTTCGTTTATTTGGATCAATTTGGCGTACGATTGAGAGAAGATGTACGATTGATCGTGTTTTCTTCTCACCCGTGGTTTTTAATTTGAAAGTGAAATAGGTGCACGACGTCAATAGGTTTATGTTACGGATTATGTACGTGTTCGAAGCAAATAGGATGGTGTAGCATAAGCTGAATTGGTCAAGCAGTTGACCAACCTGCAGGCCAAATTCCTTGGACCGGATTAAAAAGAATCCTTGAAGCGAGTAGGGTCCTCTGGGTACAAGCTGATTGAATTTACCGAGTTATGCCACAAAGGCAGTGTGTGGTTCTAACAGAAGCGAGGCTACTTCTATGACATATTTCTAAGGCATATCCTTTGGTTGTAGAGCAAGAACATCATTGTTTTATAGTAATCGGTGGTCAACACAAAGCAATGAAAATCATTATTACGTACCCTCTCGAAACATATCACAATTTATCAATCGATCTTCTTATCACGAAACTTTATTTAATTAACATAGAAATGGGATTGATTTCATTTTTTTTGCCAGAACTCCTGCAATAGAAAATTAGAAAACATGCTCTCTGAAGCGGGTCTGGCCAAGGCCTAAGCGTGTCATCTTCTCACATCGGCCGAGTACTGCTTGGGGACTCTGCAGAGTTTATTATCTGACTAAGATGCGTAGTGTGTTATTATTTCCACATTGATTCTAAAGTTTGATGGTAAAAACATTTTTCCAAAACGTTATGCCTAATTTTTGAGATTACTCGAAAGGCTTTCATAGAAACATAAACAGGAATCAGGTGCTTGGTTCATTTTGACCGATGAATATAATGTTATGGAATGATTCTAATGTTATCCAAAACCTGTCCGCTCATAAAATGTTTTAGCTTCTTTTTCCTAATACTAATCAGCTCACAGTTGAATGTCTGACTAAATGCTGCATTTTTTTAAAACAGGGCACTGCTAATATTAGCTGAAGTCAATCTTTATTGTCTCTTATATTTTTTCATAATATCACAGGTCATGGAAGATTTGTGGATTTTCGATCTCTCTTCTTCTCATCAACATGGCAGCTATAATGGAGCGTGCGGATGAGAATCTTCTTCCTTCTGTTTATAAAGAAGTTAGTGAAGCCTTCAAAGTTGGTCCTACTGATCTAGGGTATCTTACATTCATTAGGAATTTTGTGCAAGCATTAGCTTCTCCCTTGGCTGGTGTACTCGTTCTCCACTATGACCGCCCCACGGTTCTGGCAATGGGCACCGTGTGTTGGGGCTTATCTACAGCTGCCGTGGGTGTGAGTCAACGCTTTGGAGAGGTGGCATTCTGGAGGGCAGTTAATGGATTTGGACTGGCGATTGTGATTCCAGCTCTTCAGTCTTTCATTGCCGATAGTTATCTCGATGGTGCCAGAGGTACTGGCTTTGGGTTATTGAGCTTTGTGGGCAACGTTGGTGGCATAGGGGGTGGTGTTTTGGCGACAGTCATGGCTGGACAAGACTTTTGGGGCCTGCCCGGATGGCGTTGCGCGTTCATCCTTATGGCATTGTCGAGTTTACTGATTGGATTCCTCGTCTTCATGTTTGTTGTTGACCCAAGAAAAGCACAAATCGCTAAGAGCGGTATGAAGCGTCTTGAGAGGTACCGATCATCAAAACTCCCTTATATAAAGCCCATCTCATACTCTGGTTTTCAATCTCTGATACAGGTGGGAAGATCCACCCGCTTGATATCAAGTAGTATTCGAGGAGAAAGAAAGCAGTTTGATCTGTCTTTCTCATGATTCTGTGCACTGATTGCAGTCAAGATTGTATTCTGCATTATATAAAATAATTCGGACCATGACTTTCATAGCTTGATGATTTCATCCGATTGTTGCTCATTCAGCATACTCAAATGCCATTAATCAATATTCTCTGCTATAGTTTATGTGGGTTCATTTACCCAAGGTGGTGATCGTCGGATGCTCACATGCCCTATTCATCTACCAAATTTAAGGCATGCTCATCTGTTTCCTTTCCAGGGATCAGCTGGTTCGGAAGGGAGGTCCCTTCTTATCCTCAGCGTGGAGTGATTCCTGGGTAGCAATGAAATCTGTAATGAAGGTGCGGACATTTCAGATAATTGCCTTGCAGGGGGTCGTCGGTTCATTTCCATGGACGGCCATGGTTTTCTTGACAATGTGGTTCGAACTTATTGGTAAGTGAATTCTGATTATCTCTCCATGGATCATTATCAGTTATTTATATAACTCGATTGAAGATGGGTCATCGAAGTCTGTTTGACTCTCTGCAGGATTCGATCATAAAAGCTCCGCCGCCTTGATCAGCCTGCTGGCCACCGGATGCGCCGTCGGCTCCTTCTTCGGCGGGTTCCTGGGGGACCGGATATCTCGAGTCTACCCGCACGCTGGCCGCGTTATGTGCGCCCAGTTCAGCGTCTTCATCGGCATCCCGTTCTCATGGTTCCTGCTCACGGTGATTCCCCAGACTGAGGCGAGCTGGAGCACCTTCGCCTTAACGCTGCTCCTTATGGGCCTCACCATCAGCTGGTGCGGTTCCTGCGCCAACAACCCCATGTTCGCCGAGGTGGTGCCGGCGAGGCAGCGGACGATGATTTACGCCTTTGACCGCGCCATCGAAGGCTCCTTTTCTTCCCTGGCTGCTCCCGCTGTGGGGATCCTGTCGGAGAGGATCTACGGATATGGGTCAACGCCGGGGGGTCGAGCGGCGGCCCTGTCCAAAGGGCTCCTGTCGACGATGGCGGTGCCTTGGTTCCTCTGCTGCCTCCTCTATAGTCCACTGTACGTCACCTACGAGAGGGACCAAGCCGCCGCTAAGCATGCGAGCATGGAGGAAGAACTCAAGCCCCTCGTCGCCTCATAGCTCAAACTCGTCGCGCTTCCCCGAGGGAACCCTCTCTCTGCCCATGACTTGAGGCATTTTTCTCTTCCCTAAACAATTTGTGGTGGCCTTTGTTCGAAGGCTGCGCAGGCTGCAATCTTCTCCTCGACGATAGAGAAAACGGAGTGGTCGGACGAGGGCGAGTTTTCTTGATGATCCTAAGAAGAACAAATTGGTATTTATCTCATCTTCATCATAGCGGTTGAGAGGTCAACGCCCTCGCAAATCTGGGTGTTGTTGTCATCATCGCAGCCGAGATGAGCCTGTACAGTGATCAGACGAAGGGCGAATCGACTCATCTTAGAACCCATTGGCATCGACAAGAATCTTTAGGGTCCAAACCATTCACTTAGCATGCGAAGCTCGGTGGAAAAAATGTGACTAGTTCATCGTTGGAAAACCCTAGGTAAGAATTCAACGCGAAGATGTAGACTACGTCGAGGTTTTGCACTCTGATAGCATTAACCTATTCATCTCAGCGAGAACCTGATTTCACCCGCCGAATCATTTCAGATATGGGTCTGAATCATTCTATCAAAATACGCCTAACTTATCTTCGAAGGCCCTCGAAAGAAGACTTTCTTGATCCTCCGAGAGCCTTTTTTTCTTGCCTGCTGCATTCGGAAGAGACTCTGCGGAGAACCATCGATGGAGAATCTCTGCGGAGAAAGTGAAAAGAAAAGAAAAAAATGTGTGGATAGCTACTAAGAAACACCTCCACCGAAGGAAGGACGGTGTCATCAGCGAAACATCCAGCAGTCTGTGTTGGCCTCCCATGAATCAGATGAACACCGGATGGAAGTTTCATCTGGGATTAATGGAGGCGCAGCGTTAAGCGAAACAAGAAACGATGGCTAGCTCCGAGCTAGAAGCTTACCGGACTAGTCTGGCTACCAGAGTTTGCTATCATCGCCGCCGGTGGCAGCCGGAGAAGACCCAGATGCGAAACCACCCCAGCATTAAAAGGAGAATGAAACCCTAGAGGCGGCTGGCCCTCTGCCTCTACCCTGTTTCGCTTTCCGGAAAAGCCATCCGGATTGAATCAAATTATCGGAGGCCGCCATTACTAACAGGGTGCCCAACGGGCCACAGTGGGCCGGGAAAAACCCAATATTTGTGAAAGAATACCCGCAGAAGCAGGGAAAGAATGAACTAATGACTCTACAGATGGGGATCAAGACGCAGTATACCGATCAGCTCTTCGTCTGGCCCGGCTCGGCGCCTTTCAGCAGGCCTTTCAAGAGCCTCATGGTCTCCTCTTCGGCCTGGATATCAGCTTTGAGAGGGAGGAGAGGGGCGGCCTTGGTCGGCTTCAGCTTGTCCGCCTCCACAGCCCAACTGTAGGTTATCATGCCGACCACAGCCAAGGCCATTCCGATTATGTTCTTAGTGGTGAGGACGGAGTCGAATAGCACCCACCCCAGCACCAGCACGCACACAGTCTTCATGTGACCCAGAACCTGGAAGGACACGGCAGAGAAGCGCCCGATGCACAGGTATTGGCTCATGTTGCAGAAGACCGCCAGCGAGCATGAGAGAAGGATGAAGAACTGCGCAGTTATATAGAAAAATAAGAGGGTCAGAGTAGCTTAGAAAGATGGCATGAAGAAAAGGAAACCGAGACATTCAGCGCGCCTAGCAGCGCTAAATTAAATTGTGCCCATCTTAGGTTCGAGATTTGTTTTAAAAAGGTTGCCCAATCTGTATCAGAATAAAATGACAGAAATGAAGAAAAGATCCACGGCTAGACCACAGAGCATATTCAAGGGTGAAATTGACTCACGATTGCACCACATGTGAACTGATAGTCCAGGAGAGAGCGCTTATTCATGTAGTAGTCAGCAAATGGACCAACAATGAGAAGAGAGGCAGCCTGAATCGGCGCAGTCTTGCTAAGGAGGTCAAATGAGCCGATGTTGTACTTCTTCTGTAGTGACCCAATTGTCTGTAACAACGGGGGGAGTCAGAAATCATGTCCAATTATCTTGGCAATTATCTTGATAGCGAGAAACAGAAGTCATGTACAATTATCTTGATAGGGTCAGAGGCAGCAAAAGAAACGAAGCATAAGATCGTGACAAAGCACCAAGGAGTAGAAACACAAAGGATTCAACAAGTTTTTTAATCACCATTTTGGAAATGTTATGTTGACAATCTAGAGCAATATAGAAAAGAAAAAGGGATTTTATTCACCATTGAACCATGCTTTTTTAGCGTAATATTGTAAATCTAACGCATAAAATCATGTCCAATAGATTGATTTTAAGAGGTGATCAGGGAGTGATAGGCGGGCATATTACACGTTCATCATAAAGATGTGCCAGAAAAAGGACGATACAAGGAAGAGAGAAAAAAACCTTCAGATCTAGGAGAAAATTTCTCTACTTTTCATTCTCAATCGGACGCATCAAGGCATAATAAATGCTTATGTTCGGCAGAAGATAGAAGTATGATATAGATGGAGAGAACCAGAAAATCATACATTAGTCTTGATCGAATTTTCAATGCTTTGAACACAGATAAAATTTAAAAGAAAGCTAGAGGCGTCAAAATCTATCTTTATGATATGTTCGGCGTTAAAAGATGAATAATGAACTTTCAGTTCCACTTTGTTTCGGCTTAAAATCAAATCCACAAAGTTTGCACCAATCCCTCAATGCCATGAAATGAATACACAATTGCACAATCTGCTGAGAAAGTTTAGATAAACGGTACTACTCACAATCTGCTGGAGAGACGTGCATACGACAGCCACACAAGCACAGAGGAAGCCCTTGCCATTGATATCCACATCAGTCACCGTACACACACCAACACCAAAGGCCACAGTAAGCACAGAAGTGATCACCCTGGATGAAAAGGTTTTGCCATGAAGCATCCATTCCATCAGACAAACAACTGGTATTATGCTCAATTTCGAAATCTGCAAAATTCCGCCACAAAAAATTCGAAAACGTTAGAGAATGATCACCGCTCTCACAGGACAATCATGCCACCCAGTGCAAGAAACAAACCTGATACAAGCCAACGGTGTTCAGCATTAGACTAAAATTCATCCCAGTTATTGACAAATTTGCAACAGCAGAAAACCACAGCAGCTCCCAAAAGGGCACTTGCTTTGATGTTGAGTAGCCAGTCTTGTTTGAGATCATTCCAACAAGGCCCGTTATGGCAAAATGGAACCCAGTCAGCGTTGTAGCTGTAGATAGAGTACAAAGTTAAGAAGCATCAATAATGGAATGCACCATAAATATGTGCCATACCTTCATATTTAGACCAGAAATGAATTCGAATAGAACTGATCCAACATATGCAATTCAACAAGAAAACTGCAGTTCTAGATCGGGTTAACTCCGTGCGATCCGGCAGTAGATATAATATGTTTTCAAGACAATTAGACGATCTTTACAGGAACAGAAAATAGAAACAAATATCTCTCGACGCGGGGGATCGGTGAACTTTCAGAGAACAGAAGATCATAAAGGTTCACAGTTACTTCGGTCCCATGGGGTCCAAGCTTTTCGTTTCGCAAACTATCATCCGCCATTGAGATTACTAGATGATTCAGGGAGAAACGGAGCGAGATAATACCGAAGCAGAATCCGTAGCCGCCGGATGACATGAGCTGTTTATTGGCCATGATGATGCCAACGGAGCTTACAATATTCATCGCCCACGCACCCGTGTTGGAAACCAAAGGTTTCTTCGCCGGATCCATAGCTTCCTAAGCGGAGACGCTCAATCTCTGGCGGAGCGGGACAGGGAAGGCAGGAAAGGGGAGCAAAGAAGGAAGTCGTCAAACGGCTTTGAATCAGGTCCTGCCAATCAAACTAGTAGCAATATGAAGACCATTCTAGCCAAAATGGGGAAACCTTATAACACCCCAGGCTCCCCCCTCAGCAAGAACGTTCCGACCGGGAAGTAACACCTCCCCAGAAGCCCGATGGCGACCACATCAACGCGTTTAGCCGAGAAAACGAAGAACCCAGGCCTCGGAGAATTCCACGTAGAGGTGAAGGAAGAGAGTCAGAGATCGGCGGCGTCAGCGAAGAAGACGCGGAACCCCCCTCCGTCACCTTCCAGAAGCGTGTTGGCGTCTCTTTCCCATTCAGGGGAGGGAGGAAGAGAGAAGAGAGAGAAAGAGAAAGAGAGAGAGACACGCGCGGGCGTTTCGCCAAGATACGCCCTTTGAAGGGCGGCAGCCGTTTCCGTTCTTTTGCCACGTGGAATGGAGCAAACCGTCCGCCTGACCGAGGGTCAAAACAACCGATCTGGGCCCCACATCCAATGACTTTCTCTTTTGGGCAATCCGTCGTGCTCCTACCACGTTTCTCTCACGTGCAAAAGATGCAGTCGGCCGCACGTGGGATGCTTCTGCCGTCTGCTGGGCCGAGACGGGAACGGGCCCCAGGTGCGCCCATATATGGAGACGGATTATGGGCCTTATCTTCTGACGGGCTTGAATTAGGAGTCTAGGCGAAAAATAAATGGGCCGAGTAGCTTGCCTATTATGGCCCTAGCTGATCAGGCAAGTGTGAACGCAGAGACAACGAAGTCCAAAGTCAATCCGTCAACCAAAGGTAGCTTCCGAGAAGAAATCCTTGGGCCCCGCTTTTGGTCGCACGTGCCAACTTTTGATAACTCCAGTACTGGCGGCGTCTTCTACTATCGGCGGAGCCCTTGCCCCATCGTGGGGGGGCTTACTGAAGTGCAACTTATCGGAGTCGTGTTGCGGGGGTTTGGGGGGGGGATCCTTGGAGGTCCTGGAGGTCCTGGAGGGAGGTCAATCTCTCCCCTGTTCTCGACGAGATCGCCGAGATAACTTGGTACGGAGTTCTCACTTCCCGATTGTTCGATCGACGTCGTTCCTCGTTTCTCAAGCTTCGAATTGAGCTCGTCGGGGGTGAGGATTACGTGTGTTTCGCTTTCCTGCCTTGTGCTCTCGTAAACCCACTGGAAGACGACATAATCGAATCCTTGTAGACCGATCTCTATCTTCTTTCGTAAAATCTCATTTACTTGTTTTTACGGGATCGATTTTGAGAATTCGGAGAGGAAGGTGGAACTTTGGGGAGGATATCAAATAGCGATAGAATGAAAGGAGCGATTTTCCTGTGATCTTCAAGTATTATCCGTTGTATAAAAAGAGATGTGATATTATGGAGTTCTCTACGTACACAATCATTAATTTTCATTTACGGCCTCTTTCTCCGAAGGACTCCTTATATTTAGTTATCATTCATGGTTTCCAAGTAGTTCCATTAACTTCCAGTTCTAATTATTGTAGATTTTCCTGCTCCCCTTGCTTCTTCTTTTTTTTTCTAAGCTTGTCATTTCTAGAAGCTCTTTGGTGTTCTCTGCCTTCATTTTCTTGTGGAAACTTGTTGGATCATTAGTGTTGATAAGTGGCCCAGATATTTATATTGATGGAAGTGACTTCTGCCTGCAGTCTGATAGCGCTGAAGTTTTCCTATGAATTTGACTGCAACATATCGAATTACCGATTGCTTGGCCGTCGTTCTCTGCAGACAGAAAAATAAACCGATGACATCTTTGAGGCCGAGTTACAAACGGTCCCTGCTATACTTGACGATCTAAAAGTAGAAGTCCATATTTTTCGTTTGCCATTCGCCTTCTCACTTGTAGTCCTCAATTGTTGGTCTTAATTTCCGCATTTGGTCGATGCTGATGCCATTGTCCTTACCATTATGTTTTGTTGTTATGATGACAGATATGCGATGTCTCCGTTGGCTTCTACACCTTCGTCTATTGAACATGATTGGACAGATGAAAAAATATTTTTATTTCTTGGAGCCTGGAAATGTGGGGATCCTCTCCCGTCTAATGTTATCACTGATGTGAACCCTTTCAGTATTGAGCCCTGGAATGCACCAGGTCAGTCCTCCGTCTCTTTCCATCTACTTAGCTCAAAAGTTTTTATAACTCTATAAAGTTATTATTTCGTTTTCTTACTTCTTCAAAAGTTGCTGTTTTTACAATTTGCACAAGGTATGGTTGTCCATTGTGTTCAAAAAAACGTTTGAATTCAACCTCATATTCATTTTATCAAACATATCTTTGTACGTCTCTTGTATGTATAATTCCTCAGTTGGTGATGCAGAGAATTCAATCTCATTAGACTGCCTATGGTAGGAGAGGATCTACACCCATTTTTTAACTGCTTGCAAAAGAAAACATTTCACTTCATTGATCAATAAAATAGTGTTAGGAAACCTCGCAGGTCAAGGGGGAGATCACCTCACGGTTTGGTGAGGCATCAGATTTTTTAGAGTTCTTGTTGGGAAACCCCCACAACTTAGAAAAATTGATATTCCATGCGACACTTAGGACTCAAGGCTTGAAGTGGATGCATCACTCTAAATAATTCAGTGGAAACGTACTCAATTTCTATGAAGTCGGATAATATCACTCGCTCTAGTTTGTGCTGATATCTATCTGAAAAATTCTAAAAGTAGGATGAAAAACTAAATTTTATGCAATTGAAGAAGCTAAATAATATGTCTCTGATATATTACAGCCTTATTGTGGCCTAAATTTTATTTCCTATTTTTGGTCTAAATGTATAATGTAAAACACATGCACCCGCATCCAACCAGTTCACAAGGATGGTTTTTTTTTGCAGAAAACATTTGGTATCTATGCATTTTACAGGAATCTACTGCCGCAAAGGGTGAAGCCAGAGTTGAAAACACACCGAATGGATACTGGAAAAATATGCAACGTGACTTTAAGATAATTCTTGACTCACAAACTACTGGTATGAAAGCTACGTGGGGATTCTTTCGGTACACTGCTCCGCATAATCATAATGTACGTTGGATAATGTTTGAGTACAACTTGAAAACGAAGGAATGTGAGACAGTCAACCAACCGCAGGTATCTTTTCGAAAGTTGAAAACATTTATAAGGCATGCCTTTAGTTCAGTTAATATGTCCAATCCAAGTTTCTATTATTCAGAATGTTGAACATTATTGCAGAACTTCAAAACTTTATATAGAGTCATTGGGAGTAACAATCTCCTGCCAGTATCTGAGGACGCACATACCCTTGTTAGTCTGGGTGACGACGATTGTGACCATATGCAATCTGTACTTTTAAGCATGTTGGAACGGGAAGAAGGGGACATTGATCTTCTTGAACCTGCAGACGGATCAGAGGTATATCAACGACGAATTGTGGTTTTCCTTGCCAATCACGTGCTTCTTTTGAGATGATAACTGGTTCGGAACCTAAAAAAAATTATAGCATTTTTTGTTTTATACTTTTTCTGAGTTAGCTTCAGTTAATCTTTCAGAATTTGTTGCAACCCTTCATTCGTTGGGCTCTGCTTCATTATGAGATGAAATATAATCAATGTTTTTGACTAAACCACCCCTGCACTACCTAATACATGAGGAATATCAGGCACAGGTTGGTCAATTCCATGGAGAAAATAATGAGCACTCCTTCAATGACATATTACAAAGTTAATCTTTAATTTGGAAAACTTGTAGCATGAAGCAGAGAGACCCAAGATTTTGTAACGTGACCTATGAAGTAGAGCATGACTAATTTCAAACCAAACAGAACTTTCCTCACATTCAGGCTGCTCCCTTACATGGAATGATGAATCTAGTGTAAGTATGCTACATCAAAGTGGTGGAAAACATGCAATTTTCAATTCCTAACAAGTCAAGGGAATTGCTCCGATGCAAAAAGCCAGTGCTCCGGTGGAGACTTCCAGCAATAATATAAACCCTTCTTTAAACCATGGTACTTGAAATTGGACGATTCGGTCTAAATTTAACAATTTTGAGTGGAAATCAATGTTGGCAGATCTAATATTTAGGAAGGGGTTGTGTATGATTCCCCCTCCACCCATAAATGTTTTAGAAAAGCAGCCAGCCAGTAAATTAGGCTGAATTTTCCTATTTTTTGTGTTTTAGTTGTTTGGCCTTCCAACATAATAGCAATCGGCTGATGTCGCATCTTTATAATCGTATATTTATATTTATATTAACTAATAGGATAAATTATTACCAGTTAACTCCAGATATGGCAATTTTATTGACTCTAACCTTAGTGTTGCTATTAGAGAAAGAACATGTCGGTTAGACTTGAGAAAAAGGAGGAAAAACAATTTCAGAGGAAGAAGCCTGGAGGTTTCATAAGAAAAAAAATATGGTTTAGAGCAATTATTAATCATTTCTGGATGGGCCAGTCACGGCCACTACCCACTCCTGCTTGCTGATAAGCACCTGCTGCTCCTCAAAGCCCTCGTATGAAAACACCACGACTCTATGCTTAAATACTTATATTCGGTGAAATCCAATAGTTTTGTGTTAGTCTCTTGGAAGGAACGCCTCACGGGTCATATCATGATTAGCATCATGCTTCAGATAAATAATTGAATGAAGTCCGTTTAATGGGGAGTTTGTGTCTAGACATGTTCATTGAAAGAAAGATATCAGTAAAACCTTAATTTAGGAAATCGAAGCTTGACATTCCAGAGGAAAAGAATGAAGTAAAACGACAAGCACTTTAAGAGCTTAGGTACACGCATACAACTTGCAGATGGTACAGATTATCGCTATCACCTTTGGAATTTTCATCCGGTCTTATAGTGCAAAAGAGTTATATCTGCATCTTAAACATTCTAAAGAAACTGTCAGTTTTTTTATTAGTAAACGTAAAGAAAATGAAAATCCACTCTCTCGGGAAAATAATGATACGTTGAATGTGCGTGCTGTCTCTGGTGAAAGTTGTGTTTCTACGGTATGGCATTCCAGTTCCTTGTACTACAGACTTGTTTGGTTGTATACATACACCTTATTATCATCGTGCAGCTGTCTAAACTGACTTTTAACGTTTATGGATGAAAATTAGGATATTTATTGATTGATGCTCTTGTCGAAAAAGAAAGTGTGCTTTAAAGATCTGGACCTAGTTTTTGGTTACGATAACCATTGGAAAAACAGAACGTAGAACATAACATATAAAGTCATATCCTGTTGATTAGAGAAACATAAACTTTGTGGAAAGTCACGGAATTTCAATTTAGCCGTGGCCTCATATACTTCTGAGGTCCTCTCTCTCACTCTCACGTGCGAACACGTGTGCATACACGTGCATATAGTCAATAACATTGGCAGGATGGAGAACGTTCACCCCTCATTATTGCCAAGAACCTTGCTTTTTGCAATTAGCCTCATTTTCTGAATCTTATCTACTCTTAGTAATGAAAAATTATCATCGGTTTCACCATTTGTATTTGTTAGAGCAAAATGAAAGCATCTGAAATAAGGTTTACTTACGATGGGATTTAAAAGTCCTAAGGGTAACAGCTATGTGTCCTGGGCCGTAATCGTGGGAAAAAAAGCACGAGCAAACCTTATATTTGATGAACTGTATGCAACAGGAAATAGTTATTGATAGTATACTGTTTCCTCTCCCAAATGCCTAAAATGTTCAGATTGCTGAGGGAGATTCGTAAAATATTTTTTCTCTGTTCACTGTAACTAGTTTCATTTCAGAACACTGAATATCTTGGTAATTTATTCTTTGTGGGTATGAACAGGGATCAATGGCAATTTCCAACAGAAGCCTTGAAGATTCAAGAGCCAATCATTTGGCTGAAGTCCCAGTAGATTTTGACTTCTCAAATGGAGATTTCTTAGAATTGAAGGATCTTAATGATACCGATTCATCCTCTTCCAGCTCTGACAACTCCAGCCGTGTGTCCCTAAGTTCTGATGATTACTTTGATTCAGAGGCTTTGCTCAGAGACCTCAAGAATGAAAGTAATCCGGCTGTTGAGGCACATAGTCATTCGGAATGCAAGCCATGTATATCTAGATCCCTCAGAACAAACAGTATGACGATCAACCTACATCCTCAAAGTATGCTATCTTTCTAACCCACCCTACTTTTACAAGTGCTTAAGAAGGCAATCTCCAGCTCCAGCTGGTTGCATGGGCTCGCGATCATGAGGGAATTTCCCCCTTGAATGCATCTGCCTGTGTTCACTCAAAAGCTCTCTGCAGGTTCCACGCAAAGTAGGGGAGCTGTCTCGCCAACTTTCCCAGAACCTGCGAGACTCCCATCGCCAACGTCTCCTTTGTCCGAGCAATATCAGGGAACTGATTCGAACCCACAACGGCCGGGGACTTCTCAAGGGTCTCCAGCGAACAGAGTCGGTAGGATTGCTAAGCTTGGGAAGAAATACCTCTGCTTTGTGTCATAACAGGTAGCTCGATCTGCCCACTATCTGTATAGTTTGTTGTTTAGCTGGAGGGAAACCATTGAACAGGTGATATTTAACCTATCATTGCCTTCCTGTGATATCATCATCCTCGGCCCATATTATTTGCCTTGGTCACTGGGTCACTGTAATTATTTCCCAATTATGTAATTAATTATCCCTTTCCAGTTTAGTACTCCCATTGTATGGGGATCTTTGTCTGCTCATTTTCCCTAGATTGGCAAAGTAGAGTCTCGGATTTGACGGCAGAGCTGAATGAATGCACAGGGAAATGACCGGCCCCAGACGGGGATCATGCGGGCGGTATGGAAGCACCGGCGAGGCTATTCCTCCTCGCTTGCACGCCAAAACTTCGTCAGAAATCCGAGGGAAAAAAGAATGGCTGTCGATTGGATGCCACGAGGGGCCACAGGGTAAGAGTCTGCATATTTTAACCATGTCTATGAAGGAAATCAGTTCGCAGCAAGATCAAAACGACCGGCAACGTGACCGGTCAGCCCTTCTTACAAAATAGAGAGAGAGAGAGAGTTTGAAGGGTCAACGTTTTACAGATTTAGCTGTTTCGAGGAAAAGAAAGTTGCAATTAGCGCCGAAAAGTCAGAGATGCTTCCGTTTTACGGAAAAAGGAAACATTTATGGTTGATTCAAGTGAGTATGATTTCGGGCACGAGTTCATTTCTCGACCAACTTCCTAGGATTACTGCCCTGCCAGACAGCGATGAGATGTCTACTTGGACGTTGATTGAAATGAGGATCTTCGTGCAGTGAGCCGGCGAGGGGGGCGGCTACTACTCGAAGATCCCATCTTCCGAACTACGTCTTCCCCAAATCCCACCAAGATCTCTCGAAGTGCCGTGGAGTCGCCGGCTCCAGCCCGTGGCGGGGGACGGAGGCGCTTCGGAGGAAGGGCGTGCTCGGGAGAAAGCGACCGGCGTGCGGCGGCAAGATGACGACGATCGCCGTTGGAGTGATTTCTTCCAGCTTTGGGCAATGGGTAGAGAGAACCTACGGGACGGCTCCACCCCCTCCGAGAGACAGAGAGAGAAAGAGAGAGAAGGTGGGGGGGTGGGGGTGGATAAGAACATCGTCCACCTGGTCGATTGTTGGGCAGAGACGTGGCCAACCACTGCTTTCCTGAACTGGGTTCCATGTGCTACGGAGCTTCCTCCAGTTTTCCTCTGGCTACCTGGGGCAACTTCCTTTCAGCTTTTTGCCTGCGATTTCTCTCTCTCTCTCTCTCTCCCTCTCTCTAACCTCGCACAAGAGTAAGCCACCCAATTCTGTCTTCCCGACCACGCCCCACGGTTAGTTCGAAGCTCACGCGGATTTTTCTACAAATGGACCTTCTGTTTCAGTCACAGTTGTTCTCTACCACCGAATTGCTTCCCCCGTAGAAACTGCGCTCGGGGAGAGAGAGAGAGAGAGAGAGAGAGAGAGAGAGAGTTGCTTCCCGCGTTTCCCACCACCGCCTTGTCCAGCCGCCCCCAGCTCCCTCTCCCGTTTCTCATGCGTACAAGCCACCTCTTTAAAACCCTTGATCCTTCGCCATCCCCGTTCCCTCCCTCTTTTAGCCGTCTTTCTTCCCTAACCCTCCCTCCTTCTTCCCTCCGACGGCCTTTTTGAGCCTCCCATTCTTCTTCCGCATTGGCCTTTGTTAGGATATTCTGAGCAATCTCAGGCCTCTGGTCATCCCGGCAGATGTTGAAACTTTGAGATTTCTTTCTCCCGAGGGAATACTCATCTTTCTGGTCTTCTGTTCTTCGTCTTAGGATAAGCCGCTGGGGTAGGATTCTAGCGAGATTCAAGGATCCAGCTAGTAGATTCATCTACATTCTTTCCTTCGATTCCCAATTCTAGAGAGTTGCCTCCTTCTGTGGCAAGAATTTTGATGGGTGCTCAGGTGAGCAAGAAAGCCAGCAAAACCCCGTCGCCGCCCCCTGTCGACGTTAATGGCCATGGGGCAAGCACAATCCCAATGGAGATACCGGCGACCTCCTCTTCCGTCTCTTCCGGCAGCAAGATGCAGTTCATGGCGGAGCTGAGTTCCTACGAAGATGCCTGCAGACTCGACCCGGAGATCCGATCCTTCGACACCACCCTTCAGCAGCGCACCAGTCGGGTCATCTCCACCCTCGCCATGGGCGTCGAGGTCCGGTCTCTTTCCTTCGAATCCCTCAAGGAGGTGACCAGCTGCCTCCTCGAGATGAACCAGGAAGTCGTCAAGGTTATCCTCGACTGCAAGAAGGACATTTGGAAGAACCCCAAGCTCTTCGACCTCGTGGAAGAGTACTTCGAGAACAGCCTGCAGACTCTGGACTTCTGCACCGCCCTCGAGAAGTGCCTGAAGAAGGCCCGCGACGGCCAGTTGATCCTCCACGTCGCACTTCAGCGCTTTGAGGCCGACGCAGAAGAGATACACGACAAGAAGAAGTACGCCAGAACCCTGGAGGAACTACGGCACTTTAAAGATTACGGGGACCCCTTCACCGAGGACTTCTTCAGGGTCTTCCAATCGGTCTACAGGCAGCATCTGTCAATGCTGGACAAGCTGCAGCTCCGCAAGAAGAAGCTCGATAAGAAACTGAAATCTGCCAAGGTGTGGAGGAGGGTCTCCAGCATCATCTTTGCCGCCGCCTGTGCGGCTGTCCTGATCTGTTCGGTGGTGGCCGCCGCCATCGCCGTGCCGCCCGTTGCGGCAGCCTTGGCCGCCGCCACTTCCATCCCTCTGGGCTCCATGGGGAAGTGGTTTGACTCTCTGTGGAAGAACTACCAGGACGCACTAAAGGGCCAGAAGGAGCTGGTCAACACCATGCAAGTGGGCACCTTCGTCGCGATCAAGGACTTGGACAGCATCCGTGTTCTCGTCGACCAGCTGGTGATCCAATTAGGCTCCCTGCTCCTCGCCGCCGACTTCGCCCTCTGGGACGAGCAGGCGGTGAAACTCGCCGTCGACGACATCCGGACGAAGCTGGCGGCCTTCATGAAGAGCATCGAGGACTTGGGGGAGCAGGCGGACAGGTGTAGCAGGGACATCCGGAGGGCAAGAACAGTCGTGTTGCAGAGGATAATCAAGCACCCCAAATAAACTAGCGCGCAGACTCTTCACGGTCGTCACTCTGCGTATTGGATTAGATTGGAATAATGTTTAGCATGTTTCGCACATGTGCACGATTCATTTGTTCGTATAAACTAAAAAATTTCATTGAATCGACCGCTGTCGACCGCAACATAGGATGAAATATGTACTTACTTAAGAAAACCAGAAGAGAAGATAGACGATGGAAAAGTCAGAGGAATGAGGACTGAAGATTTCAGAGAAAATGGGAGACAGAATCAGGGAGACCTTGAGGCACCGTTGACGTTCCGTGCCCTCGAGAAGGAGTAATCCGAGGAGTTGCCCCAATTGGAAACGTTCTTTAGTGACTCACCGCCTCAAGCTTCCATGGCCGAAGACCCCAGTGGCGATGTGGCTCGGAGCCCGGCCCACCGGGCCTGAACCCTGGTGCAGATGACTGGGACCCGCCGCTAGTGCACGCCTGCCGGGGCGCGTGCCGGTCCTGACCCAGACGCCGCAGATTTACAGGTTTGGTCAAAAAGCTGGGTCAGAGTCCGAGAAGCCCCCGAGTCAGAGCTTCGAGCCGGGGTTCGGCCGGACCCTGTCGCGGCATCTGGGTACAGAAAGCAGCCCGACGTTGCATCGAGGGAAGAAGACGGAGGATGACGATGGAGTTCTTCATTCCCTGAGAAGGGGGATCTTCCTCCGTCCCCACGCCATGGCTTCGCTATCCGAACCAGAAAGCCGAAAGCACTCCATCTTCCCGCGACCACTTCCATGAATCGTTCGTTCTCGACAGATCTTGGAGCGTCACGGGGAGCCTGCGGAGCTGGAGATCGTCGTTGGGCGTGTTCGCGGAGATGGAGATCCTCGTTATGGCGATTCGCCGATGGGCTCCCCGGCGCTTCTGCGGAAACCGCCGCTTTTCGCCGACTGGGTCATTGACCTTTGTTGGATCGAGGCCTGACCGTTCGTCGTCCATCTCGTGGAAGATGGGCAGAGGAGGCTGTCGAGGAGGGGAGTGCGGCAGCATGGCGTCTGTCTGTCTGTCTGTCTGTCTGTCTCGCTCTCTCTCTCTTTCTAGCAATGGATACGGACTTAGAGAAACAGTAAGCCTGGTTTCGGCACCCGCATTCGTGTCAGGAAGATTGAACAGGAAGAATTTTTTTTCCTCCCTTATCTATTCTTCCAGTCAGGTTGCTTCCTACAGCGTCGGCAGGCGGAAAATGGGAATGAAACAGAACGAACGCGTAGGAGAATGAGGAGATGAAAGAGAGATGAGCCTTGTACACTTCCGTCGGCTCTTCACCGGAGCTATGGACTAAGAACGCCTCCCCCTCACCGTTCCGCCTTTCCGGCTTCATCCTTCACCTCTGCAGCCTGCTCCGCCGCGGAAGACCCAAAAACATAGAAATAAGAGAGAGAATGAATCCCTCCATCTCCCCCCTGTTTTAAGGAAAGGAAGAAGGGAGCTCACTCGTTTACCTGAGTATGGGAGAGGCCTGCACAACCTGGTCTTGCTCTGCAAGGATCCGGAAATTCGATCGATAGCTCGTCCGAAGAGGGTGAGCAGTGGATTGGAGGAAGAGTAAAGAAGGATAGGTACCTTACGATAGTTGGCGGAGAATTCGCAGGAAACTTCCAGATTGCTGCAACCGCTGCGGGTACTATCGCCGGAGATGTTGAAGTCGGGCTGCGAAGATCAGAGGAACCCGATGGAGAGATGTTTCCTGATATAGGCTCGAGAGAAGAGTGCGAGCAAGGAAGAATGTAGAGGTTGTATAAAACCACGACAATGGAATTTCCCCACGGACGTTTCTGGAGAAGTCGATGAAGGGAGAACTAGCGGTATCGTCCAAGCATCTGCCGGGACCTTTTCGCTGCTTCGGACCGTCTGTCTCCACCCTCCTCCTCTTGCTGCATTCGTTCTGCAGTGGAGCGGTGGGGAAAGATGGAGAAGAGGAAGACATGAAGCAGCCGTTCTTCTCGCCGATGTGCTGGTTGTAGTAGCAGTACACGTCCTCTTGGACCTGCGGAGGGCCGGAAGAAGCGTCGGAGACCATCGAAAACCCTTCTTCTTCCTCCTCATCTAACTCTTGACTATCACCACCTTTCGTGAGACGAGAGGCAGCCTTCTCATGGGACGGCCCCAGGTACATCGTCCAACCAGACTCACACCCACTGCCGTATTCGGAAACTTCCTCCTCCATCTCTTCTACCACCTATATGTTGTAACCCAGCGGAATCGGTTTCTCTCCAGCGTCCTTCTCTGTCAGCTTATCTCTCTCTCTCTCTCTCGCCCTAGGGCCTCTCCCTACATCCCTCTTTCTCCCTCTCCTGAAGTGGAGAGACTGGGTACCTGTGCAAGAGAAGGTAGCAAAAGGCAGGAGCGCGACCAGCAAAAGGCTAAAGAGGAAGAAGAAAGGAACAGGATCCCACTCGAATCCAAGACCTGTTTTGTCCCATGCCCGTGCTATATCCCCCCCCGGCCCTCGTTCTCAGCAGAGGTAAGATTAGAACTGCGGATTGGGGTACCATTAGATCTGGATGGGGACGGGAGGGGGACGTCCCTTTCCTTCTTTTTCAACCTCTTACACACTGTCTCCACAGATAATGGCTGAAGAAAGAGAGAGAGTGGGACCGCGGGGACTGGACGGGACGGATCCACAACTCATTCACATGCAATACAGCGAGGCACTGTACGATCTAATCCCCCCATTCCTCCATCTACGTCCCGTGAAGACAGAAGGGCTCCGGGTCTGCGAGCATTAGATGAGCTCTAACTCTCCTCTGGGTCCATCCCTCTCTCTCTCTGTCTCTCTCTAGCCCCCGCTCCCGAAACTCGCAGCATCCATGCTCCATTGATCGTCTGGCCGTCTCTAAAGATTATAAACAAAGGATTGGGGAAGTCTGATTCTTGGGCGATTTCAACTCGGCTTCGGGAGAATGAAACCTCGCTGAGCTGAGGATGATTTTGGAGTTCTCTCGCTGTTCGCGTTGAGCACGATCTCTGGCATGCGTGGAAGGAGAAGAAGAGAGCAGACAGGGACAGACACTCGTGTGGTTGACCCAGAATTAACGTATCCACGTGCCATCACGTTTCGAAGTTCCTCCAATTCCCCTTCCCGAAAGGAAGACTCTCTTCCCCCATCCTCCCTCTCTCATACACGCGCTCAGCGCACTGACACCAAGTGTTAAGTTGAGCCACCCGAGGAGACCGCCAGCGTGAGAGAGAAGGGTCTGACGAGGACGAAGTAGGCTGTCAATCTGATCTGTTCTGGAGAAGGACGTCTCCGGCTGGGAGTGGGAACGAAGCTGAGGAAGAAACGCTGCAAGAAGTAGCCGGAGGAGGCAGGATGTAGCGCCAAGCCTGCCGCCTCGTGATCGCAGGAACCTCTTGCGGAATCGCCGTCGCGCGATGGCGAGGGACCGGCGCGGAGTTGCCCATCGATTGTTCGTAGTAATGGCCGATAACATGAAAGACCCCAGAAAACACGTGGAGGGACGACGGCCTCTCGACGTCTGCGATGAGGCCGGCCAGGAGGCGAGCTTCAGGAGCCCTGCCCAGACATTGAAGACGCCGCACGCAGATGCACGTCTCTCATAAACCTACGAGAAGAGCGGATTAGATGCGTAATGTTGTTCTGCATTCATAACTCAATGTTCTTCTTCTTTCTCTTGATGCCATTCACTGGCCTCGCATTTTATATGCATACACGAAAGCGCGTCATATGGACTAAACAGCCTATCCTCTGAAAAACAACTCCAAGTGAGCGCAGTAGTCATACATATTTATTCATATATCGAAGTTTACTCTAAATTCATCACTGTGGTGGATGATATAATACGTCCCTTTGAGGTGCACGCGAGTAACTTTAGGGTTTCCCACAGACAAAGAGCTAACAGGCGATGAGCGAACTTCCATTGCAGCCATCAGGCGAGATTGGATTACCGTGTCTTAAAGCCGCCAGTCAAACCCACCGGAGCAGCCGTTATGCGCTCGAGGGATTGCTCGGGCCGCCCACTATATATATGCTCGCAGCGATCGTTGGAAAGACCGATCGTGGCATGCTCGGGTCGTTGGTCGAATTGGGTTTGAACCCGGAGACCCAGGCTGTAATGACGGGGCGCCATGGAAGAGTTGGAGCGCTGCCCATCTGGAAATCTCTCTACTCACAGAGCTTGAGCCCTAATCGTGTGGCGCAGGGGAGCTATGAACGGACATGGCTATAGTTGCGAGACCTACCTGGTCCTTATCTTCCTGTACGACGACCGCCACGGCCATCAAGGGGGGAGGACTATCGGGGCAGCCCACTTAATTAAAACCCCCTTGGAACTCGGGGCCGCCGGCAATGGCGGAGTATGGACGGCCGCTCTTAGTACCTGTTGGGACTTAATTTCTTGTCCTGTCCCGAAGTTCGAGTCTTCCCGCCCCGAACCGGGACCCGGGCCACGTGGCAGTTTTGCAAGCCTTATCCTGCGCCGCCGGAGAAGGATCTCAGTGGAGTCACCTACACCCTGCTGACCCTCCCGTTATTCCGCCAGAGCTCCGCGCACAGAGGCACCTGCGGCCCTGTAAGACGGGCACGTGTCGATCATTGGATACGTCTCCCTCGGGAGGATGAAAATCGTGAGTAAAGTCATGGGCGACAGAGGATATAAATGAGCGTATAATCATAAAGGTACTCGCCAGATCGTCGTCTCTCTGGCACTGAATCCCCCCGGTAGGTGTTTGCTTTATGTTTTTCATGCACCGAAACAGAGGCTTTACGCTACAAATATGGGTTTCCCCAAGGTTTGGAGGGTTTTGCCGTGAGCAAATTCACAAGTAGGGAGAGAAAACACGCGTCCGAATATGGATATTAGCTGGCGGCTCTTCTCTGCTCTCCGAGACATCCGGCGGCCGAAGGAACACCCTAGACTTATCCGTCGTCGATTTCATCCGGTGATGTGCGAGTGAGAGAGATTATTAAAATAGTATATGGTGATAACTTAGTTTCGTTTTGCAACGAACGTCTTAGTCTCTCTTCTGTGAGGTCCAGCCATCCACCGTTCGGATCTCTAGGCGGGGAAGTCGAAAGACAAGGGCTTGACGTCGGCAGAAGCCAGCAAGTCCCGGTGAGCGAAGCCATAGTGACGTAAGACCTGATCGTCGGCGAAGTTGAGCGCCTCCTGCATCCCTTTCCGGCACTCCTCCTCGGAGTAGAGCTCGTTGTGCTTGCCGTTGCAGGGTTGGCAACCGGTAAAGTGTGTTATGAAGGGACGCCGCCATCCTTCTCGACCGGCCCGCCACCCCTCGGCCTCCAATTTCCCCCCCCTCGCTGCCCCATAAGCCTCCGCCACCTTCTCCGCCCGGCGCCGCCGAAGGGCCGGCGTCCGCCGCTCCATCTCCAGATACCGGTTGCTCGTGTTCTGCAGGCGGCCCACAATCTCCACCCAGTAGCCCTGAAAGTAGTAGTCGCTCTCGAGATAGATCTTGTCCCCCCACCGGTCCCCCTGCCGGAGTAGGAGGTAGATGAGCGCCGACTGGTCGTCGGACTCGGGGAATATCTTGTCCTTGAACTCGGACTTGAGGGTCTTGCCCCATCTATCGTACTCTGGGGACTGCGGGCCCAAGCTGGCCCACACGTCTAGGAACTCCATGGACCACTGACTGTTCCTGATCAGAAAGACGCCGGCGTTGAGGCTGGTCGAACTCTTCTTCTCGTAAACGAGGTGGCGCCACCCGTGGACCACCAGGTGGTGGGCTGCGTACTTACGCAGCGGCAGCTCGAACTCCATGTCCGTGAAGATCGCGTCCGAGTCGACCCACCAGATCCACTCGCACTCGGGGTGCGCCACCATGGCGGCGCGGACCAGTGGGATCTTGGCCCAGAAGGTGAACATCTTCGGGTGGAGCAGCGCCGTGTTGTAGTAGATGTCCATGCCGTGGATGCGGCAGTAGTCCACCTTGTTCTTGAAGAAGCGAAGAAGTAGGTGGTCACCGATCGGGCTCTGGCAAGGCTGCGGCTGCGAACCGGAGACCACGAGGACGCGCCAAGCGGCTCCGGGCTTGAAGGAGGGGTGCTGCTCCATCCATTCCCTGCGCTTCTCGTTCCAGTTGCCCACAGGGCGTCCAACAGTATAGGTGAGGAGGGGATCATCGTAGAAGGTGGCAGAGGGTGGATCGTGGCGGAGATCGGCGCAAGTATTGGAATTCGTAGACGACGGCGCGAAGGCGAGGGAGGGCGTGAAGCTATGTGAAGACAGTGGCTTCGCGAAGTGAGGAGAGGAGGGTAGCCTGGTAGGTCCGACGACGGAGTAGAGAGCCCAGAAGAGGAGGAGGATCACTGCGGTGACACCCGAGAAGAGGAAGCCATCCGCGAGAATCGGAGGTTTGAGGGTCCGGACGGAGGACCTGTTGTCCATGGCGGCGGGATAAACCTCTGGCTATGGTGTTCTCTCCCTCCTCCAGAGACTCATAAAATAGAGAAACCGGAGCGTGAGAAGGAAGATAACGGCACAGAGGACACGGACGCGTTAAGGATAGCTGTAGGAAGGGTTGGTTGCCACGTGTTAAAAATCCTTATTAGTAAAAACAATTCTCAGAAATCAAATGCTTTCATAGCTCAGTTGGCTAGAGCACCCGTTTAGTAAGCGGGAGGTCTTGAGTTCAATTCTCAATGAAAGCAAATGCACTTTTTGCCTCTCGCCTCAACGCCGTCCATTGCTACGTGGCGACCAAAGTCGGTTACCCATTTAGAATTATGGAATTAATTATCCAACATTTAATAAACCCAGTTTCCTTTTCTGGAGTGGTCAAAGCTATACGAAAGTCAGCCGAACATAATGGTGAATAGTTAGTTATATTCGTACAAATCGACCAATCTAATTCTTGAACCAACTCTGCCTGATTTAGCTCGTCGGGGAAAGTTAGGATGACGGGGATAACGTAATTAGCCGTGTTTGGTTCGTCGCACCCGTCAATTTGTAGACAAGGCGGGCGGAATTCGTCAAAAGGGCCCCCAGATGCTGACTCAACCTGCATTGAGAAAAGTCAAAATCACGCTAGCATACATCGCTGACCGTCAACGGGAGCCCTGAATTCTACTCTTTGACAACGGCGGAATTAGCTAAGGTCATGATTTGGGGTTCGGTGGTTCAACAACGAGGAGGAACCCGGATGGGGGAGACAACCCGTTGACTCAGTACGTTCGTGCTGTCTTGCTGGAGAGAAGAAACATGCGGTCACGGACTGGTCCAACCCGGCAGCTGTCGAAGATCCACCGGATTTTGTTGAGTCCTTGAAAAATACATGCCTCAAGTCTTAAAATATGTTTCATTTGTGTCAATCTTGGGTCCGAATATCAACAATCTCGACACAAATTTTAGATAACACCCAAGAATTTTCACCCGCGTCACTCGGCTGCATATTTTTCCACAAAATTTCAACCACGATCCTTATCAATGCTCATAGAATTCGTTGAGTTTAGCCACGAGAGAGAGAGAGAGAGAGGGAAAAACATCTGGACATCATGTACCCCATTCACTAGGTTCTTCAAGACCTGACTGGTCGCGCTATTAGTTCGAGACTCATCTGGGATTCTAGGTCATGTCAGAATAGCCGGTGAGCGATGAACGAGTCCAGGCCCAAAGATGAGACCAGCGTCGTCATTTTCAGACTCGGTGGCACGCTCGAATTTTACCGTTGACAGACTGCTGACCAAGGCTTGTTTTGTTTGTGGGTCGCGGTCATCGTATGGGTCTCGAGAAAAAGTGTGTAGATAACCTCAAGAAGAAGAAAAATAATATGCTAGGGGTTCGTGTGGATGGCAATATCTGAATTTTTGATGTCACTAACTACGATCTGTGTTGAAAGATTTTCTGACCGATAATCAGAAGCGATGAACAGTCATTCATTAAACGTCTAAGCTCTTTGAAGGCCGCTATTTGATAGACATCACTGAAGATGATGTTGAGACTGAGGAATGCTCTCTTTCTCTCTCTCTCCCCTCCCTCTCCCTCCCTCTTTCCACCACGAATTGGACGTTGTATGCCTTTCCAAGTTTTTGATCTATCTCCACGAAATGTTTTTTAGAATTTGGTTCCAAACAATACTCGGGATGTCATGTGAATCTTTAAGATAGAAAAAAAATTTGGTACAGTTTATGTATTCCCTTCATAGAATACGCGGCTGACATCTTCTCGCCGAGAACAATTGGAGTAATTCACTCTTATATCGAAATGATTGCATCGAATAGCAAGACCGAATCGGTCACCGTCTCACTCGACGGAAGCTTCATCTTCTAGCAACCTTCGGCGTCCCGCCATTGTAGGTAAACCAACATGGCGAGGTACTGGATGTAAGCCCCTGCAATGACGAGCACATGGAAGAGCTGGTGGCTGTGCCCGATCAGGTCGAACTTCCCCGGGCTCCATCTCTCCGGAACTCTCGTAGCGTAGATCACTACCCCTATGCCGTAGCAGCTGTTCATCAGAAACTCATAGAGGGTCGTCAGCAGCGCCTCCGGTCGGTTGCCGAACAGCATCAGCTTGTGCACGATTGGCCCCCATCCGGAGAGAGCCATGCAGACGAATACCAGAGAGCGCACGATCCGGAACTCTGGCGTCTCGAAGAACGGAATGAGGGAGACCAAGACGGTGAGCACGCCGAGGGTGGTGATGCCGGCAGTGTAGACGGTCTGATAGAAAGGTTCGCAGGCGAATGTGTAGTAGACTTGGGGAAAGATGGAGGTGACGATGAGGGCGGAGATGCCAGCGTAGTCAAGCCGGAGCATGACGTAGGAAGTGTGCTCCGAGTGACAGGAGAGGAGGTGGCAGGCGCTGCTCGTGAGAAGGCAGAACATGGCTCCGCATAGGAAGGCAAAGAAGGGCCACCGGGAGATTGCCTGACCCGATGGTGCGGCGGCGGACTCATCACCGTTTCTCACGGCGGATGCGCCTGTGTCGTTTGCCAGAGAAAACCTCGCCGCGAAAATCTTTCCGAAATAATCGTGAAATTGAGGATGAGGCATTGACGTCTGGGAAGAGGAGGTATTTATCTCCTTGAATATGCTTCCGAATCCGGACGTGTTGGACAGAGAAGAGAAGGGAGATTCGACGCCGGAATGCGGCTGCTGGGCATACAGAGAATTTGCGACCGTCGGGATCATCATGGCGGCGTACAGCGTTAGAGATAGGAAAAGGAAGAATCCGATCAAGTGCCTGCAGAATAGAACTTTCATTAGCTTCTTGAGGAAAAACCTAAATCCGACCAAAAACCAAGACGTAGAAGAAAGAGAAAGACAGATAGACAAACGGGTTACTTACGTCCAAACGTTGACAGTCTCATTATGAATGGAGAAGATGCTGAGGATGGCATCCTTGAGAGGCCACTCGCATCGGTAGTATCTTAGAATGAACTCGTTGTGCTTCAAGTACTTGGGTAACGAATCGTAATCCACTAACTCGAGTTTCCTCGCGTTCTCCAGCGAACCCTCCTTTCCCTCCTTCGGCAACAGTGCCTGGCGAGACCCATGCTCCTCCCCGAAGCAGCTAGTCTTCGCGAACAAAACGTTCGATCCCTTCTCCTCTGCAAACCCCATCTGGAGATCTCTTCGTGCAAGTCTTAAGACTCCACGATGAGAGATCAAGAGAGATGGTAGTTTCTCTGGGCGAGATCTATTGGCAACATATTTATACTACAACCACAGACGATGGGTAATAGCTCCCCGGCGACGATAGGGAAGCTTCCTCAGCCTACAATTTTGAAAACCACAGTAGCATTTGGCGTGCTGCTGGTTTTAAATCGACCGGTCTTCTTACCATGTTATTTTTACTTTGTTTGATGATGCTGACTGCGTTCCCGGTTTTTGTCCCGTTCTCTCTCTCTCTCTCTCGCTAATGCTCATGTTTCGGCATAGTCGCCATCGCGGTTCGTACTGGTAGCGGGAACTCGTCGTCGGCGAACAGCGGGCGGAACGGCTCGCCATGTCGTACTCTAACGGAACTTTCCACATCCAATTGCCGTTAGTCGCTCGAATCCCGACTCGCACAATTATTCCCAAGCCGATCAGTCTAGAGGCCTCTCCCATGAGTACCAACGGGAATATCTCACACAGTTGTGTCTGGGGCGTTCACCGTTCCCCTTCGTCACACTATTGCCGCTCAGTCGGCTGTGATTCTCCAGTTCTACCCAGTCAACGTTCTCCAGTTCATCCTGAGACTGCTATTCTCATCCGTCGGCTGGAGGGGGGGGGGGTTGGGGGGGTGGTTGACAAGGACAGCGAGTGTGATTGGGTCGGCGACACCGTTCACGTTGACCAAGGTATACTTTCCACCTTGGAGGCCTAAAATGGCCGGCGAAGGGACTGACCCGCAGGGTGTTTGTCTCGGCGTGGTCAATACAAGCGGTCTCACACTATTCTCCGTGTGTTCATGCATATGCCGGGTAGGATATTTTCTGGCACGTCCGACCAACGATGAGGAGAGTTTTTGGCCTCTATGAAGACACCTTAAGGGAGAGAGTTCTTAAGGCCTCGTTTACCTCATAGAAGTCTCCTTGATTTCTACCGAGAGTCACACCCGGTTGGGAACCTGAGGATCAACTACCGCCTACACCGTCCGAGCCTCAAACGCAGTAGCGAAGAGCTCCCAAGATCCAGGGTCCATCTCGAATACCGGTCTCGACCAACTCAGTCAACTTGCAAGGCCTGCAAGCCGTCGTTCAGCGATGCCTCAGCCCCTGTGGCTGGGGACTGGCCAACCCATGGCAGCGGGTTGATGCCCTTCTTCGTCCAACGACGAGAGATAGCTACATCAAAAGTTTTATATCTAAACATGTTATGTGCCCAAATAATTAATATTCAACGTGGATACGACAAGATGTAATTCAAATGATAAAGAACACGAGACTGATGCACCATAATTTACAGGATCTGGAGAAATCTTACTATGTCCACGAAGAGAGCTAAAGAGATATTTCTTAAAGTGGAGAAAGGAACGTAAAAAAAACCCTACTAGATTAGATCTCTTTTTTCAGACAAAATTCTGAATATGTCATCCTCTTCAAAGCGGCAGGCTTAGAATAAACCACTGGGTTGTAAATGAGGTTCATTCACCAAAATCAAATTGAGTTGCACTCTTAACTGTCAGCCGCCCTCTATGTTTAACCAAGATAAGAGAAAGAGAGAACGGAAGTACAAGGAGTTGGAATCTCCTTTGTTCTTCCCCTTTCCCCATAACAAGTCCACTTAATCTTACATCCCTCCTATATAAATAGAGGAGATGTTGGTCCCAAAATAGACAAGGTGATGTGCCAAGAGGGGGAACTTTTTATTTTTAATATTATGTTTTTTCTTAATTTTATTATTTTTTCCTGAATTGTACTCAGTGGGCCCACTCACATGGGTAGACTCATTTTCGAATTGCTAACAAAAACTCTTGTGTCTTATGTGCCCTACATACACTTAATAGGAGTCCTTAAATTTGGTTTTCACTAGTATCTCCTAATAGCTTTAGAATCCCTATTAGTTTTTATGATTACCATTCTTATTGGAAATGTAAAAGTTGAAAAATATGAATCATTATTTGCAATGTATGACATGTATTTCTCCATCGTTGATTTCAGGTTTAATTCAATAAGTGAAATAATTAACTGATATATTATTGGGCATGTTCTAAAATTGGCGAGCATATTATTTACTAGATACACAACTTAACTGATCATCTATTGAACAACACGGATTCAATAACCTCACTATCTACTGAGGTGTAATAGATCTATCCATAAGAGAGAAGCAACATCCACTTACTCTCTCACATAAAGAAGACCATTATCGGTCAAAAAAATACCAAGGGTAGTCATAGGCTGATGAAAACCCTAATGGAGTAACTCAAGAGACCAACATCTTCTACCTTATTGAAGCTTCCACAACATCCACTCTCATGAAGAACACTTAGAAGCCTGAAATCTACATTGTAACACATTTCATTTTGTGCATTAAGAGATTTGACATGCTAAAGTCTTAATCTAGAAAAAAAAATCTAAAGAAATTTTAAGTTGTAGCCTCTTATAGTCATGAATCTAAAGTGTGATAGAGAATGATTAGAAGTTTTTTGATTAAAACTTTGTGTGCTAGAATGTGATATCTAGTGACTACAACTTAAATTTTAGTGCAAACACTAAGAGTTAGTGGAATCCAAGGATAAGTTTCTTGTAGAGTATTTTAAGTCTGATAGACCAAAAAATTATAAATCCTGTGTTTTCTATACAATTATTTCATGAGAGAGAGAGAGAGAGAGAGAGAAAACCAAGCATGTAGAATAAGAAATAAAAATAAAAAAATTAATTTTTATACTATTAGTTACATGTTGTTATTAAATCCAATAGTTATGATATAATAAACGTTAAATTATAGAATAATCAGTACTTTTACGCAGTAAAGATCATTTATATATCTCCCCTAGGCTAGACACAAATGCAATAGTTTGACTTTCTCTAATTGCTTTATATATAAAAAGAAAGAACAATTAACTTGTTACACTTTAGGTCACACAGAGATTGAACATAATTAACTTTAGGTCACACTTTAGGTCACATAAAGAAAGGACGACAAAAGGTTGAACATATCAAATCCTAATTGTTTAACCTTCGGAAATTTTTAATTCTAAATTTAAAATTTTTCAAAGAATTCAAGTGGTTCAAACTTCTATCGACGTCTACTTGCTAGGAAAGTTTATGTTCTTTAGTTCTATTAGACCAATGATCCATCAATAACAGTTATTGATTAATTAACTCAACTTTCAAAAAAAATCACCATAATTTTTTTCTTGAGTAAAGGGTTCACCTTCCTTGAGTAATAAATCCAAAATTGAATAAAAAAATCAACCATAAATATTAAGGAACAATTTTACTTAGAACGTTTTTCAGATGATATTGTTGACTTAGAAGATATTTAGAAGTTTAATAAAGGAAAAATGTGTTAGAACATGATCTTTTTAACTCTTCTTGCTTCAATCAGGTAAAATAAAATCTTGTAAAATAGTTTTACTTCATCAACTTATTGACTTCTTATCATTTGGCCAAATAGTGGAGGCTACATAGAAATCTTTATAGAAAATCTTTATAGAAATATGTCCCCTCTATAATCTCAAGATTATAAGGTGGCAGAGATGATCATTTATAACTAATTAATCTCTCAATCATTATAGAAGAATCTTGCTCAATGTTTATTGATATTTATAACATCTCGCAATGTTTCAATTTAAAACTAGTAAGAAATTCAAACAGCTGAAAACTAATACGATATGACTTCTAAATATTTAAATATAGTCTTGAGAAACCTCAAACATTGTTAATGTTAGTACTAACATATAGATCCATAATTTATTAATTTGATAAATTTTGATAAAATATCCACTATAATTGAAATAGAAATGACAATATATATCAAAACAAAGTAATGATTGATTAAGGACAATTTATTCAAATTACTTCAAATAAATTACGATCATTAAGTTGACTCAATGAATCATGATCTCAATATGTAAAATCATAACTTTGAATATATATAGCATTTACAATTGATTTCCAAAGTATATTAATTGACATTTAGAAATATAAAGCGTCAATACAAAAGGTATAAATTTAATTTATTATTTTATTATCAAAATAATTAAATTTCAATACTATAATACCATGATCACATATACAATTGGTCCTATAATCGTGGTTATATAGATTTATTCTATGCAAATGTAATAACTCAAAGTATAAGAGAATTAGTTAAACTAACTCATTTTTTTGATAGATACATAATTGATGGAATTACAAACAGTGTTGGGGTTATAACTTTCTTAGGAGGTGAAGCAAATAAATATTTTGTAGGAGGAGGGTGAATCTCATCTTATCTCTTTTTTTATTTATCTTTTATATTAATCTTCATTTTTTCTGTTTTTGAGTTTATAAAATGATAAATATTTTTATTTAAAAAAAAACGAAATGATATGATATTTATAATTATATAATTTATAATTAATATTATTTATTTATATTAATAGGGACGAAGGAATTATTGGAGTTACCATTTCTATCTAATACTCATATGATTGTTGTTAATAAAAAACCTCTTGTGGGAAGGATGGCCAGAGATTTCTTGTAAAAATACCAGCCCCTATTAGTTCATAAAAAAAAGGATATTTTGATTTATTGATCCCACGGATTATTCCTTTTAGTACTATGCACAGAAAGGAGGAGCCGTATGAGATGAAATTCTCAAGTACGATTCTGGAACGAGGATTCTTTGAATAGAATGACTTTTTCACCATGACGGATGTTGACTCAATCTGAAGGAAATTGTGTAGAATCCAAAGACTGAAATTCTTGATAAATGGAAGAACAATATTACGATTTTTGTTCAATAAGATATCAAAGTGGATGATTGACTCATTCCATACTAGAAATAATCGCAGAAAATCCTTTGATAACATGGATTCCTATTTCTCAATGATATTCCATAATCGAGACAATTGGCTGAATCTCATGAGAATAAGATTTCATTGTCATATTTTACTTTAATAATTTTATATTCTAATGTGCTAATCACTACTTTCTCATTTTGGTAGTTTCTATATTGATACTTTCTATAAGATGATATAAATAATAATTTCACTTGGAAAAAATCTTCAGCATTTTCAGTCACAAGTATATTTCTTGAGTTATTATTTAAATATTTGACATTATTACTTTGATTTATCTCAAAATTTATATTCAATTAAGCTCATGATCATGTATCATAAATCAAGCATAACATCCAACAAGCATAATTCAATATTTAGTTAGTCTTCTCAATGTTTTTCATTGTCAAAATAATATACATTTAATACCCCAACATAGTTTACAATTTATTCATGTAATTAATAGAATAAATTTTTAAATTTGGTAGGATTTTTTAGTCAAGGAAATTTGAGAGCCATATCATTTGATATAAAAGGTGAATGAGAATTTGAAGCAAAAATGTATCAATTTGATGTGGTGTTAATATATCTTCAAGATTCATATAGTTAGTATTTATAAAGCCTAAGAAATTGATCAATTGAATTCAAATGAGTGATATTTCTAGAGTCAACTCATGAGTTGACCCATGTAACATTATGTGTTATTAGCCTACTTAGTTGACTACCTTTCAAGCAAATAATTTTCAATTCTTGTTAGTAAAATATTCTTTACATATTTCATTTCTGATTATTTTGATCATTTGACATGTTACATGGCATTGCACATAATTAGTGATTCTCTTACTTGTAAATTGATGTTGATTGCAATAATGTTTGATTTTACAGAGATATCTTCAGTTCTCTCTCTCTCTCCTAAGTTTGACTCAATGGTTCTTCTTCAGTAATTTTCTCTCTCCTAAATTTGATTGGTCTATTTCTGTGTCTACTCGCCAATGTTGACTTTTGGATTGACATGTGCAAGGCTTGGGCTGATTTCCATGTCTTTTTAGTGATTTTATTCTAAAATTTTATTTATTTATTTATTCAAGTTTCTTTGTTTGAGTCACTTTATGTATGACTGACTTATAGTTCAAAAGTATAACCAAACAAGAAATATAGTCTATATAATAATTTAGATATTCACCTAACTAGTAGTGTGACTCAAATTTATTTTTCTTTTTATTTTTATTTGCCGACATCAAAATTCTTAACAACAGTAGAGGGGAGAGAGAGAAAGAGAGAGAAAGGGAGACACATATAAGAATCTAGTAGGACTAACTGGTTTTCAATAGCCTAACTGGTTTTGACCGGTCAAAATCAATAGTCCAAGAAGGGTTTTTTGCCTCAGATTGGAATTACTTAGAATCTTTGTACAGGCGAGAGTAATGGGTTTCCTTAACGAGAGTAACAGTCTTGTTTGTGGATTATTCGAAGACCAACGTGATGTGGTTTGTGGACTGGAATTTACCAACTTAACGGGCCTCTCGAATGATACTGTGACGGAAATACACCCATTAAAATGCTGATAAATGGGGAAGAGCATAGCTATTGGAAATACCGACAAGCATACTTCCACCAGTCGTAGAGAATCAGTTTAGTGAATAATCTCCTGCTGAGCCCAAGCTCATGGCTCTCGATGATAAGCAATACGATTCCTTGACAACACGCTCAGAAAATACAATCGAAACCGGATGAGGAAGAACTAATGAGAAGTCGCAACTGATCAGATATAGAGAGAACGTGAACCGTCATTAAAAATTTCATAATTTCTCGTGCATTTCCATAATGTCATCAGAAAACATGCCCAACTTTAAAAGGCGTCCTTGATGTTCGTCAGGTTGTCTAATTTTCGCCGACTCATATTTTTTTGGATAAAAATAAGAGTCAGAGATGTAAAAGAGAGGAGGCCGCACTACTTACAATCAAGAAAATTTTAGTTTATGATCATGACCGAAGATTACTCTTTGACTGGACTAACAGCACTTAAATGGGCTAAGTAGCCAAGCTTAGCAATCGAATTCCACACGACGGATTGCATTTGAATATTACGGCATTATTTGAGAAAATAAAATCGTGGCCAATTGGTTCCAACTGGTGTGGGCAAAGCAGGCGACTAAATGTGCAGTGAACTTAAGGGTATTTTTGTCGAGTGGAGAGCATGGGGGGAGCCCAATAGCATGGACGATGGCTCGGATTAAACACGGGCAGTGCTCAACGAGAAGAAGAAGTTGGTACAAGGAAATTAATGTGGAACATATTCATAGTTTCAATGCTACTAATGGGACTCCACGTGGGCTTCAGGTTATGTGGGCCTGCTTGCTCGACGACACATGTGGTATAATCGAGGCACGTCTGCTCAATTTGGGTTCTTGATTCATTCATCACGGGGATCTGACTGATGATACTAGCCCTCGATGACTGCTCCAGGACTCCCCGATTCACACTCGGCCTCGTCGAACCTCGCACTTGGGTAATGAGTGATCGATCCATTGGGGCCATCACGAGCCTCTGTGCGTCGAGCAAGTTGTAATGCCGTTGACCGGTTCCGAACTTGATACAGAAGGAAATCCGAAGATCTTCTTCTTTCCATCTTTAAAATTTAAAAGGTTATGAATTGATGCCCGTTCTTTTTGAGGATTTCGAAATAATTGAGAGGGAAAAAATCGAGCTAATGGTAATAGACCGTTCCTTTGAGGGTGGTCTGTGGGCGGATCGCAGCATCATTCCTTGCTCGAATGGGCAGCTCCGGACTGGGGAGACAAGCCAAGGACATGGCAGTCATTTGATGTCTGATGGGGAAAATCCTGTGAAGACGTGCCTAAAGGGTGACCCAGCGCCGCTCTTCGGTCCACGCAAAGCGTCGCCTCTTCTGATAACTGGCGCTGCTCCGAAGGCAGCGGCAAACAACACTGCAGGGCCGCTCCTGCGCGGAGACAGGGGAAGAAGGGAGAGGGCTTCCTTTGTCTCTCTCTCTCTTTCTCTCCCTCATCCTTGTCTCCTCTCTTCTCCCATGCTGATGCGCCAGGTCCCTGCCGAGGCCTCTGCTTATTCCCCCAGCATCATCCACGGTCGCGGTGGGGAAGGAGCCTTCGTACAGACCTCTGCCGCTGACGAATGCCGGTGGGTGGCCAGTGACTCGGCTCTCCCGAGCGAGTGTCCGCAATGCAGCCCTTCCCTCTGGCGTCGAGCCTCTTCTGTGCCGAGGATGCCGACGATGTCGCCTCTTGGGACGGCGCGGAGTGGGAGTACCCGTCGTCGTCGGCCTCCCCGTCGCAGGTCATGATCCTGCCTTCTTCATTCAGCGAACCCCATCGCCCGATCGACGACCTCTTCGCTACGGAGCTCCAGCACATGCCTCGCTCCGACTACATTGCCCGCTTCCAGGACGGCTCCCTCGACTGCACTGCCCGCCAGAGCGCCATCAACTGGATCCTCGAGGCAATAAATCACCTCCACAAACCACTCGCATGTGCTGAATAGGATGATGGATGAGAAGTACACTTCAATATGCCGCCTTTTTATTCCTTTCGTTCCATCCAGGTTCATGCCTTCTATCGGTTTCTACCCGTTACGGCGTCCCTAGCCATCAACTATCTCGATCGGTTCCTCTCCTCGCAGGCGCTGCCGGTAGGTACCGAATTTCACTATACGGTATTTACGCCATGGCGATGGAAATATTAAGGGCCACCACCCGTCGCAGAGAGGACTTGGGTGGCCGTGGCAGCTGCTCTCCGTCGCGTGCCTCTCGGTCGCCGCGAAGATTGAGGAGACCCACGTCCCGCTGCTCGTCGACTTGCAGATTCTGGATCCGCGGTACGTGTTTGAGCCGCGGACCGTGCGGCGGATGGAACTCTTGCTAATGGCTGCCCTTCAGTGGCGGATGCGCTCCGTGACGCCTTTCGATTTTGTGAGCTACTTCGGTAGCCTGCTTCCCACCGACTGCACCGAAGGCGAGGGCTGCCTGCCGCTGCTTCGCCGGGCATCGAACCTCATTCTCGTCAGCCACCATGGTACGCCAGCGTTCACAAATGTACAAAGAGGGGGCTTTCCAGCTGTATGAACCCGCTTCGCATTGCAACCTTCCTCTAAACAGGAGTTTTGTTGATTATGTATCTGCAGTCGTCGATTTCTTGGGCTTCCGGCCATCGGCGGTGGCAGCGGCCGCTCTTCTCTGCGCCTTCGGCGAGAACATCGAGGACTCCTCACCGTTCTTCGATATCGTCACCAAGGTACTTTATCATGTTGGTCTCCCTTCTTTCTTCTCTCTTCTAAGTCGTCTCGAATAAATCAAATTGCCAAAAAGATCAAAGCGTTTTTTATTGTCTCCTCAATTTGGTTTTCTCTTCGCCCTTGATCACATCATCGCAGGAGATGGTGGACGATTGCCGCCAGTTGTTTGTCGTCTACGGGATGGTCACGGCGGCCCCGTTCAAGCGGCCGGCGCCGCAGAGCCCCGCCGGCGTGCTCGATGCTGCCGCATGCGGGAGCTGCGACACCCAGAAATCCGCCTCCGAAACGGCCACTCCCCCGGAGCCCTCCCCCCCCACGAAGCGGCGAAGACTGATCGCCACCATCAGCGGCGCAAGCCATGTTGATGATGATGGCAAACCTCTCTAGGGGTGGTCCGAGTTACGCTCCACACCTCTCCGCCCCCGGATTCGTCTGCGCGAATTCATTAGCCCGGGCCGGCGCGGAACGAGCTGTCGGGGTGTCTCAACCTTGTCTCCGTCCCCGTCCCCGTCGTAAGTACAGTGCAATAACGATACAACCCAGAACCGCGGCCGAGGGAGCTGCCACTTCTTCTTTTACCTCCATCTTCTGACTTTATTGAGCCGCATGCTATCAAAAAACGCCGTAAAAATTTATAATTCTTGCCCTAAAATCTGCGTACCGACGGCGACCTGCCCTGCACGCTAGCGGGATATACGACTCTGGCGGAGCTCATACTGGTAATCGCCCAGAGAGACGGCAAAACGTCGCTGCTACAGTTATCAGAGCTTCCTTCTACCTTCTTTCTGGAGACTCTCTCTCTCTCTCTCTCTCCCTCTGGACTGCCCAATATCCATTTTTCGAACGTATTCCCTTGAGGCAGCGGCTTATGGGGTCTCGTGATCTGTGGGCTCGGGCAAGACCGCGGCGAAGGTTGCCAGAGCCGGCGGACCAGTTCACTAGGGGAGAGGGTGGGTGGATTGTGCACCACGGGCATGAGGACCATGGTGGTCTTCCCATGCGCCAGGGCATTCGTCCGATCCGGATCAGTCGAACATCACGTAGATTTTACAGCTGGCGGCGCCCACTCAGCATACGGTCCCTTCAAGAATTTAGATTTGGGCGGCGGAAATTAAATGGAACTTGGATACGATTTCGCGCAAGTCTCGCCGAGCGGCGGATGCTTTGTCGTATCGGTTTGGAAGGGGCCAAAACGACGGTACCCGACGTGGCGCGGCTCTGGACCTCCGGCGAGAAGCGGCACGGGCCGGCCGCCGCGTTGGCTCGTTGTACGTCGAGTCTCCGACGAGAAGTCAAACCTGCGAGGTTGAACTGGCGAACGGAGGGGACCATGACGGCGATGTTCTTGGAGCTTGCTCGGCGTCGACGGAAAGCAGCATGCTTTTCTACTACGCTTTGAATATAACGCTTTTCCTTTCTCCCCCACCCTTCCTCCTCTCCGTGTTACTTGCTCTTTTCTCTTTACCCTTTTTGTTCCCTGCGAGTGCGAGGACGTGGCGGCGATCAGCTGGCGGAGCAACGACCGACGGCGGAGAAATAAGCGAGAACCGAGGAGTGACGGCTACTTTGCCGGATTTTCCCGCCTACACCTCCCCGTCGATTGCCGGCCCCATTGGACAGGCACATCGATTGTCCTCGCCCCGTCGTGGCCAATAAGCGCTCCTCAGTACGTGGGCCTTCGCTGTCAACGCCCGGCGGCGGTGAGCTTAATGATGGACTTGAGAAGTGTTACTCGAGATGGTGCGGTGGGGGGTAATAAAGGAGCTGTATTCCTTCGAGAGCACGGGGGGCTGAGAGGAGAGGAGGGGGGTGTCATATCCTCCATGTGAGCCCTGGCAATAGCAGTCAACGTTCCTTCCTTGGTACGGGGCGGCCACTGGTGCAGAGGTGTCAAATTGGTGGGTGACGAGCGCAGTCTGGGGGAGGGACGCCGACAGTCCAAACCTTAAGTGGTAACCGGAGGAAGAGACAAAGGGTTATTAACTACTACTGAGAGGCACTCCTCTCTCTCTCTCTCTCTCTCTCCCCGGGCCGAACCTGGTTTGGACGGATAGATTGCACGGGGGAACGGGAGATGGCTGCGGGGATACCAGCAAGTCGAATATGACCCTCCATCAAAACTCAGTCTGGGGATCTCTGCTCCCGATGGGCCCGAAGGAATCAAGGTTAAGCCCGGGCCCGCGGCCGTGCCTTTCTGCCTAGTAAGTCACCCACATCAATGAGCCCGGAAGTACTTATATTAAACTGTCGTAGCCGTTGTGGCTGTGATGCCGCCAGTCGCCCTCTCGTTGGCGTTTAGAAACACTGATTATCGGGTGGAAGAGGAGACTGTTGCTTACGCCGCGCGGGCGATGGGGCCATGTTTGGTGGCCTTGTTTATTAACGGCGGCAGCGGACAGGCGGGGACTAACCCGCCAGCGGGAGACGGGGAGGACGAGAGGGCGAGGGGCTCGGTGTGCTTGCTTCAGCTGCAGGCGGTATTAAATATCTGGGGATTCTCAAGATCGAGGAGTCGAGTCGGATGAGGCCCGCGCCGTGTTAAGATCTCGTGAACTCAAATGAATGTTCCCGGCTACATCGGATTGGTCAATGGCAACTTCGTCTCCTCTGGAGTTAATTCTCCGCCGAAAAACAATTCCACGGCGGCAGCGACTCATCTCCAGAGGCTTTCCACGAGCTGTTTCCGATTGTCCGCCTTAAATTTTTTCGATCTCTCGTCGCGCTCAGGCGCGAGTGGGAGTGAAGCACTGGGCCGTCGTAGGAGGCGAAGAATAAATAGCAGCTCCTCGCCCTCCCTCTGGATCGTACGGCGGTGTATTCGCGCAGCGTGGTGCAACTAGGGACCCATGAGGGGAGGTGGCACTGGCTCGACCAGAGGAGAGCATTAAAGGCTTTTGAAATCAGAGTAGATAGCCGTTCCTCGGGGATGGATCCGGCGCCGGCAGCGGCCAGCTCAAGGCTGGGGCCTCTCCCCAGAGCCCCTCTGGAATCTATTGGACTGTAGCTTCGCGTATCGTCTATGGCCTGCGAAACCTTTCCAGCTACTTCCAGAATGAGGAGGAGAGAGAGGGAGGGAGAGAGAGAGAGTCCGATTAACCGGAATGACCAAGAACGAAAAGAGAACGTGTGGAGGGAGGTACGAGTGCCGCAGCGGAAGGGAGGGAAACCCAGCACAGTCCCATGCTGCAGCTGCCCTCGGGAACACATCTTTCCGGACGCTGACAGGAGACGAGAGGGGATCTTATGTGCGTGCGAAGCAAATCCCCCGGTATAGGGATCCTATGACGAAGAATGGGGCTGTTCCTATTCCGGCACGCACTCGTCAACGAGGCGGCGGATGGGCCTCTCCTCTTCCGCGGCTCACCTGCCATCTGAGCGACCGACAACAAGTCACATGCAGACGCTAAGACCTCCAACTACCCTCGCCTTTCCCATCCCCCTCCTCGCGCTCGTCTGATTCTAAGGTTATTTCTTTTCTACGATGTTCTTGAGCTCGCATGTGTGAGCTATTCGAATCAAGATTCCCACCAGAATGCAACCTTCGTGTATGAATCGCCGGAAAATCCAAAACGACGTAGCTGAGGATCCTCCTAACGTTCTAGGGCGATAAGTTCCAGAACCCTGACTCCGGCTTCGCAGAACTAATCTAGAGAGCTTTAAACCCACATGACCCACAGGCGTCAGATTTTAACGGCCGATTCGAAATTCGAGGAGTAAGAACCAGTAATTTAACGTCTGATGAATGCTCTGTAAGAGGGCAGTCGAAGAATTCTCTCTCCCTCTCTCTCTCTAGCTAGTAGCATTAAATTTTCTTTCCGTAGCATTCAAGCTGTGACCACGAGCAAACTGTTTTTAACAGTCTTCTAAAACTAAGCCGAACTTCCGTAGCATTCTAAACTCCCACGTCTCGCCTCCTCCATGTTACGTCTCTTTCGTACCAGAGACGAGAAACATGGAGCATCGTGTCGTGATTAAAAACCTAAAAAAAGAAGAGAAAAATGAGCTTTGTCTCGTCATATTTTGTGACAATTTTCAACGTCACTGCATACAATTTTACGCGTTAGATGGACATATTCTGCCCTGGTTAGTGAAAAACGCATTTCTCTCTCCCGCCTTCTCCTCTTTCTCACATTCTTTCTCATGAACTGCCGTCACCAGCCTTCTCCTCTTCTACACGATTTCAATGGAACTTCTGGCACGCCCAAAGTGTAGTATTCTAAGCGCGTCAGTGATCTTCAATTGACCACCTAATCAGGGTGGCATAAACCCTGGATGACCTGATTTATGGGGACCTGCGGGGGATCTTGTCGATAACCCGGGACTTTTCTGGGGGAGTAAAAAAAAAAAAAAAAAAAAAGCCTATTTTTCTCCGGCCTTGTTCTTGGCTCGAACCCCCTTGGCTGAATTGCCGAGGAATCGATGCCCACCATGGGCGTACAATCAGATGAAACAACTCGTGAACAAGGCACAGCTGTCCCGTCTCGGCCCTCGTCTACCCCGCTTCGTCCGCTTCCACTGCCAACGAGCCGTCTGTCGCGCCGGAAGGCTCATTGTCGGTGTACGGTAGGCATCCGAGGCTCAATTGGGCCGAATCGTAAACAAACCCAAAGGGCTCGAGAGAGCGGCCCAGGTAGAAATATGGGCCGACGGGTATAGATCATGCGAGGACAAGACAAACCACGCGCCCTCTCTTTTAAAAAAGAAAAAGAAAAAAAAAAGATGATTTTTTATGAAGGCAGACCGAGTCCTTTATGTTATTATTTTCCTCTACTGGTTTGGATTTTAAGAGGAATTGGCCAGCGGGCCCAGATCATTTTCTTGCGCGCTCAAACAAAATGGATCTGGGTATCTTCTACAGGCATGGCTGCCCTAGAAAGGCCCAACTCGTGCCAGTCCACAATGCAGATATCGTTATCTGACCCTGTCAGTGCTTAAGAGGACATCCTCACCCTGATCCTCGAATCATACTCCAAATATATTACTACAAGTATTATTATTAGTATATATATATATTGAGAGAGAGAGAGAGAGAGAGAGGAGGAGCAGATTTGATCATTTATACTCTTTTATCATTTATATTTCATATCAAAATTAGGGCATTTATTTTTATTAATGGGCTCACTTCCTTTCCTCTTGGGATGTCGCCCATTTGACGGATTTACAAGGCGTAGCCTACCATGTGAACCTATTTTATTCGTCGTACTGAGTCCATTTGAGAAAGTTCGTTCTTAGCCAATGCTCATTTTGGTTTTGACATTGAGGCATTTCAACATTTTATTGGAGGATACATGAAGGGACGTGTGGTGTGCACGGAGGAAAGCGCAAGCATGGGCACAACGCACGTAGAGCAGTGAGGCTCACATGCGGGCAACATCGCTGAGCCAGAATGGGGATCACAAGGAAAGCCCATGAACCTTGGCGGTGCAGCACGCACCCAGACGGCGCGTGACGACATGGCGCGCAGCGGCACCAACATGGCAAGCCTGGGAGGACAGACGGCTTTCCGAACACACTACCGGGTCGGGGGGAACCTCAATGGGCGCGCCACGGGGTGTCACGACACCAACACGGCGGCGGCACAAGAACGGTTTGGCACAACATGCGGCTGCACAAGCAGATGTGTGTGGCACGCACACACAAATTTGATGAATGATGGACCAATGGGGAGGCAAACGCCAATTGACGGAGAGGCGAAGAGCCATATGACGAGGAGGTGAAGCGCCGTGTAAATTGTTGGAAGACGAACATATTTGACCTTTGCTTAGCCGAGTGGGCATGTCACCTCACATTTTATGTATGGCCTCTTTTGTGAAGGATGGACGTTCGACGGTATCACATGTATAGAGTGCACATCTAGAGAGTTCCAGGATTGGGCTTCTATGATTGGGCGTAAGCACGGGCTTTTGAAGTGGGCCAGGTGGTCAACATATTTTATATCAAGATAGAGGTCGTACTCTAAAATTGACAATTATAGCCTCTTTATAACCGCTATTTCAAGGGTAAATGAGTATTTATATTTACCTTGCACCTCGTTCTTTTTCTGAGGCGGAGGGCGGGGATGGCGCAGCGGGCGTAGACTCTATTCTCGTCGAAGTGCGGGCGACTTCACCCAATCCTTCTTCTTACTCTTCTTCGTCCTCCCCCGCTCCTGCCGGCTTCTTTGGTCAACTGATTGTCCTTCTGTCTGCGTCGGGGTTTGTTGCTGGTGGATGGCGAGGGGCTGAACCAGGGGACGCTCGCCAACCCTCATCCATGCGGGGGCACCGTTGGCGGTGTTCAGCCGGACCACCAGCTCATTCTTGCGTACTCTCGTAAGCAATTTGCTTGTCTGCATTCGGCATCTCTCTATGTGAAGATTAAGAAATCTCAGGGTTGATGCGGCTTCCTCAACCACCCTTCGGATGGCACCGGTCCTTCACTGTACCCGCAAAACCCTTCTCCGCACCGGCGTTCCGTAATCAGCTATCTACTGATCAATAAACTAACTGGACTAATGGAGAGACTTTGCTCTGTCAAAGCGCTATCATACTTTGCGTGCACGAGCACACAATCTCTGTCTCTCTCTGTCTCTCTCTGTCTCTCTCTCTCTAATGTGAGTGCATGAAGGAGGATAACGACAGAAAAACAATAGACTCCCTTTCTTTATCCATCGCCCAGGTCTAATTCTCTCTCATTGGTCTGCTCGTCATTCTCGTCTGTTTCCCGTTCCAGTTCGATTTATCTTAATGAAGAAAGAGACGCGCGGGCGCCGTGGTCGAGAGAGAGAGAGAGAGAGAAGCGGGTGATCAACCGGGCTCGGATCCTTTCTCTGTGGACGATCAACCTCGGAATTTCTTCGAGATGGATTAAAGTATGTCTGTCGTGAGATGTAGGAGGTTCATGGTCCGATGAGCTTCCCAACTAGCAGACTACGACTGGCCACCCGTCCCCTACGGTTGGGCGAGACGGCGCTCGGGAACACGACGGACAGGGAAGACCAGACCAGCGCTGACCTCGCTTTTCATTGGCTGACGGGGAAGCACATCAACGGATAATCAATTCCAGGAGGAATAAACATATAATCGATAGACGGTTTTTTAATCTCGTTCTCATATGATCTTCGAAGATAATATCTCTTGAGATCTAAATCTTGGGACGTCCGCCATAATCCAAAGAAGAGGGTCTTGGGTCTCCTTTACAGCAGGGCCCGGTCGCCTTCCGGGGCTGCAAACATTACAGACGTAATCACCATCTTAAACCAGCGGATTGTTTATGCAGCAAACGTGTCCGAGGAAGTCATGGCGCGCGGGCGGCGGTGGCCATTGGCTCCGGCCGACCAACCGTAGCCTGCCGCCTGCCCGAATCGGGCGGCGTCGCCTAGCCGAAGCATAGTAGAGTCGTCGTGACGGCCGCGCGCAGACGGACAGACTGGGTTAGGTTTGCTTCTGGGATTTTATCCAGTTCTCACAGCGGACCGGCGCCGGCGCCCGCTGTGCGGCGTCATGTCTGGACCCCGACAGCGGGGCGGCGTATACACACATGGCCTCCAGAGACCGTTGGGGGGCCGCAGCAGAATCCGAGTCCCATCATCCATCTGCTGGAATCGAATGTGCGGCGGGTCGTTGGGGGCGCCGCCCACCTTCTCGGCCATCCCATAATCGGAACCCTCCCCATTCTCGTGTTGTCCCTGAGGTTTTGAAAAGTGAGGAGTGGGAGCAGCCTACCCCTCTGCAGAGTTTGTTAGTTCTGTCTGATCAGAGGAAGAAGAAGAAGAAGAAGAAGAAGAAGAAGAAGAAGAAGAAGAAGAAGAAGAAGAAGAAGAAGCGGCGACCAGCAGTTTGTATTAAATATACAAAAAGCCAAGTCCATGGGCTTTCCGGAGGGTCGCTGATTTCATTTTTTAGTTGTAAGGGCGGTGGAAGGAAGAAGGAGAGACAATCTCTCTGGCCTAACGCTCATTATTTTATCCTTAGTCTCATTAACCTCGCTCTCAGTCGCCGTTCTATCTCCCCCTGTTGACGCTTCTGCAAATGTTTCTCTAAAACGGACCCTACGACTGACTGTTCTCCGTCATAAAACATTCCTCGCCCCCAGTTGAATCGGTCTGACTAAAACTCTGTTCTCCCCCGGCGTGCCTCCGGCTTCCACAACGTCGGCGTCTTCCCCAGGAAACAGTCGGAAGGACAGAGATGCCAACAGCAATGGGGTGCAAACACGACGAATTAAAGCCCTTCGCAGTAGAGGAACAACTGCCCGGCGTCGACTACTGCATCAACAGCCCTCCTCCGTGGAGTGAGTTCCTTCTCTTGCTGCTTCATGAACATCGTCCTGACAGGCACCGTGCAAAGTATGCTTCGGTTCTGTTGTAGATTCTGAAGCTCCCTGGTCGACTGCTGTGCTCACGTTCTTTTCTCCCTATAATCTAAAGTTTCCTCCTGCCCTCCATTTACCTCTCAGCATGCCTTTCTCGATCCACAGAGGCCTTCTCTAAGATCTCTCATTTCCTGCCCTTCTCCTCTCTATTCCTATCTCCTCGGTTGTAGGGGAGGCGATCCTTCTCGGTTTCCAGAACTACGTGGTCTCTCTGGGTACCATTGTCCTCGTTGCCAACATTCTCGTCCGGCAGATAGGCGGCAGACAAGTGAGTATGCGATGCTCTGTTCTTCATCAACCTATTTTTGCGAATGGGACGCTGGTTCCCTGGATTTCTGACTTAATTCGTACCAAGGATCGGTAAACTGACTGAGAAGACGAGAAAATCTTCTTTCCAGGAGGAGAAAGCCAAGCTCATCCAGACTATGGTCTTCGTCTCCGGTATCAACACGCTGCTGCAGGTCAACTTCGGCACCCGGCTCCCAGTGGTGATCGGTCGCTCCCAGACGTTCATCCTCCCCACTCTCTCCATCATATTCAGTCAGCGGTGCAGCGACATTCTGGACCCGCATGAGGTCACCCTCTTCGTCCTATCTTACAAATTTTCCCCTCTCAATTCCGATCATCTGCTTCAGGCTTTCCTCCATTTACAAAGACAGAAGTGCATTGATTCTTATTGGATCAGAGGCTCAGGCAGACGATGATTTCTGTCATCTTACTAATTCCTCAGACTTTCCTCATATCCATCTCTCTGTAATCTCTTCCTACTTCGCTTCCACGCTTAACGAAAGTGCATGCTGGATTTTTATTTGATCAGAGGTTCATACACAGCATGAGGGCCATACAGGGGGCTCTGATCATCGCCTCGAGCCTTCAGATCAGTTTCGGATTCTTGGGGATATGGGGTGTCGTCGTGAGGTGGGTATCTTTCCTTCCAGTTCTGTTGATCCAGCAGTCGTTTCTAATAAACTTATCTTTCGATTTCTCATTTTGCTGCCACCATGCTCAACGCATCTCCCTCGCCACGGTCGACCAGGTACCTCAGTCCGCTCGCCGCAGTGACTCTCGTCACACTTGCCGGCCTCGGGCGTTTCTACGTCGGCTTCCCCGTCGTACGAGCCAGTTCTACCATAGGAAATCATGTCCTCCATGGCTTGATTTCCTTAAAACCTTCTTTTGCTTGCCTTCTCGGGGTGAACTCTTTTCCTGCTCGTGATCATCGTCTTCCTTGAACACAGGCGGCCAAGTGCGTTGAGATTGGTCTTCCAGCGATCGTCCTCCTGGTATTCTTATCACAGGTATCTTCTGCCGCAGCGCGCTTTCTCTCGGGTCTCTCCGAAGAGCTTGGATCAATTTGACCTCCAACATGATGTACTGACGCGGAGAAATCTGCAGTATGTTCCCAGTGCGTTGAACAGAAGGAGAGTCATTTTCGATCGGTTTGCCTTGACGATCACCGTGGTGATCGTATGGGTTTATGCGTTTTTCCTGACTGTTGCGGGTGCGTACAAGCACGCGAAACCCTCCACCCAGTTCAGCTGTCGCGCAGATAGAGCTGACCTGATTGGCGCTTCTCCCTGGTAAGCATATCTGTTCTTGTTACCGAGATCTCCTCAAACACTTTCCGAATTTGATCCGGCAAGTCGATCTTTCTGAAATTTCAAACGAGGAATATACTAATTCATATCCGTATGATTTCCATTTGAAGAAGAGACGGTAATCAAAATTATTTGGATTGAGCAGATGAACACGTAAATGGCAGGAATTTCCGTGGCATGATATTTTCTTTCATTGCTGTCTTTGGTTTTGCAGGATTAGAGTTCCTTACCCGCTTCAGTGGGGAAGACCCACCTTCAACGCCGGTGAAGGCTTTGCGATGATGGTCGCCTCTCTGGTTGCTCTCGTTGAGGTCCGTTCCATTTTCTACCGCTCCTTTTATCGGTCGATGCGCATTTTCTACCGCTGGGTGTTTCTATTGAGTCATCTTCTCCTCAGAGATGATGATTCTGCAACTTTGACGAGTTCTTCGAGTTCTGGTTCCAAAATAAATCAAATAAGAAGACCGAGTGTTATTGTCTCCACCTGACTTCCTCGTCTCCCATGGCAGTCTACAGGCTCTCAAATCGCCGCACAAAGATTCGCGAGTTCAACGCCCGTTCCGCCGTCCGTATTCAGTCGGGGTGTTGGGTGGCAGGTCAACATGCCCTCTGATCTAGATCAGATACGATGATTTGTCGTAATATCGTCTGCCTCAATCTCTTTTATTTCGACATCTTACAGGGAATAGGTATCTTACTAGATGGGCTCTTCGGTACTGCAAATGGGTCAACTGTATCAGTGTAAGCTCGGCTTCCTCGGCCTGAAGACAAAACTTCATCAAAACTCACAGTACATTATGTAACCTCCTCCTGTTCTACCTGGGCAGGGAGAACGCTGGCCTCCTGGGGTTGACTAAAGTAGGAAGCAGAAGGGCCATCGAAATATCTGCTTGTTTCATGCTCTTCTTCTCCGTCCTTGGTAAAGAACCTACTTTATTACATTTCCAAGGTCAACGCTCATTTATCCTCGTTCTCTCTCACCTCTTCTTTGCAACAAAAACCAGGAAAATTTGGCGCGATCCTCGCGTCAATTCCATTGCCTATATTTGCCAGCCTGTACTGCATCCTGTTTCCCTACGTGGGTGGGTACCTCTCCGAAGCTCCCCCTTTCTCCAGGCTTACCTGTTGAACTCTCTCTGATGAATCATACTTCTGTTAACATATCAAAAATCTGACCATTCTCGTTGAATTCGGATAATCCTTCTCTGCCCTAACTTGTCGGAATTGCTGAATTAATATAAGAACGTGTTGGGTGCGGGCAGCTTCAGCAGGGGTAGGGCTCCTGCAGTTCTGCAGCGTCAACAGCTTCCGCACCAAATTCATTCTGGGCTTCTCCCTGTTCCTCGGCACGTCGGTGGCGCAGTATTTCAGGGAGTACTCCCTCGTCGCCGGGCACGGCCCCGCTAACACTGGCTCCAGAGCGGTGCGCATGTTGACTACATGAAAACTCGATCCATCCGTCCTCTCTCTCACTCTCCCATCTTCCTCTCTGGTGCAGTTCAACGACATCGTAAACGTGGTCTTCTCGTCGCCGGTGATGGTGGGGTCTGTGGTGGCTTACTCCCTGGACAGCATCGTCATGCGAGGGGACGCTCAGGTCCAGCGAGAAAGAGGATGGCAATGGTGGGAGAAGTTCCGGACCTTCGATGGAGACTGTAGGAGCGCGGAGTTCTACTCCCTGCCCTACAACCTCAGCAAGTACTTCCCATCGTACTAAAAAGACATCTAGGAGTTCATCAACTGGTCCTCGCTCTTGCAATGGGGATTGCGTTGCGTCGCCGGCGGCTGCCGGAGCCGGAGGTGGGGGTTCACCGTCTGCCCTTCTCAATCTTTCTCCGGGGGGGTGAACTGTGATTCCGCAGACTGTTTGGTATTGGAGCTCTGCTTTATCTTCGGTATCCTGTTGTGTGACAAAGGGTGGTAGCAATGTGCAGGTAACAGCTCTGTTCTTCTGTTCTTCGTTCTCCCCTCTCCGGACACCTGAGAGCTTACTCTTCTTGCTATCAACAGTTAAACATGCTTTGATTGTGCGTGATAATCCCAAAATTATACGCAAAATCTAACCACATATTCACCGTAATCTTTATTTTCGCTAAAATAAAATAAAAACTCTTTATTTTCCTTCTGCTGATGCTCTGTGCCGACTCGAGCTCGTTGCGTTGAAACCTTCTGCAATCTTGGAGAGGAGTTCTACCCCTTTTCCGCCATTCGATTAACGCCGAAGGGAAAGGTCGACACTCGGCTGATACGTCTGGATTTCGACCGCTGCCCCTTCCTGATCTTCTCCAGGATGCAGCGGCCGTCTCTGTCATGGCCGGCCGGCGAGATGTGCGAACCCGCGCCGGCCGGCTACCTCTGAAGAAGAGACTACCGACTCCCCGTCGCCGTCTGAAGAGAAGCATATCATCGTCGCCACCATAAGAGATGAAGACCAGACTCCACATCCATGTCGGTAGGAAACGGAACGGTTACTTTCGCCGGAAACATCCCTCCTCCAACTCTTCCCGCGGCGCACGTAAGGCGGAAACGCGTGATTCCGGCCGTCGGCGGCGCCGTCCGCCTGGAACGAGACGTTGCGTCGGGCCTCGGCAAGCCGGGAGGGGGATTATCTCTTCCGACCTGCCTCCACTCTCGAACGCGCCGCAATGCGCGGCCTAATTTCAGTTGGGGTTGCACTTGGGGTCAAACGAGTGTGGGCTGCACCCAGATGTTTGACGCACGCGTTGACTCGTCCGAGGGCTCTCCGGCCCGGTTCTTCTTATCCGTTCCGTTGCCCAACCTCTGTGGCTGTGGGGATCCTCCTGCCTATAAACCACCGACACAATCTCAGAAGGGCGCTCAAGAGGTACTGCTGCCTTTCGCTTCCCCTCTCCTCAGAAACGGGCTCACCTCTAGTGGCAGAGCGTTAGGAACGGGCGGTACGTTGGTCTTTAGAGCCTTCAAAGAAAGGCACGCTGCTCTCTCTGTGTACAACCCCTTTTTCTCTCCGGTGCTGGCCACCTCGCTTCGCCGTGCATCTCATTCACCCGCGGCAGCAGAGGCAGAGGCCGATCCGTGTGACACTTTGAAGAGGTGATGGGGAACTGCCAGGCGGCGGAAGCGGCGACGGTGTTGATACAGCACCCGGGTGGGAAGGTGCAGAGGATGTACTGGGCGGTCGCCGCCAGCGAGGTGATGAGTGCTAACCCGGGGCACTACGTCGCAGTGATGTTGACCGCCCCACCCCCCGCAGCAGCCGCCGGGAACGGGCCGTCTACGACGGTGAGGCACCTGAAGCTGCTTCGCCCCGACGACACCCTCCGCGTCGGTCACGTCTACGGTCTCATCAGCTTCGAGGGTCCTCACTTTGCCCCACGCCGTAGTTAATCACCCGCTGGTTGATGTTCCTGAGTCGCTTGTTTCTGGACCCTGACGTCGTCGCTGGTTTCCATTTTCTCAGAGGTGTTGAAGGAACTCGCTTCCAAGAATCACGCGAAGTTGAGCAAGCTACGTCTGGCGCAGCAGCAGGGGCAGGAGAAGATGAAGGAGAAGGATATGGAGAAGACGACGGGCCGCGGCCGTGGGAGACGACGCGTTCCTTTCTCCTCAGAAAGGGGAGAACGAAGCTGGCGTTCCCCGCAGTCAGATGGATTCCCGGCTCCGGTAAGCGCTCGTGAGAGTCCGACCAGGCATACCCCTCTCCCCCTCAGAGTCCGACCGTCCACGCTGCGCTGGTTACGTCCCGTAAAATCTGCATTGCTTTACGGGATATCGTAGCTTCCCACTGCTCATTTTGTCGCTCGTAACGCCAACTTCGTTCTCCCGTTTCGGCTATTTTAAAAGTATGGAAATTGGAAGATTTGTTTATTCGTTCGTTTTCTTCCCTCCTGAATTCTGCTTCTCCGCGCCTGGTCTTCCATTCTGCCAGTTCTAATACTGCCATGAATGTCATTCTTTCCTCGCCGGAGCAGCCGTCGAGGCAGTCAGATGGCCAATCGCCGTTCTCTTTTCGGGTTGCGTGTTCTACAGCGTATTACGTGGATTCCTCTGACCTTTCTTCTTGCAGGCGGAGCAGCAGCCGCGGCGGCAGCAGCCGGAGGAAGACGATGCGCACGCCGATACGATGGCTGGTGGGAGCATCACTGCCGGCTACGGCAGCAGCAGGTTTGGAGGTGCCCCCACGAGGCACGGGCATTGGAGGCCATCTCTGCAGAGCATCGCAGAGGTCGGAGGGATGTGAACGGCGGCGTCCCACCGCTGACCCATCATCACCACCTCCACCCTGTGACGTTCTTTACTGCAACTCGTCATATAAATTCTGGAAAAGTATGAGCGAAATCGACTCCCTCCTGTGAAAGCCTGTATCGCCGTTCATGATCAGACGGATCCCCTCCCTCATACTATCGCATGCCGATTTCCGAGCGTCCACTTTCTGCTGCCGGTGCGGTGCAGCCGAGACGGGCGTCATCATCGCCACCGCCTCCCGCGTGACGCGCTCCACTCACGGCGGTGCGCCCACTACGGCCCGGTCGGTATTCCACCGCGCGCCCGGAAAAGAAATTGCGCCGTCGGCCTGCCTGCCGTCCTTCGGCCCCTCCAACTCCGCGCAGACGGCGCCGCCGTCCGGCTCCCCCGCCTCTTCGTTGTCGTTGACCTCCACCGGACGAAGAGGACGAGAAGGGAAAGCATCATGCCTCATGCGCAACACACGAACATCGTCTGGTCGTTATCATCAGTATCATTAGGGCAGACAATTAGTCGACAAATATCGCTGCCGATATTTTCAGAATAATGCCCGCTTCATAATTTGGATATTCAAGTACCCGGATTTTTTTTTTCGTTCGGGTTCCCACATGAATCAAATAATTTCAATAATCTCGAATTTTAGCCCTCGTCAGACTCGAAAAAGCCCTGTTCTTGACTAGAGATCTGACTAGTCGCGTGAGGCATCAGGTCGAAGTTGGTCGACGCGCACCGGTTCAGATACGAAGAGCGACGCGATCAGCTGCAGAGAAATTAATCTCACGAACCCGGTCGGGAAGGGATGCAACAGCAGCATCTGTTGCAGCTATCAAGGTGATGAAGCCGCCGTCGCCGGCTTTATCCAGGGGCGAGCTGGTGGCTGCCGCTGTAGGTGTCTCTCTTACTTGTTTCAGGCGCAGGAACCAGAAGGCCCTCCCGCCCTTTTCAACTTTGAAATCGAATCCTCTCTAATAGGGAGTTATGCAGATCGGGGAAGTTCCCTTCCCCTTCTCGCCGCGGCTTCTGCGATGGATTCTCCTCCTGTTGATAGCGTTTCCGCCGATCCTTGTTTCTTGCGACGAAATCGCGGGTAGGGCACCAAGTGAATTCCTCAGAGCACAGAAATCCCAAGATTTCAGCCCGTCACTCCTCGGTATCTCTGGTTGTTGTTCTTTAACATTCCCCTATTATTCGTGCGGTGGCGCAGTTGGTTTGCCCCCTGGGAAGCTCCAGCTTCCTCCTGGTGAGCCGGTGGAGGGATCCCCTGGTGCCAAGCCTGGCGCTGTCATGGCCTGTAACAGAGTCCACATCCGTGGGGTCTTGAGGCTACGCCATCCGAACCTGTTCTTCCACTCGCTGAAGGTGAAAGTGAATCTTATCCTCCCGCCAGATCGTGGCTCTCGGATTCCCACCGTCGAGGTCTGTTTCCACAGGTAAAAGCGTTGCGAAACCTTGTGCAGATACCTTGTCGCGGAAGGCCTCGACTTTACCTTACTGGGTTACTTTCTCCTTCGTCTTCGCTTCCTCGTAGGAATGCATCAAGAGGTGTGGGCATGTGCCCTCCAGGCGAATGGCGTAAACTCTCAAAGGGATCCTGGCTGCAAAATACCTCACCTTTCAGCGACAAGATTCTCGATGTGCGGATGCATCCTGGTCGACCCTCCGCTGTCGTCGAAGTTTCCACTGAAGGAGGTAACGCCTTGGGCTCAAGTGAAAAGGGGACATCAGCTGATCTTTAGTTGTCACAATCCTTGACCTTGGAGTCTTTTCTTCGCAGAGTTCATGCCGCATCGAATGGTGCTTCTGATCCTTGGAATTGTTCTGATGGCGTTTGCTCGTATGCTGAGCGAGTCAGTTGTTTTCTACTACGGCGGTGCAATGGCGGTTGGTGTCATCCTCGTGTTTTTAATGGTCCTCTTCCAGGTAATGCATTATTTTTCACCCGTGTCGACATTTTTTAAAATGTTTCTTCTTTAATTTTCAGATTCCTGTTTACTATCATCGACCAATAAAGTACCTGTGGTTTGACCGTATTATGCTAGCAAGGATTGCCTTTACTAATTCGAATTGGGGGTGACATCAAATCGGTCAAATCCTATTCCAAAGATATGAGGTTCAGAACAATTGGAACTTTGTGATGATTGGTTACTACACGATGAACTCCAAGAAGAAAACGGTGACGAATATAGGGTTAGTGCCAATCAATAAACTGGACACCATTGTAAATATATCTACGAGTTATAAATCCAAGTATTCAGATTATATCAACCTTGTGGGTTCCTTTATGAATTGTTTTCAGTTGTACCAGCTCTTATGAAAGTTAGATCAGAGGTAGATACTGTAATTCTATGGATATGCTAACAACCTCTTTGCACATTTATATCTGTGGATGCTGATGTTTCTATAGAAACTGCTGATCTGCTGCATGAATTTCCAGGCAAATTTGCTTTTTAACTTGCATCACTTGGCCGCCTATTGCTGATCTCTCTGTTTCAGTTATTAATTTTCTTTTGATGTCGTTATTTCTGATTATTAATTAGTAGTGACGTGTCACAATTCATCTTATATTTTGAGATGGCCAAGCATGGGACGATGTTCCTCACTGCTTTTTTATGTTTCTTTTTTGATAAACTTTGAAGGAGTTTTAAGCGTCATTTATGTCCAGATCTATATATCTCAATCAATATCTTTCCATACAATATACAACTTGAGAAAGTATTTATATCAAGCCCTTTCCTCTAAATTAAAACCTCAACCTCTATTTTGCATTTTAGTTTCACGATTCTATGTGCATCACTCATGTACTTGTATAATGTTCCTCATTAATGACGATTTACAGGGCATGAAGCTCTTGCCGACAGGTCGAAAGGGCTCAGTGGCAATCTTTTTGTATTCGTCAATCGTAAGCTCCTGCGTTCACAGCTTGATATCAGTTTCTGGTACGCATTTTTCTTTCAGCTGTTGATTGCATGTTGCTTCCCCTAACAGGTTGGAGTGGCAACTTTTCTTCTTCACTACCTTTCTGGATTACTGCGTTCAGCACTGATGGAGATGGGTATCAGTGAAGATATTCACAAACCTGTATGTAAGTTCCATTTTTTTTCTTCCCGTCGTCCTATAGCATTCATGTCTGTACATATGTTTTGACCGTACTAACGTGATTACTTTTTAGTTGAGATTAGTTATTTTCCATGTTTTCTTTAAGGTTAGAAACATGGGTATCAGTGAAGTTTCTGATCTTGTAATTTCTTCTTTAATTCATAAAGTTCTTTCACTTTTTTTTTTTCCAGGAAACGAAACAGAAACAAATCTCATTCAGATATGCTATTTTGATGCACCACTACTTGTTCTTGCATTTTCTTCACTTCTTTTATAATAAAATGATGGATTAAAGTTGTGCCATTCTACTATGATGAGTTTCACTGGTGAAAATCCATCATTTAGATAGGAGATAAGAAAGATACTGTGAAGGTGTGCATGTGAGGCCTAAGGATAGGGGAAAAATTCATTTAGATCTTTCATTTTCTTGGTCAATAATATGATGAAAAGAGCAATATTTTCAGAGATAATTAATATAGCGTGAAGGTAGATGCCTCTCACGGAGGGTGAAATTAAGAGCTCCTTGAGCTTTTAGGTTTGAAGGGAACTTGCGTGAGGCTAGTTCCATTGGGATGCCTGAATTTAGGAGCTGACGTACTGTCCGCGCAAGAATATTCATATTAGCGCATATTTTCATCGGGTTCATCTGAGGAGAAGACATATGGGAAATCTTGGCCGACTTAAACTACGTTTATGACGCGTGAGTCATGGGGCATCCGGTTCTTGATGATTCCGCAAGGGCAGTAGATGTAAGTCTGCTGGTGCATGTGGCTCAGTTCGTCCTTTTTTGCAGCTGGGGGTTTTCTTTCTGTTGTGCCTCTTCCTTGCTGGGGCGTGGCTGGGCTTTTGGAGCGTTCGAAAGCTTGTTTTGGATGAATCGGGTTCTGTTGACCAAGGTATAGCATATTTTGTCGAGTGGTCGTTGCTGATTTTTGCTGCTGCGATGATTCTTCAGGTACTTCTGATTCCTTCCCGACCTTTGTGCTACTTTGACACTTTTCTTACATATCTCTGCCTTTTGTCCAGTATTAGCTCTTCTCCTTTGTTGATCTTCTTTCCCTTTAGGTTTTGACGACCGGAGATTTTCTTGTCTTTTCAGAGCTCTATCGACACACTTTTGGCTACAGAAGCACTTCTTTTGGATATAACTGTGACATTGAGTATGAGATCGAGGAGAAAACTGAGATTCCTACGGCGTCTGTACCGGTAAATTTCCTCCTCGGTCTCGGAGTCATAACCTTATCAGATGGTTTCGGGATATTTTTATTTTTATTTACAGTGCGGGGCACCTTATGAATGGGAATTCTCGACCATGATATTTATCTGATAGTGTTTCCATCCCATTTATTCCAACTTTGTTCTTGGTTCTTGGTTCTTGGTTCTTCTGGGGTATACTTCGATCAGCGCGCGCTGGAGCTTTTTCTTTATGTATCTCTGTTAGTCACAGGAAGAACCCGTTTCTACTGCGGTCTGTTTGCACTCCTGATTTCTCTGCTCTCCCGTCGTCCCTGTTGAGGTCAACTACTGACTGAATGATGTCTTGCAGGCGAATAAGTGGGCTTTTTTGTAGAACTCAAGATAAGAGCTCACCGTACAAAAATTTACCCGCGCATGGCGCTCCCTGGACTCCCAAGCAATCCCCTGCTTCTCAGGCAAAATCTCCTGCATCGCCTTTGTGCAGAACAGATGCCACAGGTCTGTGGGATCAAACTTCGTCGAGCTTCTCTCTTCTTTCATTAGCTTTTATTAAGGTTCATGACTCAGGCTTGACAACCAAACCAGCACCACAAGAGCCGCTCAAAGGGCAGACGTATTATTCTACCTTTCATGTCACACCCGAGAGGAAGAAGTTCTCCAAGGAAGAGTGGAAGGCTTTCACCAGAGATTCTACCAGAAGGGCCATGGAGGAGCTATCGACTTCCCCCGACTTTGCCCGTTGGGTAGCAAACAATGCCGAAAGGATCACCGTGAATCCCATCGCTGACGGTACAAAGGAACGTGGACGATTTCACTGGTTTTAGGTGGGCTAATGCTCAGAGAATCCTCCTGCTAGTTGTGTTCACATCTTCTCTCTGGAGGAAGCAGAGCTCGTGCAGAAGTTGAAGATCAGGCGTCGCTGATCTTCTGCGCTTAGACTCGCTTTTGCATCTTACGTTAGTAATTTCATGAGGCTAGATACGTTTATTCTTCCCCGACTTTTGCTTCTCTGCGGACAGACAAGGCTATCAAGCGCGAGCCTGCTGAAACCAGCTCTGCAGTTCAGTGGCTGATAAATTTTATTTCTTTGGATCTAGCGTTTGGGGAGCATACCTATTTCGGCTTTTATCTCTTCCAAGTTCTTTTAGCTACAATTCTTGCAAAATCTAATTCAATGTCTGATTCGTTGCTGAGCTTCGAAAGAAAACTCACTCTCCTAACGGATTCATAACGCGGCTCGACATCAAAATCTGGAGCAACTTCGGTGCAAACCCCTGCAGTTTGACTCCAGAGAGAGAGAGAGAGCGAGCGAGAGAAAGAGAGAGAGAGAGAGAGAGAGAAAGCTGATATTCGACAGCTACATTGTCTTTGTCGCCACGTTAGCATCAATAATGGCGGGACGCAATATCAGCTGTTCTGAGGTGGAAATGTTCGTCTTCACGGGTGTTGTAGAGCCGCCGATGCTTTGCCGTGGAAAAGTCGGGGATGAATATCCCATTTTCTTTTGTTTTTAATGGCGTATAAGTTAACAGTAACTCCAATATATGCATACATATTCTTGTTTATTGGATCTGTGTGCTGTCCCACAGACTTTGACTTTCACTAAAGATGAATTCGGAGCTCCGGGTCAGTTTTAGGGTTTCGACCCCGTGTTCTAACTGGTTAGATCCCGTCCTGTATAATTAGTTGTGTACGATCGCCATGATTAAAGCTGTTTGAGATGATTTTCCGAGGACTATGAACCTAATGGTTCGAGAACCGGGCAAAAATCAAGCTTTGTTTTTTGAATTTATTTTCTACCTAAGGTTAAAAAAGAAAAATAAAAATCGGAATGAACCTTTGACTAAAATTTAAAACAGTCGATACGTTACGGTGCGGAATTGGCCACCATCTATTAATATCATTTTTATCCAACTGTTGACATCTAGAACCTTATTCGGCCTTCGATCCACTGATCTCATCTCTTACTTTAATCGGTCGTAGAAGGCTGCGAGTGATCTAAACCATGTCTATTTCGTATTCTCTCCCATTTAATGTTTTCCACGCAGCTCCCAACCTCCACCATATAAACCGCACGCGCTTCTGACGCGACGAAGATCAAGACCGCGCATCATCCAATGAAGCTTCGTGCAGGTAGAGCATATTAAGCCGGTGAAGCCGTTGCAGCTGCCTTCCGCGTGCCTTCTCTGGAAGTCGTCGTCTCCTTCCTCCTTTCTCCCCCTTTCCCCCGCGAAGAACGCCATGAGCTACTACCATCAGCAGCAGCCTCCCGTCGGAGTTCCTCCGCCGCAAGGTTGGTCCTGCTTCTCGTGATCTCCGTCTGGCATCTTCAGACTTTCGGCCCTCGTGTCTGACGGGAAGCCTTGTTTTCTCTTCTTCCGTCGTCGACGTGAAACCAGGATATCCTGCTGAGGCGTACCCCAAGGACGCCTACCCGCCGGCGGGTTATCCCCCCCAGGGGTACCCTCCGCCGGGGGGTTACCCGCCGGCGGGTTACCCTGGAGGGGGTTACCCTGGAGGGGGTTACCCGCCGCCGCAGTATGTCCAGCAGCCTCCAAAGAAAAGCAGCGGCCCATCTTTCCTTGAAGGATGGTAACGATCTCTCTCTCTCAACATCTCCCCTGGATTATGAAGAACGTCTCCCATCTGACGGCGTGGCTATTACTCGTTGACGTGCAGTTTGGCCGCCCTGTGTTGTTGCTGCCTATTAGACGCCGTCTTCTGACGCGGTGATGAGGCCGATCGCCATATTCCTGGACTTCCACCGGAGAGGGGGGGTTCAGGCTGAGGTTGTTGACTTCTTTATTTCTTGTGATTAGAACTCGTTCTACTCGCTTGAGGTTTGCTTCTCGTGGAGATTGTATTTGGCATGGATAGTACTCATTTCCTTCGAGCCTTCTTCACGGATCTGCTTAAGCCGACTTTCATCCGTTGGATGCCATCGTATCGGTTCAGAGAGAGAGAGAGAGGGAGAGAGAGGTTGATCTACAGAATAAATTAGGACAAATTCTTCTTGAATGAACTCAATGTAACCCGCTAAGAAGCCTCGCCGCACAAACCTATAGAAAGTACATGCCCAAAAATAAACACGGACTTGTACCTAAAGTGGTACTACTCAACGCTTAAAAGCTGATCATCGTACAAATAAAGTAGAAAGCTTTGAGCTCGCTGCTATTAAAAGAATAATGAAACGATTCCAAATAAAAGAAAGCTAACACCGTCATTGTATTCAAAATCAAATGGAAACACTTAGAAAACTTTGACGGTCTACCTATTAATAAAAATCACAGGTACCATGTGGGACGATTAACGGGATTTACGAAAGCTTCATTATCGGAAGGCCCAAAATAAGAACAAATCTTGCAGAAATACTAAATAATGCAACCATTCTGTCGGGCCCTTGAACCAATGGGCCGGCCTGTTTCTTCTAAAGGTCGGACGATTTTTCTCATGGTAGGTAAATCCATCACTCGAGCCATCCGAGGTTCTCCATGTACAACAGTGAGAAAAAGGAAATTTTACTGACAAAGAGGTCGAACACATTTGACGAGTGGAAGTGAAGAATGCATGTAAAAAAGCTATGTAAGGCTGCTCAGTTTGAAAAACCCTTATAGTTTTCAAGAGAAACTGAAACCATCAAGGGGGACGACGGGTTGAGACCTCATGAAAAACTTCATACCACGCCAATCATTCAGCCTGCTCAGTTTTACATTGCGATGAGGTGAGATGGTCGAAGGAAATAATGAAGGCATGACCAAGACCCAAGTCCCCAGACCCGATAACCTTATGCCAATTAATCACATGCCAGCATCCCACACGTTCATTAAGTTCTGTTTTATGGTCCTAGTCTCAAACATTCTAATAATCTTCATATTCATGAATGTTTTATAAAAATTATGAGCTCGTATAAAATGTAGTAGGGTGCAGATAATTATGATAGCCTTACAAACAAGTTGATGTTGTTGAGATGGATGTCTGTCATCTAAGTTTAGGTGAATGTGTGTAGATAGTCGAGCAATTAATAAAATTATAGTGAAATACAGATTTCTAATTCTAAGACTAGATGATATGCTTGACATGCTGTGTGGTGTTCCAGAATCTTCTCCAAAATTGATCTTAAAAGTGGGTATCATCAAATTTGAATTTATCTTAGTGATGAATGGAAGTCTACTTTTAAGATGAAAGTATGATTATATGAATGGTTAGTTATGTCATTTGGCTTATCTAATGCTCCAAGTACCTTTATGTGAATGATGAATCAAGTATTGAAGCCTTTCATTAGAACATTTGTTTTTGTCTATTTTAACAATATTTTGATATATAGTATCATAGAAGAAGAACATCATCATCATTTGAGATCTATATTAACTATTTTACAACAAAATAAGTTATTTATCAACTTGAAGAAATGTAAATTTCTCACTTCAAGTTTAGTTTTTTTGGGATATATTGTAAGTACAAATGGCATCAAAGTAGATGAAGAAAAGGTTGAATCTATTAAAGACTGGCCAATTTTAAAGAATATACATGATGTTTGTAGTTTTCATAGCTTTGCATTCTTCTATAGAAGATTTATTCAAAATTTCAATTTAGTTATGGCTCCCATCACTGTGCATGAAAAGAAGAAACTTTTAGTGGACAAATTCAATAGACATAAGTTTTATTCTAATTAAAAAAAATTAAGTTCTGTCCCTATATTAGTACTATCAAATTTTGATAAATTATTTGAAGTAGAATGTGATGTCTCAATTATTGGAATTGGAATTGTATTATCCCAAGAAAGTCGTCCATTAGCTTTATAGTGAGAAATTAATAGAAGTTAGAAAAAAGTGGACTACATATGAGTTAGAATTTTATGTTGTGGTTAGATCATTAGATACTTGGGAACATTACTTGATTCAACAAGAATTTATTTTATTTATTGACCATCAAGCTTTGAAATCAGTCAATAGGCAAATTTTTAACAACATAATGGATGCTAGATAGATTTTATTTATTCAAAAGTTTTTTTTTGTGATAAAGCACAAATTAGAAAAATCAAACAAAGTGGTTGATGCACTGAGCTGAAAATCAACATTTTTTTATTACAATGAGAGGAGAAGTTAGTGGTTTTAAATATTTAATAGAACTCTATGCAAGAGATGAAGATTTTGCTGAAATATGATATATGTGTAAACAAGGCAAACTATTTAAAGGATTTCACATTTTTGAAGATTACTTATTTTGAGAAAATCAATTATGTATCCCTCAAACTTCTTTGTGTGAGAAGTTAATTCGAGAATTATATGCAAGATGACTTGGGGGACACTTAGGCCGTGACAAGACTTGAAAATGATGGAGGAACGATAGTATCAATCACAACTTAAAAAAGAAGTTGAAAGTTTTGTGCAAAGATGTCAAATTTGTCAGGCTAATAAAGGACAGTGCTAGAACCAAGTTTGTACATTCCACTAACCATTCTAGATAAAGTATGGATTGACATTTCTATGGATTTTATTTTGGGATTACCATGTACCCAAAGAGGAGCAAATTCTATTTTTGTGGTTGTGGATAAATTTTCAAAGATAACACATTTTATTTCATGTAAAAAAAACTAATGATGTCATTCAAGTAGCAAATTTATTTTTCAAGGAAATAGTTCGTTTGCATGGAATGCCTAAGACTATTACATTTGATAGACACTCAAAATTTCTATCTCATTTTTGACATACTCTTTGGAACAGATTTGACTCATGCCTAACATTCAATATTACGAGTCATCCACCAATTGATGGTCAAACAAAGTGATTAACAAAACACTTAGTAATTTAATCCGTTGTATTTCAAGAAACAAATCAAGACAATGAGATCTTGTCTTAGCTCAAGAAGAATTCACATACAATTCTATGGTAAATCGGTCTAGAAATTACTCTCTATTTTCTATGTCTATTATTTTTCACCAAATGTTTCTCTTGACTGGATTGAAGTACCAAGAAAACCTATTACTAGTGTAGCAGCAAATAACATGGTAGAATATATCCAAACAATACATGAGAATGTGAAAAAGCATCTTACAACCAATTATGCAAACTATAAGAAAAAGGTAGACAGTAAAAGAAGAAAGAAGATCTTGAAGTTGGTGATTTGGTTATGATATACTTGAGAAAAGAACGATTGCCAACAAGAAATTATCACAAACTCAGTCCATAGAAGTATGGTCCATTTAAAGTCCTTCAAAAGATTAATGACAATGCATATGTCATTGACTTGCTAAAGACAATGAGAATATCATCTACATTTAATATTATGGATATCTATGCGTATTATCCAGAGCAAGTTACAGACTTCGAGACGAGTTCTTTTCAAGAAGGGGAGACTGATGTAGCCCAAACACTGAACCCACTATTGAAGAAGCCCATTATTGTTGCAGTTTGAAGCCCACTTTACTTGATGCACCTTGAAGCCCATTATTGTTGCAGCTTCAACCCCACTTTAATTGACTAACCCAATTACAAAATTAGGCCTCATGATTGACTCGTTCGAGAGACGTGCAAGGAGCCTCTCTCGTCTAACTTACTCGGGAGATGTGTGAGGAGTGAGGGGTGGTGACATGGTTGTCATGTCACTCCATTTGACCCATTTGGGGGTCGTGTAAAGAGAGAGAGATGGTTGTCCTCTCATCCCTTTTGACCCATTTGGGGGCCATGTAGGGAGAGAAAGAGTGGGAAATGAGGGAGGTTGAAACCATCACTTTTAAGATGTGTGGGTTGGCCTACACATAAATCAAGATACCTCATTTTAGGAGATGATTATCTTTTCTTATGTTTTATAAATATGGCATATATTTATCTTTTTTTGAGAATGACAGGTGACAAATTTTCTCTCTCTCTTGATTCTGTTCTCTCTCTCTATCAAATCTTTATAGAAGAAGATAAGAGTCAATTGCTGACTCTCTAGTATGTGGGTTGTCTCGAAGGCATTGAGACGTAGACTAGAGGTGTCTAGTAGAAGTCTTATTTTCATCAAGATTTCTGATAGTTGATGATTTCTCTTCTATTTGTTCTCATTGATATCTAGAAATTAAGTTCTGTTGTTATTGACAATCTTGTGCTTGCATATTTATTGTCATATGAGATTTTTTTATTTTGTTAATAACTCTCTCTCTCTTTCTCTCTCTCTCTCTCTCTCTCTCTCAACTTCTCCCATGAAGAAACCTCTCCCCTCTCACGGTGTGGCTATTCTCGTTGACTTGTAATTTATCATGTTGTGAGCTCCTGGTAGACTGCTCCTACTGATGTGGTGATGGGGCCGATCGCCATATTCCTGGACTTCCATGCTGAGGTCCTTGATTTTTCTATTTCTTGTGATTAGAACTGAGTCTTCTACTCGGCTGGAGTTTGTTTCTTGTGGAAATTGTATTGGTCTTTGATAGGTACTCATGCTCTTGGAGTCTTCTCCACAGATCTGCGCTGGCGACTTCCCATTAATTGTCCCACATGGTACTTGTGTTTCCATTTGATTTTGAATACCATGATGGTGTTAGCTTTCTTTTATCTGGAATCGCTTCATTATTCATTTAATAGCAGCGAGCCGGCATCTGTTTATTATTATATTTAGCAAACTAATGATAGGTTGGTGTTATTTTCATCGGTTGTCGAAGACTACGAGTGTCGTAAGACTAGGTCTCCTTCGTATTCTCTCCCGCTTGAAGTTTTTGTCGTAGCTACCAACTCCGCAATCATTGACGATCCATGATTAGCCAATCTAACCCCGCAGCAACCGATGAAGCTTTGTGCAGGGTGAGTACTCATGCTCTTGGAGTCTTCTCCACAGATCTGCGCTGGCGACTTCCCATTAATTGTCCCACATGGTACTTGTGTTTCCATTTGATTTTGAATACCATGATGGTGTTAGCTTTCTTTTATCTGGAATCGCTTCATTATTCATTTAATAGCAGCGAGCCGGCATCTGTTTATTATTATATTTAGCAAACTAATGATAGGTTGGTGTTATTTTCATCGGTTGTCGAAGACTGCGAGTGTCGTAAGACTAGGTCTCCTTCGTATTCTCTCCCGCTTGAAGTTTTCGTCGTAGCTACCAACTCCGCAATCATTGACGATCCATGATTAGCCAATCTAACCCCGCAGCATCCGATGAAGCTTTGTGCAGGGTGAGTGCATTAGTCGGCGCCCGTGAGGCCGTCTTGCAGCTGCTTTCCGCGCGCCCTCGTCTGAGAGTCGTCGTCTCCTTCCTCCCTTCTCCCCCATTCCCTCAGCGATGGACTCGATTGGCCTCGACGACCAGCAACAGCAAGGTCGGTCCTGATTCTCCTGATCTCCGCCTGGCTTCTTCAGGCTTTGACCCCTCGTGTCTAACGGGAACCGGAGCCGTTATTTCCTCTGTTTCGCGGGAGATTTAGCGGATGAGGCGTTATCCTTGTCGTTCGATGTGTGTTCTTTTGCCGGATTTATTATTCTTCTCACTTGTGGCGGTATTGATATTTTCCTCGATCGGTTGATGTTCGATGATTTCAACTTGGAAGAGGACGGGCAGCTTGATTGTCCCTCTTCGTATTGCTCCGAGGATCACATCTCGGAATCCAACGCAACGGTGAGCATCTGCATCCTCTCTCCGAAAAATATTTACACCATTTATGCTAGGTGAACGAAAATCAATGGCTCGAGACTCTGTCGGTGGCTGCGATTAAATCCTAGGTGATAATCATCGGCGATCGCTTAAGAGCCGTTGATGCTTTGGAATGCAGTTTCTGCCGGACCACGTAGTATCCGGATTCTCTCGCATGTCTTTACACTTTTCTTTATCATTATAAATGAAAGGCTACCTGTTTTGCATGCATAGGTTCAAGGATGTTGGGTCTGGCGGTGGAACCATGATTTATTTAGGAGGAAACGTAGTGAAGTGATTTTACACGAGGCTCTAAAATTTTACCTCTCTAAAGACAAACTACATAAATCAAGGATGCCACAGCATCGTAAGATTCCAAACATAGGTTTCAATTGGAAGGGATAAAAACCAATATTGTGTAAAAAATCCAAAGAGAGAGAATTTTGGGAAGAGGTGGAACACGACTCGCTTCTCCGTCATAAAACATTCCTCGCCCCCAGTTGAATCGGTCTGACTAAAACTCTGTTCTCCCCCGGCGTGCCTCCGGCTTCCACAACGTCGGCGTCTTCCCCAGGAAACAGTCGGAAGGACAGAGATGCCAACAGCAATAGAGGAACAACTACCCGGCGTCGACTACTCCATCGACAGCCCTCCTCCGTGGAGTGAGTTCCTTCTCTTGCTGCTTCATGAACATCGTCCTGACAGGCACCGTGCATACTTTGCTTCGGTTCTGTTGTAGATTCTGAAGCTTTCTGGTCGACTGCTGTGCTCACGTTCTTTTCTCCCTATAATCTAAAGTTTCTTCCTGCCCTCCATTTACCTCTCAGCATGCCTTTCTCGATCCACAGAGGCCTTCCCTAAGATTTCTCATTTCCTGCCCTTCTCCTCTCTATTCCTATCTCCTCGGTTGTAGGGGAGGCGATCCTTCTCGGTTTCCAGAACTACGTGGTCTCTCTGGGTACCATTGTCCTCGTTGCCAACATTCTCGTCCGGCAGATAGGCGGCAGACAAGTGAGTATGCGATGCTCTGTTCTTCATCAACCTATTTTTGCGAATGGGACGCTGGTTCCCTGGATTTCTGACTTAATTCGAACCAAGGATCGGTAAGCTGACTGAGAAGACGAGAAAATCTTCTTTCAAGGAGGAGAAAGCCAAGCTCATCCAGACTATGGTCTTCGTCTCCGGTATCAACACGCTGCTGCAGGTCAACTTCGGCACCCGGCTCCCAGTGGTGATCGGTAGCTCCCAGACGTTCATCCTCCCTACTCTCTCAATCATATTCCGTCAGCGGTGCAGCGACATTCTGGACCCGCATGAGGTCACCCTCTTCGTCCTATCTTACAAATTTTCCCCTCTCAATTCCGATCATCTGCTTCAGGCTTTCCTCCATTTACAAAGACAGAAGTGCATTGATTCTTATTGGATCAGAGGCTCAGGCAGACGATGATTTCTGTCATCTTACTAATTCCTCAGACTTTTCTCATATCCATCTCTCTGTAATCTCTTCCTACTTCGCTTCCACGCTTAACGAAAGTGCATGCTGGATTTTTATTTGATCAGAGGTTCATACACAGCATGAGGGCCATACAGGGGGCTCTGATCATCGCCTCGAGCCTTCAGATCAGTTTCGGATTCTTGGGGATATGGGGTGTCGTCGTGAGGTGGGTATCTTTCCTTCCAGTTCTGTTGATCCAGCAGTCGTTTCTAATAAACTTATCTTTCGATTTCTCATTTTGCTGCCACCATGCTCAACGCATCTCCCTCGCCACGGTCGACCAGGTACCTCAGTCCGCTCGCCGCAGTGCCTCTCGTCACACTTGCCGGCCTCGGGGGTTTCTACGTCGGCTTCCCCCTCGTAAGAGCCAGTTCTACCATGGGAAATCATGTCCTCCATGGCTTGATTTCCTTAAAACCTTCTTTTGCTTGCCTTCTCGGGGTGAACTCTTTTCCTGCTCGTGATCATCGTCTTCCTTGAACACAGGCGGCCAAGTGCGTTGAGATTGGTCTTCCAGCGATCATCCTTCTGGTATTCTTATCACAGGTATCTTCTGCCGCAGCGCGCTTTCTCTCGGGTCTCTCCGAAGAGCTTGGATCAATTTGACCTCCAACATGATGTACTGACGCGGAGAAATCTGCAGTATGTTCCCAGTGCGTTGAAGAGAAGGAGAGTCATTTTCGATCGGTTTGCCCTGACGATCACCGTGGTGATCGTATGGGTTTATGCATTTTTCCTGACTGTTGCGGGTGCGTACAAGCACGCGAAACCCTCCACCCAGTTCAGCTGTCGCGCAGATAGAGCTGACCTGATTGGTGCTTCTCCCTGGTAAGCATATCCGTTCTTGTTCCCGAGATCTCCTCAAACACTTTCAGAAATTGATCCGGCAAGTCGATCTTTCTGAAATTTCGGAGAACGTGAACGCTCTGGATTTCCACGCTGTTAATTCAAACGAGGAACGAACTAATTCATATCCGTATGATTTCCATTTGAAGAAGAGACGGTAATCAAAATGATTTAGATTGAGCAGATGAACACGTAAGTGGCAGAAATTTCCGAGGCATGAGATTTTCTTTCATGGCTGTCTTTGGTTTTGCAGGATTAGAGTTCCTTACCCGCTTCAGTGGGGAAGACCCACCTTCAACGCCGGGGAAGGCTTTGCGATGATGGTCGCCTCTCTGGTTGCTCTCGTTGAGGTCCGTTCCATTTTCTACCGCTCCTTTTATCGGTCGATGCGCATTTTCTACCGCTGGGTGTTTCTATCGAGTCATCTTCTCCTCAGAGATGATGATTCTGCAACTTTGACGAGTTCTTCGAGGTCTGGTTCCATCTATCTGAACTAAATCGTAAGAACCCAAGCTCATTCCTCCCCGCGCCGGCTCCATGGCTCGCGTAGGATCCAAAATAAATCAAATAAGAAGATCGGGTATTATTATCTGCACCTGACATCCTCATCTCCCATGGCAGTCCACAGGCTCTCAAATCGCCGCACAAAGATTCTCGAGGTCAACGCCCGTTGCGCCGTCCATATTCAGTCGGGGTGTTGGGTGGCAGGTCAACGTACCCTGTGATCTAGATCAGATACGATGATTTGTCGTAATATCGTCTGCCTCAATCTCTTTTATTTCGACATCTTACAGGGAATAGGTATCTTACTAGATGGGCTCTTCGGTACTGCAAATGGGTCAACTGTATCAGTGTAAGCTCGGCTTCCTCGGCCTGAAGACAAAACTTCATCAAAACTCACAGTACATTATGTAACCTCCTCCTGTTCTACCTGGGCAGGGAGAACGCTGGCCTCCTGGGGTTGACTAAAGTAGGAAGCAGAAGGGCCATCGAAATATCTGCTTGTTTCATGCTCTTCTTCTCCGTCCTTGGTAAAGAACCTACTTTATTACATTTCCAAGGTCAACGCTCATTTATCCTCGTTCTCTCTCACCTCTTCTTTGCAACAAAAACCAGGAAAATTTGGCGCGATCCTCGCGTCAATTCCATTGCCTATATTTGCCGGCCTGTACTGCATCCTGTTTCCCTACGTGGGTGGGTACCTCTCCGAAGCTCCCCCTTTCTCCAGGCTTACCTGTTGAACTCTCTCTGATGAATCATACTTCTGTTAACATATCAAAAATCTGACCATTCTCGTTGAATTCGGATAATCCTTCTCTGCCCTAACTTGTCTGAATTGCTGAATTAATACAAGAACGTGTTGGGTGCTGGCAGCTTCAGTAGGGCTTCTCCCTGTTCGTCGGCAGTTATGCAGCGTCAATAGCTTCCGCACCATATTCATTCTGGGCTTCTCCCTGTTCCTCGGCACGTCGGTGGCGCAGTATTTCAGGGAGTGCTCCCTCGTCGCCGGGCACGTCCCCGCTAACACTGGCTCCAGAGCGGTGCGCATGTTGACTACATGAAAACTCGATCCATCCGGCCTCTCTCTCACTCTCCCATCTTCCTCTCTGGTGCAGTTCAACGACATCGTAAACGTGGTCTTCTCCTCGCCGGTGATGGTGGGGTCCGTGGTGGCTTACTCCCTGGACAGGACCCTCAACCTAGGCGACCACCAACGACGCCGACCCACTGGCGAAACCACCGCTACAATAGAACCTCCAGCAGTCCCCACCATAGCATCTCCCAAAAATGAGTGTCATTGTGAGACGTTGGTGGTGTTGTCCTTTTGACCTGTTCAAGGGTCGTGCAAGGAGAGGAGTGGGAAATGAGAGAGGTTGAAACCATCACCTCCGAGATGTGTGAACTGGCCTACAGATAAATCAAGATGCCTCATTTTAGGAGGCAATTATCTTTTCTTATTTTCTATAAATAAGACATATATTTCTTCTTTTTTCGGAATGAAGGATGAAAAATTATCTCTCTTTTAGTTCTATTATCTCTTTTTATCAACTCTATTTTTATTTCTTGGTATCTTCTGTCTCTTTTATTACAAGTGAAGTCTTTATAGAAGAAGATAAGAGTTAATTACTGACTCTCTAATATGTGAGTCGTCTCGAGGACATTGAGATGTAGATTAGAAGTGTCTAATAGAAGTCTTGTTCTTATCAGGATTCTGAATAGTTTAGTGATTTCTCTTTTATTTGTTCTCATTGATATCTAGAAATTAAGTTTATATTATTATTGTAATCCTATATTTACATATTTATTGTTACAAGTGATATCAAACTCAAATTTGATTAGTTGTAGATTTACTATGACTTCTAAGGTGCATATTAACATCCAAAAGTTAGATAAGTCTTCTAATTTAATATTTGAAAGCATCGTGTGTATGATATGTTCTTTCAGACTAACTTGTACAAGACTTTGGATGGACCAAAGTTAGACAAGATCAGTGCTGATGATTGAAAGATAATGAAGAAGAAGGTTGAAAGATTTATTCGTACATGTTTGTCTGATTGGGCTCTTCAATAGGTCATGAATGAATATAATCTAAAAAAACTCTGAAAAAAATTAGAGAAGTGATGTGCACCAAAGTCGATGATGAGCGAATTAACATTGAAGATAAAATTATTTGGGTTACACATGTTAGATAGAGATGATTTGACATCTCATACTGATTATTTTAATCAATTATTGAATGACTTATTTCATATGAAATCAAATTTTTCTAATGAGAACAAAGTTATTATTCTACTTGTTTCTCTTTTTGATTCATATGGTCAGCTTGTTACAATCTTGTTGTATGACACTACAACACATGTTCTTAAAGATGTTATTAACTCATTGATGAAGTATTATTATCAAAAGAAGTATGTTGGTGAGACTTGTGGTAAAGGTTTATTTGTGAAAGGTCAAAGAGAACATGAAAGATAGAAGGAGAAAGAATCGTTAGGAGATAAGAAGAGTTGGTCTAAGTCATGAACAAATTAGTTGAAAAACCAAACTTGTCACAAGTGTCATGAGAAGGGACACTTGCAAAGAGATTGTTTGAAGAATGGAGTGATAGGATAACATGAGGTGAATTTAGTTCAGCTAATATTACAAAAGTTGAGGACATAGAGGACGGTAGAATTTATTTTAGCCTTGTTGTAGTTGAGGAGTTGTCAAATATATTGATTTTTGATATTAGTTATTTTTATCATGTGTTATAATATTGACTAATTTGACTCTACAGGAGTGCAACATGAGTTGTTTTCATAAGAAAGAACATAACTTACAAAGTTGTTGGCATTAGTTCGATGAAGGTTTAGATATTTGATAGAATGATTCAAGAGCTTAGAAATGTTCATCATGTTTTAACATTAGATCAGAATTTAATTTTACTTAGAGTATTAGAAGTGAATGGATATTATTTCAGAGGAAAGAATGAGATTCTCAAGATTATCAAGCGATTACTCGTTGTGATGAAAGAAAGACATTAGTGAATGAATATTTATAAACTTGAGGAGAATACTGTTGTAGGTAGATCTTGTGTTACGACATCAGATGATTCTATGATTGATGACACTCTTTTATAATACTTACGATTGGGTCATATGAGTGAGACAAATACGTAAAATCTACATGCACGATAATCATTACATAATGTGAAAACTTGCAAATTAGATTTTTACAAATATTATATCATGTGAAAATAGTGCAATGTGACATTCAAAGTAGTGAAGCATGATACAGATGATGTGCTGAATTAAATTCATTTGGATGTGTGTGGTCTTATTGATGTGACATCAATAGGTGATGTTCGTTATTTTTTACCTTTATTGATGATTTTTCTAAGAAAGTCTATCTTGAAACATAAGTCAGAAATATTTATGAAGTTCAAAACTTGATGTGCAAAGGTAGAAAATCAAATAGACAGGAAGATTAAAGTTTTACGCACTAACAATAGAATAAAATTTAAGAATTTTAAATTTGATAAATTTTGTGATAAGTATGATATTTTAATATCATTATACGGTGAAGAAGACTCCACATTAGAACGGTGTTACTGAGTGGATGAATCACACAATTGTTGAGAGAGCACACTGTTTACAACCAAATATTGACTTGCCCAAGGAGTTTTCGGCGAAAGTTGTGAGTATGACAACTTATTTGATGAATCGATCACTAAATTCTACTCTTGATGGGAAGGTTGTTGAAAAGGTTTGGATTAAAAATCTTATTGACTATTTGAATTTGTATATATTTAGATGTTCATGATATGTCTTTACACCTACTTATGAGAGATTGAAGTTGAATCCAAAGTTGAAGAAATATATTTTCTTGGGCCATAGTATTAGTGTGAAAGAATATCGAATTTGAGATTCAGAGGCAAAAGTTATTTTCAACAGGGATGTGATTTTTGATAAAAATCACATGTTGAAGTCTTTTTTTACAAAGTATATGTTTCAAGAATCTAATGATACTCAAGTTGAAGATAAACTAAGGTTGGAGGTCTTCTTAATTCTGTTGTGAATGAAGATCAAGTTGTAGAATCGTTAGATGTTCTTGATTGTATTACTGCTAAACAGAGTAGGTGTAAAGTAAGACTTTCAACTCGCCTTGATGATTATATTGCCTTTGCATTATTTGTAAGAGATGTTGTGCCTATAACCTTTCAAGAGATAATTAGTTGTCATAAAAAAGAAAAATAGTTACAGACGATGTTTGAAAAGCAAACATCCTTAGACAAGAACTACACTTTAGAATTGATGAATCTTCTTGTAAGGAAATGAGCTATTGAGTGCAAATGAGTGTGCAAGAAGAAGTCACGATGATTGATGGTGACCAACCACAATACAAGATAAGACCTATTGCAAAAGGCTTTACACATAAGTAGGAAATTTGATTATAGAGAGATTTTTTTGCATGTTGTGAAGCACATGTCTATTTACTTAGTGTTAGTCATTGTCGTATATGAAGATATAGAGTTTGAGCAGTGACGTGACTCAGTTGTTGTATATTAAATCACGCAAATATAAAATTTATAAAACTAGAAAATACTAATTTTTGGATATTTAGAAGTATTTCTAAATAAATATATCAATTATAATTCAATAAAACTTCTAAAAATAGCAGTAATTTTCTAGGTCGATCACAGGGATGTAATACCTGGTAATTATTCAGAATTTTCCTTAAAGAATACTATTTTTTATGAATTTTATACTAAGAATTGAAAAGGAAATATATTTAAAATTCATGAAAAAAGGAAATAAGGGTGCGAACATCAAGATGACGTCAGCACCCGACGAACGCGAATTGGACAGAAATAGAGTTCCACCCGGCAATTCTTACGTAAGCGATTACAGACGATTTAATTGATCAAATTAAGATCTGTAAAAGATTGAAGAATCGTAATGAAATAAAATATACCTTGGTAAATTTAAAATCAACAAATTATCACTAAATAAAATGGAAATTAAGTTGAAAGCAGGAAAACAGAGTTCCGGCGTCGCGACGGTGATGCGTCGGCGATGCACTAGAATCCTGAGTGTTTGGGAGAATTGTCGTGTAGTGTCCACGGCCTCGAAGGCTCTCCTTGGACAAAGACGACGTTGACAATCTCTAGATCTCCTTGCGAAGTCTAGAGATTAATGAAATGGGTCATCGACTCGTCTCCGACGGCTGTCACCCGGCGAAGCGGAAAAATGGCGACTTTGCGGCTCTCCAGTGGTTGTCACCCGACGGAGAGGAGCTGGATGGAGGTGGGGCGCGTGTTAGGGAGCTTCATCCTCAGGTCCGCGCAGCAAGAGGAGGCTCTTCATCACATCCAGTACGCTCTCAAGAGGTGGCGACTCATCTCCCGGTGGATCGTCCTCTTCCCGACGATGACTTGTTCGTCAATCAATCAGAGATGATTTACTTGATGGATTCGCGATCCTTTTATCACGAATCCTTCAGCAATTTTAATAGCAATGCTCCGCGAATCGCGTTGATGAGATTTTCGCCGATGATCTAGCGATTCTCGTTGCTTAATCCTTCACCGGCGATCTACAGGAAAGTCACGATAATTAGATAAAAATATATGACTTTTGACTATGGAAGGACTCGAACCTGTGCCGGTCGCCTGCCTCTTCTGAGGAAGGTGTGACGCGGGTTTAGTCCCACATCGGTTGTGCACCGATTTTTCGAGTGAATATATAGTAATGTTAGCTTTTTAAGTAAAGTCCCTTCTCTCGCATGTACGACCACTCCTTGCCCCACAGTTGGCGGGCCACCGGTGACGTGGAAGGGGAGTGGCGCACATGTGACTCTATCGGTTCAAGCCACTTGAGCCCCTACTCGTGGCTACTCCCCGACTCCACTTCCGACCCGCTTGCGGTCCCGCAGGTCCCCTCATTTTGTAATATTTTTATTTTTATTTCTTGTTCTTCATTTATCTCAAAAGTAAGATTGTAAAAATCTTATAAAATTACATAATTACCCAAAAATTCACGTTAATCAACCAAAAACTACTTTTCATGCTTTAACATAAATATAAGTCTATTTATCATGAGTTAAGGCTAAAACTATATTATTTACTAATTATTAACTCATGATAATGAAGACTTATCAAGCATATATTTCTCTTTTTTTGAGAATGACATATGACAAATTTTCTCTCTCTCTCTTGATTCGATTCTCTCTCTCTATCAACTCTTTATAGAAGAAGATAAGAATCAATTTCTAACGTTTCAGTATGTGGGTCATCTCGAAAGCATTGAGACGTGGATTAGAGGTGTCTAGTAGAAGTTTTGTTTCCATCAAGATTTCTGATAGTTGATGATTTCTCTTCTATTTATTCTCATTGATATCTAGAAATTGAGTTCCATTGTTATTGACAATCTTGTGCTTGCATATTTATTGTTATATGAGATTTTTTGTTTTATTGGTATCTCTCTCTCTCTCTCTCTCTCTCTCTCTCTCTCTCTCTTTCTCTCTCTCTCAACTTCTTCCTTGAAGAACCTCTCCTCTCTCACGATGTGGCTATTCTCATTGACTTTGTAATTTATCATGTTGTGAGCTCTTGGTAGACTGCTCCTATTGATGCGGTGATGGGGGCCATCCCCATATTCCTGGACTTCCATACTGAGGTTCTTGATTTTTCTATTTCTTGTGATTAGAACTGGTTCTTCTGGTCAGCTGGGGTTTGTTTCTTGTGGAAATTGTATTGGCCTTTGATGGGTACTCATGCTCTTGGAGTCTTCTCCACAGATCTGCGCTGGCAACTTCCCATTAATTGTCCCACATGGTACTTGTGTTTCCATTTGATTTTGAATACCATGATGGTGTTAGCTTTCTTTTATCTGGAATCGCTTCATTATTCATTTAATAGCAGCGAGCTCAAAGCTTTCCACTTTATTTGTACGATGATTATCTTTAAATCGTTTGGTAGTTGCTACTTGAGATACAATTCTATGTTTATTTTTGGGCTTGTACTTTCTGCAGGTTTGTGCGCCAAGGTTCTTAGAGGGCTACATTGAGTTCATCCGAGAATAATTTTGTCCGAATTTATGTTGTAGCCCTTGGAGTGCTCCCTACCTCTCTCTCTCTCTCTCTCTCTCTCGCTCTCTCTGAACCAAAACAATGGCATTCTCTGAACCATGTTTATTTACGAAAGCTTCATTATCAGAACGCCCAAAATAAATAAAAATATTACAGAAATACTAAACAATACAACTTTTCCGTCGGGCCTTTGAACCAATGGGCCGGTCTGTTTCTTCTGAAGGTTGGACGATTTTTCTCAAAGTAGATAAATCCGTCACTCGAGCCATCCGAGGTTCTCCATGTACAACAGTAAGAAAAAGTAAATTTTACTGACAAAGAGGTTGAACACATTTGACGAATCGAAGTGAAGAACGCATGTCAAAAAACTAAGGTTGCATTAACGGTTCAAAAAACCCTTAATGTAATTT